TGCAAGTACATTGACATCTAAGTATGTGTTGTCGGGATGAGGGGGTCAAAGAGAGTGAATAGCCTAAGTTCACGCCGGTCTCTATCGTCGACTTTGGGTGGTTTTGCCGAAGAACTTCCCATGCTGACGGTTGTGAATCAATTAGACAGACTATCTGGACCCGTTCTGATGCCGATGACGCCAGGGTCCGTCCATTCCTGTGATCTATGGCGTCAGTCAAGATAAGATCGCATACCACCCCCACCAAAGTCACATATCAGCTCTACGCTGTGTGCCCATGCTTCAGAGCCTCTTCGACCAGCCACATCATCGGTCCAAGTTGCAAGGCTAATTAGGGGGCCTCTTATTCCCGTGTACCTAGTACTTGGGTACCTGGATTTCCGATCACAGCGACAACGGGGACGCTTGCGTCACATGGCACCTTTCTCCGAGCCGATCAGATACAATGCAACCTGACTGAACACGGCCGGACCACTTTGAGGTCTGGCCCTTTCGCCCTTTCAGGTTTTCAATAGCCTGGACCGACCGTATCCAAGATTTACTGGCTCTGACACGTGTGTATCTGCGACCCAGCATGCAGTCAGTGCGTCATATGAGGGGTTCCCAAGTTGTTCCAAATCAGGATAGGACACGCATGGCCGATTCCAGACCAGGATTATGGCCAGATGGGGAGTTGGTGGTTTTCGAGCCCAGAGCGGACTGGGCAGAGTCGAGGCTCTATGTCCATATCCAGAGTCATGGACAGGAATCATGCCGACTCGACTTCCGTGTCTCTGAGGACGATCGCTTAGGGCGCTTCCGTGACAGCTGACAGTCAATGCACCATCTGGTGTACCCCGCACCCTGCATCTCCATGTTACTCACATGCGCGCGTTGCTGGAGGGGTACAACATGTCGCCCGCCGCGTACACTGGACAGGAATTGAATATGCACCTCATAGTCCCGCCTGCTTCCTAGCGCTATGACACGTGTGAACCTGGAGTGAATCGCCCTTGTATCTCCGTTGATTTCCTGGAAACGACAACATGTCGGAGCCGTATGCTATTGATCTCGAAGCGCCGCATGCGCGTGTCCCGTCGCGACCGAGGCCAGCATGGATCGTAAACAGTGTCTGTCGGGTTCCCAGGATGTTCCTGTTTGAAACCCGACGTATCCCGCACATCGGAGCTTTCGGGCTATTGCATCCTCTCGTTTAAATGATCTATTGCTCGTATTGAAGTCGCATGGCTGTCAGTCATCGGATGCCTGTGATATGACTCGACGAGCCTCCTACAGACCGCTACTCTCGGAGTTCGAGGCTGCGATGCCTGCTCAACTAATCAGCCTTTCCCATTCGTCCGACCTTGTGCATCCATATGACAGATGCTTCATGAGCATGTGCTTCTCTAGTTGGGTGTTACGACCATCCGCGCAGTCCATGTCCCAACATTTCCCCTAAGGTCTACTTACTGCTCATGTCACAGATTGGTCTCGGTCAAAGCAGTGGATTTTTGACGAGACAATGTGGCTTGATACAAGCGCAGATGCAGATACACGCAACATGCTGCATTTGAGGAGTAAAACGAGGAGTCCAAGCTCATTCGCCTCATTGTGCCGCGCCGTCGCATCGCCTGACAACCTTCGTCTGCACTGACTACGAGTACAATCACATGTCATGATACTCGACGAGCTGTTGCAGTTTCAATCGGGTGCGGCACCGGCACCATGCAATGTTCTTAAATACGGTCATGCTTACATTGTTCGGTCGAGTGTTCTATCAAAGGGCTTCGACTGAGTGATGTATTACAAACGGACCGTAGGAAGTGACAACCATGATGTCCAATTAAGGATGTTTGCTTCGTCGGGCATGCGATGCGGCCGTGCTACGATGCGCTCATCATACGAGGAACATGCAGCAGGAAGCAAACTACATAGTGACTCATGGTAAAGACAACGTCAACGGCCCGTCTTCGTTGTTCCGAGTTGGTGCAATATGGCTCATGTTGGACTTGATTCATTACAGAGATCTCTTTCCCAGGACTAAATCATCGATCTCTGTGGTCGCGACCCATTGTCAAGACAACGTCTGCCTCTGTCTTTGTTCTCGGAGCTTGAGCGATTGCTGCTCTCGTTGGACGAACTGACAGATTCTGTCTGCCTGCATCTCTGCCTGCAATGGTTGAGCACCGTATCTCGCTGTTGTCGATTCAAGGTAAACATAAAGCCAGTACCTGTAGTCATGGTTCCCTCTCTATCGCAATCGGAGCGCCTGGTGCTTTACATCGAAGCCGAGCTCCTAAATCTCTTTATCGGTGCAAGGTCAAGGCACCACTACCGGCATTACGCCATGGGAGAATATACCTTTGAATGTTGACTCATAGATCGCAGCTGCTGGCTTCCCCAAGCACGATTGCACTCCAAGTATGACTGGCCTTTCTCTTCGGTAAAGGATTCAGGGTATCTACATGATGCGCTTATCGTTTTGGAAACTTTCAGTGTAGTTGTTCCTAATCTCAAGCTCATGTTGCTCGACAAGTGAACTTAATTGCAGTCGCAGCAGCCTCTATGAGAAGTGTATCGGTGAGACACTGCTACCCCCTAGTACAAAATGTGTGGTATGAAGGAGCAAGTCCCTCAGAAGCAAGAGATCTCATGATTTCGAGCAGTCATTGCCTCGAATCATTCGCTGTAAGGGATACATGGTATTCAAGCCTTGCATTTGTCGCTCCAGAACGCATCGCATTCGATAGAAAGCAACAATTCTGTCGTATCCAGGAAGCTTGCTCTAGTTTCACCTAACCTAGCCTATGTTCGAGATGAGATCCTTCGCGCAAGAGATAAAAATATCATCGACGGACGACGAGAGCAGCAACCCTCTCGTATACAGGAAATCTGGACGAGTTTCACGTAATCCAATCCCTCTTCGGGATGAAATCCGTCACGCAAAAAGACATAAATGTCATCCGATAGTCGACGAGAGCTCCTCGCCACGGATCTACAAACGGTCTTCAAGGCTGCATCTTCGGGACGGTCGCATCAGGACAGTCCACGGCCGTATCAATCTAAATACCTCATCAGCCTTACCGAATTAAATTTATCAACAAAGACGTCCAGGGCGACTTCTGTTCTGTCCTGCATGCTGCAGGGTGGTCGGGGAGGACACATCCTCGGCAGGTTGAGAATAGTACCCAAGACAGAAATCTGCACGAGAGGTAAAACGCCGCGCGACAGACCGAAGATTCCTTCGAGCAAATGACGGCCGAATGGCCCATCTAGTCCAGTGACTAGCAAACAGTAGTCTAATTGCAACGGGCCGGGCATAATCTTCAAAAGGGGAGGAAATCTCCGCCTCCGGCTTTAAAATACTCTCACATCCCTGCTGCTTAAGCGGTGGCTAATCTGATCTAGCACCGCACCGTTCATGATAGCGCCCGGCCCTGCATCAGGCGTGCGCAATCCTCGTCGATTCGACTTTTCTGGCTCGATGGTTCAGCTCGCGGTATATGTGCAACATATTTGCTGCCGCTGAAACAAGCCTTGCTTTATGACTGCTCACCTGCACATCCTTCGGTCGGCTGCAGGCACCGACAGGCACGAGGATGATCTGTTCAGCGGCGATGGAAGCGGTGGCATGAAAATTAACTTTGCAGCTTGTCTCAAATGCTTAGGGTGGTTTAAGTGTTAGTGTGGCATCATCTCCACCGGGGAATTGATTCCACCTGGCTAGTGTTTGAATTGTCTTACTTGGTACGCAGCGAGCGGACTGGAAAGCTCTTGTCCTCTTGGACGAGTTCCCTGCGGATGGAGATTTGTTGACCGCGGGTGGTGGAGCTGAGAAGAACAGAGACATGATCTTGGTTGCTGTGCGCCGCGGCACGCTCCGTCCGGATTTCCGAAGGTTCCGTTGACCAATTTGTATGTCTAACCAGAGGGTTGGAGGGGCCCCAGACTGATCTGTGCTTCGGATTGGTATGGGGGTCGATGGCTGGCCAGATGGTCCCCGGATATTGTTTCGACATTGTTATTTGACATGTTTGTGTAGTGCAACTGTAGCTGGAGGGGTTTAATATCGGCTGACGCTTGGCGTGAGCACCTGGTCCTTAGTGCAGGCTACAGTGAAAGTGTGTCGCCCATGTGTCAGGTTGATTATCCTACACGCTTTCGATAAGTGTCAGGAGTGTCATCGTGGTGAGTCAATCCAGTGCCTGCATATATGGATTTCGAGCTGGGTGTCGCGTGCCTCTTTCTGTTGCATGTTCGTCTGTCTGAGCATGCTTTGAATGTCAACTCTTGTGGTAGGCACGGCAATGCATAACGATTCATTCAGCCTTGTCATCCAGCATGAGGGGGATGATCGCTGTGGTCCGACTGAATTCGTCGAGGTTCGTCCATGGCTCGCGCCTGGCTGCAATCCTCCCGCTGGCTAGACTAATTGCTCTGCACTGACTGAATAGCTTACTAGACCGCAACATCAGCCAGGCATTCGATCTAAATCGCTGTGAACTGACTGTCCGGACCTTTGTTCTGTCCTGGCACATCGACGATTGTTGTCCGATGTTGCCACATGTATGGGCAGTTCATTGCACCAGCTTACACCATAAAACCCCCGCCAGCTGAAAGGTGGAACCACGGCCGATATCAGGATCGGAGACATGTACTAAGTCACCCTAGCAAGTGTCGACCAGCAATGAATGATATGATTGTGCGTCCGAGTGGTCCGAAGCAGGCGAGAAACAATTGTCGATCCCTGCCTACTGGTGTTATGCGGTTAATTATTATTCTATGTATCGGGGCAAAGTTAATATCCTTTAACTTTGACCCAAGGATGAACTAACCCAGCACCGAATGGAGAATTTCATGTCTCTGGCTGCTCTCGTTGGCTGTCTCTTGCTCTCTTGCATCTTTTTCCCTGCCCCTTGCCGCTCACTCCCCGGTCGTCGTACGATCGAGATCTGCAGCTCTCTCTTTTCTGTCTTTCTCGTGCTGCTGAAGTTCGGCGGGAGGCGAAAGCAAGAGTAATAAACCCTGCATGCATTAGTGGGAGTTCAAAACACAAGGATTGCAGGCAAGCCAGCAGGCAAGCAATAGCAAAATTTAAACCATCTTTTTACCCCTGGTCAATCAACTTTCCTGTCTTTTCTTTTCTTTTCTTTTTTTTTTCTAGTTTCTGGTTTGCTTCTTTCTTCCTTCCCTTCGATCTTCTCTTCTTTCTGCAGGAGAGATTACCTCCCATGCTTTTGTTACACATCGACCTGTCGACCTGAGCACGATGGAGAAACAGCCCCAGCCTCAGCACGAGGCCAAGCAATATGCCGCCGATCCGGCGGCGATTGAGTTGCATTCGCCCTCCGAGGGTCGTCGCTCCTCCGTCTCTGCCCCTATCAACGCTTCCGGTCACAAGCAGGAGCTGGATCGGAATTTCGGGTTCATCAATATCTGTGGTTTGGCCTTGACCAGTGGGAATACTTGGATTGCGTTGGGCGGAAGTCTAGTAGGTTGACACGGCTGTTGATATACGAGTGACGATTGATGACTGACAGCTCTGTCATGCAGACCACAGCTATCTATGATGGCGGTCCGCCCGGTGTCATCTATGAAATGTAAGTGGGATATGTGGCCCGTGTATAGATACACCACACTGACCCCTGCAGGATTGCTGCCTCCTTCTTCTATTGGTTCATCGCCGCGTCGCTGGCCGAGCTGGCCTCGTCCATGCCATCGTCCGGTGGAGGTGAGTCTATTGTATCCTACAAGCGAAGCCAGAACTGCGAGACTGATGTATCTCCCCACAGTCTACCACTGGGCAACCATCACTGCGGGCAAATACGGCCGGCCCGTCGGCTTCTTCGCGGGATGGTGGAACTTCCTGGCATGGATCTTCGGGGCTGCATCGACGACGCAGATCCTCGGCACGCAGGTGGTGTCGGCGTACGCGCTCTTCCACCCGGAGTACACGATCGAACGCTGGCATGTGTTCCTGGCGTACCTGATCTGCTCGATCGGCTGCTGTCTGACGGTGGCGTTCGCCAACCGGGCGCTGCCGATGATTGAATCCGTCGGCGGGTTTCTGACGGTGGCGGGCTTCCTGATCACGGTGATCGTATGCGCGGTGATGCCGCACGTGAACGGGCAACCGTACGCCAGCGATGACTTCGTGTGGCGCGACTGGCTCAACGAATCCGGGTACAGCAGCAACGGGTTCGTGTTCTGTCTGGGGATGCTGAACGGGGCGTTCGCCGTGGGCACGCCAGACGTGATTTCGCATCTGGCGGAGGAGGTGCCGCAGCCGGGCAAGAACATCCCGATCGGCATGCTGGCGCAGTACGTGATGGGGATCATCACGGCGTTTGTGTATCTGATCGTGATCTTCTACGGGATCACAGACCTCAGCGCCGTGCTCGAGGCCCCCTACCTGTACCCGCTCACAGAGATCTACCTGCAGATCACGGGCTCGCGCGGCGGCTCGCTGGGCTTGATTATTGTCTCGCTGCTGCCGCTGCTCGTCGCCATCATCGGCTGCTACCTGACCTCCAGCCGCGTGCTGTGGACGCTGGCCCGCGACGGCGCCACTCCCTTCAGCGCCCTCCTGCGCCGCGTCAGCCCCACGCACAAGAACCCCCTCGCCGCCGTCCTCACCTGCGGCCTCATTGCCGTCATCCTCGGCTGCATCTACGTCGGCAACTCCACGGCTTTCAGCGCCTTTGTCAGCTCGTTTATTGTTCTGACCACCATCTCCTACCTCGCCGCCATCCTGCCCCATCTCCTCCGCGGCCGAAAGGGTATCCCCCGCGGCTGGTTCTGGATGCCCGGCCCCGTGGGCTTCGTTGTGAATGCTGTCACCTGTCTGTTTATTATTGTGTTCATTGTCATCTTCTGCTTCCCCTTCTCTATGCCGTTTGACGCTGAGACTATGAATTATACGTGTTTGATCACCGGTGGCTTCACCATCATGATTGCTGGCGTGTGGGTGGCGAAGAAGCGCGATTATCGCGGACCCATGGCTGTGGCGAGTGAAAGTGCTGTTTTGGCCAAGGATGCTATTTAATTCCGTGAATGGGGGAAGATGGGTTGTATATAGATTTTAATATGTCTGGGTGAGAACCGGTGTATAGAGATAGAGAAATTCAAAAGTCATGGCTTCTACTTATATTTACTGGGGGGGGATTGATGTTGAAGTGTCCACTGCTTATTCTTTTCTTTGTGGTGTTATCAACCTGGAACTCACTGCTTTCACACCTCTGCTCCAACAACTCGATACTCTGACTTGTCTAGCTACTAATATGCTAGACCGTCTTCCTGCTCTTCTAACAGAGCGTCATCATCACCTTCACCGGTATCTCAAGGTCGTACAGCTGTTGGCTCATCTGAAGACAACAAAGAAAGAGCAGCTAACTTACACGATTGAAAACGACCAGGATCGCAGCTCAACCTGTCTCCCCGGGCTGTTCTGCTCCCCATATTTGAGTTCGTCTCAACTCATCTCCGGCCACTTTCTGAACCTCTCTCAAATCAACAGGGTATCTGGAACTCAACTCGCGTCGACACGCTCTCCCGCACGAGTTCAGTCATGTTTCGTCTGCCTATACTGCTGGCAGCGATATGGCTGCTGCTTCAGCAATTTACTACGTCTGTCGTAGAATTCAAGGGGTATCGTGAGTAGTGCCTTCTCTTGTATGACGTCTATAACGCCTCAAACTAACCCCCGGGCTATCACAATTGCAGCTCTCGGAGTTCACCTGGGCCCGACCTACATGTAAGCCACGAGCACATTGACTTCCCATTCCTCCTTAACACTCCCATAACAAAACAGCACCAGCCCACATCAACAAACACGACGAAGCCGTTCCGCTCGTCCAAACTCCTCGGTCCACCCCACTACCAACAACACATGCAGAAGCTATCCGAAGGCTCCAAACACAGGAGTGTAAGCAATCCCGATCCATAGCCCCCAAACCCATCAACCCTCAACCTCCATCCAGCTGACCCCAGCTCCAGGAAAGTGCTAGGAGAATGGTACCTCCTATCCGACTCCTCAACCCGCATCCCCATCACATCACCTACCCCGCCGCTAACGCCGCGATGCTCAGCACCCTGATCCAGCAAGTCCGCGACGAGGCCCGACAGCGTCTGGGCCACGCAATTGACATCACAATGTTGACCATCCCCCGGGAGATCGATAGCCTCGCTAGTAATCATCTCATGCAGATGGTCATCGCGTCCAACGCCACGTTCATCGACTACCGGTGGGTTATCCGGGACATCCCGCGTGATACGTGGTTAGCGTACCAGCAAGATACCTGTGCCGCGCTGAGAACCAGTCAGGCTCTAGACTGCGATCTGATGAACGAGGTCGCGGTGATGCTATTTGTGGATCACGGGCTTGGAGGCGTGTTGAATCTGTGGGCTGCAGAAGTCGGGGAGTATAATATCTGGACGGATGCGGAAGGGCAGCATCGCGAGGTTATTCTCCAGGATCACAGTGAACGTCTGAGATGAGTATGGCTCTTTCTCACGTAGCCAGTACTATAGTGCGGGGCGGGCTTCGGGACTGACTACGAGGTAATCGGTAGGATACAGCTGAGGATATCCGACGGGCTCTCGATGAGTTCATCAACGAGGGGATTATTGTTCCGGGCGAGGCGCAGGGTGTTCGTGCGATTATTGTTAGTGGGGATGAGTCGGATCCAGAGATTGAGATGCTCAAGCAGGCTTTATGTCGGGTCCTTCCTGAGGACTGGAGGCCTCTTGTTCAGGACCAGGTTGATCCGTTGTGCGTCGGTGCTGTGGGGGCTGCGCGACGCGCTAAGATGTAGATGCATGTTGTTGATGAGAGGTACAATCTTACGAATATGTGGAATGGGTTAGTGGGATGGGGACTGCGTATGGGGGCCTTGCTTTGGTGGTTGATAGACCCTTGTCTATCTTGTCAGGTGCTGGTTTCTGTTGAGAGGAATCGGGACTAGGTGTTTGTCTATTGTTTCTCAATGGGTGGGTGCAAGAGGCGAGTCTATGGAGAGGGTTCTTGGAGGATTCAATAGAGCTTCAGTCCTAGAAATGAATGACGGACTAACTCACAGGCTAGGTACATACTGTGTGTGACATCCCACGAACTCACAAAAACCCCTCCATCTCCCCCGTAACCTCAATCAACCCCTTCGTCCCGTCCTCCTCCCGCATAATATCCACATACAAACTCACATACTCGACCCCCTTCTCAATGGAGCTCACGATAAGACCACCCCGCTCATCCCCAAGTGCGCCCGGCCCCGCCGTCCACGCCCGCGCAATCGCCACCGCCAGCTCATCCTCATCCTCCGTGCCCAACTCAGACAAATACTCAATGCCATAGGAGACGAGCAACCCAACCCCATCCCAGAACCCGAGCGCCAGCGCCTCGCCTGACGTCATCTGTGCATCCTGACCCGGTGGCAGAAGACGGAAGACGACCCGGTTGTTGTTGCGATACCACGTCACATGGATATCCTCCTTGCCAGTAGTTGATCCGGCAAAGTCCAAGTCCTGGATCACGAACTCCTCGAGCTTGTCCTCTGCGCCTGCGCCGAGAGCCCCGATGCTGTTGTCTGTGGTGGACACGGCTACGGGCCGTATATGGGAAAAAGCTAGATCGCGATCCAGTAACGCATGCGCCAGGATGTCTTGGTACGTCGTCGCGGCACGCGGGTCTGTCGGAAGCTGGGTGTAGTCTGCTGCGATTGCAAAGGTGATGGCTACCAGGGAGCCGATGAGTCCTGCTATATCCCAGCTTTTAGTTAGGTGCAGCAGCGAGCTTGTTGATTTCGCGAGGATGGCGGTGGCGATGGTGTATGTTATTCTGGAGTGAGCGGGATGTGGTGTGAGTATGTGAAATTACTGTCAGGATGGAGGATGTAACTCACTTGTTCTTGCTCCGTCCCAGGGTCCGTAAGATAGCGTCCATTCGCACGCATACCTGGCACGTCGCGTCAAGTCGTACAGACAACCCATCGGAATTCTTCAGGATGCGCGCAAGGTCGACGCCGGATTCTTCGCAGACGGTGACTCTACCGGTTAGGAAATCCCCTTTGCCTGCTTGCGAGGCTGAATGGAGAAGATACAGAGGCGTGAGAAGTCGCGTGGTGGTCTTGCTGTCTAGGACGGTCTGTGGATGTGAGTGTTTGCTTTGGTGATGCATTAGCTATATCCCTGGTTGACCTGACAACAGGCTTACCAGTCCTGAGGGATGAAGTTGCCCTTCCGGAAAAGTAAACAGAGTAGAGACGTCGCGATTTTCACGATCCATTTCGTCAAACTCCAGAGACATCCTGTCCAGGTGGGGGGGGAAGGGGTGAGTGCTGGTACGCGTAGCTCCGCGAGTATGCTTGTGTGACGACGATCGAGAGGTGGAATCTGACTCGTAGGCTGAGTCAAAGGGCAAGAAATCGTTTGTCTCGGTGATGCTGGACCAATTGTCTCCTGGGTAGGAAGCGGGGAGTTTCCTGTGTGGCATTGTTGTGTTTGTAAAAGCAGAACAGGGGAGGGTGAGGCGAGAGGAGAAAGATGACGGAGGGGTATGAAAAGGTGATGGTTAAGAACGAAAAGAAGAAGAAGGGAAGAAATGTAGTTGGGGGCATATTCAATGTAAACTCTTCACTGCATCTATCAAGGTCGAGTCACCAGTTTGGCATCAGGAGTGGAGGGGTTTGCAATCCCTTGATATATCATATATCGAATCTTTCACTCGGTAGGCCCGAACTTCAGCTGCTCGTCCGCCAGATTCTTACATTTATTACTATTACTAGACATGATTCCTGTAGGAAAGCGGCTTTCTGTCTCTATCACAGAATAAGTCGTTGAAGGAATAGAACTGTTCGTGTGTTCATTACAAAGCTATGAAGAGCATGCTTTATAGTCAAGTGCAGGGGCGAGCTCCACTGATAAAGCTCTCTTTCTCATCCCATAGAATCTTGCGATTAACGTGATCGGGTATCTTTGCAGTGGTCATGGACCCTGCTCTTTGTTCGAGTCTTCGCTACATGGCTCCCTGAGTTTGCTGATCAGCATCTCACACAAGCCAACGGGATCAGCGTGAAACATCATCCTCAGCCGTGTATCAGCGATACAATACTGAACTATGCGCAGGCGTCTCGGAGATGAGAAGGAAGGGATTTTGATTACCTCATAGTCGGAATATATCTACCCACCGAGCTTGAACCCCCGAAACCGCAGCGCGCTATTGTCAAGGGACATGCAATTGATTGCATTGGATGACAGCGATAACCACCGACAGCTGACCTCTGAGCCCATCTCACGTGGGTTGACCAAGAGATATTTGTAAGAACACTACTTATGATCTCGCTCCTAATTACCCCCGCCCATCCTTTCCTTATCTTACTTGGTCGCTGTCATACTAACTATACCTACCTACTAATCACACATGGCAGCCGGGAGGTGGCTCCTGTGTGGGCGTACGTACCTCTGTCGTGACGAACCAGTTTGTCCGATCCAGGTTCCGGCGTTCCTATTCGCTGCAATCCATCCTTTGATAGCGGGCATACTTCTCGGGCGAGGCGGACGGATCCGGCGGGAGAGCCAGGAACATGTTAACGTGGAAGGCGCGCACGGCGTGTGGGTGATTGAGCGCCATATACCGGACGATGGAGGAGCCCCAATGCCCTCACTGACAGACATACCTGGTATATCCGACCTTGTGCATAAGATTCGCCAGACACTCGGCGTGCTGTTCCAGCCCGAATCCAGCCCGGCGCACCACCGAACTAAATCCGTATCCTGCGAGGGACGGAGCGACGACATGAAAGGCCGGTTTGGGAGAACCATCCTCATTGGGCGGTGGCTCGGTGAGGAGCGGGATGATCTTCAGTGCCTTCAGGAATATCCGGGCCTTAAGTCACCACCACCAGCATCAGTTTGAAGATCCCTCAGGAGAGGGGTAAGTGCAAGCACCTAACTTACCACCTATGCACAAAAAGCAGCGGCACCGCATCCGCTCTCGTGGACCGCGCATGTAGAAAGTGTAGATCCACATCCTCGAATCCGGCCACAGGCACCGAGGTTCGGAATTGCGCGAAGGTGTTCAGGTAGGCTTCGAATTTCCGCCAGTCGTACTCGTCGCGCCGAAGTACTCGACCACTTGTTGAATTGATAATCCGTCGAAAACATGATGTTGTCTCTTACTTCCTGGCCCTACCCCGTTCGTTGTCCGGTCTAGATAGATAAATAGGTAGATTCGTTCATCGCGTGCTCTGATAAGTACGCAAGCGCGAATTTCCATTCCACACCCAGCGACCAATCTCAATCCCAACGAACATAGAAAGAAAACCATCAGCACTACAAGCCCTGCTCCCCAAGATGGCATCAAGCATACCACACAGCGTGTTCCGCCCCGGCGCGACAGCACTGATCACCGGAGCAGCATCAGGTATCGGGCTGGCGACGGCTCGACGATGCCACTAGCGAGGGACGAACCTGATCCCGTTGGACAACAACCCAAGCGCAGCTCTCGCAGGCAACAGCGGAGCTAACCCCAAGCAAGGGATCCTCCACCTCCACACAAGTGATAAGTGCGCACAATCTCGACGTAGCCTCGCCGACAGCCTGGCGCGCCCTAATGCCGACGATCCAGTCGCAGCACCCGAACGGCATCGACCTGCTCATGCTCAACGCAGGCGCGGGCTTCCCGCCGCGCCAGCCCGACAACTGGTGGACCACACCGAATACTTCGAGCGCAGCTTAGCCGTCAACGTCCAGGGCTGCACCAACGGCCTGGTCGGTTCTATATCCTTTGTTCGGATAATGAGGTCACTGAGGAGTTGGATCGGAAGAGCATTTTGTGGGCTGCGCGGGATTTGGTTGAGGGAAGGCCGCCGTTGTCGCGGTGGAGGGAGGATTGGAAGGATCGCGCGGCGAGGGAGATTGAGGAATTGGAGGTGTAGATGGGTCTTTGGGGGCAATGTCCATGAGACTGATGCCTTGGATGTTTTGGTTGCAGACACTGTTGTTTGTGACAGTGAGCTGGACTGTCTATAGTGAGTTCTTGGAGGAAGTTCCTGGATAGGGGCTCTTATTGAAATTGCCTGTGAGCTTTTACACTACTGTCTTACATGTATAACATTGCCAGGAATTCATCACATCTGAGATGGATTCCTTCACCTGATCGCAGATTGTAGGCACGATAACCGGGGAGATTCCAATCCCCGGTTTGCCAATGTCTAGACCCGTCCAGAGTCATGACATAAGGAACCTTGAAGTAAGGTAACACCCAATTTTCTATGATATCAGCCCATACTTTCTTACCACATCAACCCCTCTTCCTACTATAATTATAACCTCCCCCACACTCCCACTTCCCCCCCACAATCCCCAACACCTGAACAACTAAACCACCCCTCAATCATACCACACCTAATATACCCTCACCCTCACACCCATCCACCCACAACAATCCCTATCAATTCCCCCAAAATGAACCTAACGCTCTTCTCCACAAAATCTTACGACGCGCACTACTTCACCACAACCCTCAAAGCCCTCCAATCCTCCCCCACGCACGACCACCTCAACCCCCTCAAAATAACCACCCACCCCTTCCCGCTCACCCTCGCAACCGTTCCCCTCGCAACCTCCAGCGACGCAATCTGCGTCTTCGTCAACGACACCCTCGACGCACCAGTCCTCCGCGCACTATGGGAGATCGGCGTGCGCGCGATCCTGCTCCGCTGCGCAGGCTTCAACAACATCGACTTACCGGTGGCCGAAGAACTAGGGTTCTTCGTCGCGAACGTGCCCTCGTACAGCCCCGAAGCGGTAGCCGAGTTCGCCGTCGCGCTGCTCCAAACGCTGAACCGGAAGACGCATCGCGCGTATAACCGGGTGCGCGAGGGGAATTTCAACCTCGAGGGGTTTCTGGGGATGACGCTCCACCGGAAACATGTTGGGGTCGTGGGGTTGGGCAGGATTGGGATTGCGTTTGCGAGGATTATGGCGGGGTTTGGGTGTGTGTTGGTGGGGTTTGATCCTATTAGGGAACAATCGTATAAAAAGGGTGGGGGGGAGGAAGATGAATTTACGGCAACGCTCGGCGGGAGATATGTGGGGACCGTCGAGGAGCTGCTCGCGCAGGCGGATATCGTCAGTCTGCATTGTCCGCTTACCGAGGCCACCAAGCATATCATCTCGCAGCAGAGCTTGCGTTCCCTGAAGCGCGGGGCGATTCTCGTGAATACCTCGCGTGGCGGGCTGATTCACACGCGCGACGCCATCGGCGCCCTCAAGGACGGCACCCTCGGCGGGTTGGCGCTGGATGTCTACGAGCAAGAAGGCGATTTGTTCTATAATGATCACTCCGCGGAGATCATCCATGATGATACGCTGATGCGCCTGATGACCTTCCCCAATGTGCTGGTCGCCGGCCACCAGGCCTTCTTCACGCAGGAGGCGCTGGGTGAGATCGCTCAGGTGACGCTGACCAATCTGGAGGATTTCGTCGCCAAGAGGCCGTGTCGGAATTCCTTGGTCAGGGAGGGGCATCTATTTGTCGAGGAGGATAAACAGCCTGTTCGGTTGTGATTTTTGCGGTATTTGTGTTGGTTGCTATGTGACAAGGGATGTGGCGGATGCTGGTTGTGCAATTTTCATTCTTAAATTGTTCTCGAGGCTATGAATTCCAAGATGATCAAGTATGTCAGTAATGTAGACGTGCGTCTATCTTCAGCCAAGTTAAAGCTCATCGTGCCCACTCCCAATCCAGTCCTCATTTACCGGGAAATTGAAGTTCGGGTGCACGAGCTGCATCTTCGCTCGCCGCGCAGCCCCCATAGCCGCCACGAACAACGGACCGAACTGGTCCCGAATAAGGTGCTCCCAGCCCTCAGGAATGGCAAGACGTGAAGATGTGAAGAGTTCTGCGAACAGGGCCCCGCTCTGGGTCACGAACTTTTTGTGGAAATTCTGGAGGTGTTGTTGGTATTCGAGTAGTCCGAGGAGTTTGACGAGCTGAACGGCTTCGTCGTGCTTGTTGATATAGGCTGCTGTTCTTTGGAAGTGAGTGTTAAGGAGGAGTAGAATAGTCTATGTGATTATGGCTTACATATAAATTGGGCCCAGGTGTACTCCGAGAGCTGCAATTCGGCATTTGCCAGGTTAGTTGAGATATTTATAGGCGCTAACGAGAGAAGATTGATACTCGCGGTAGCCCTTGAATCCTGTGGCAGAGGTTGTCAATTGCAGAAGTAGAAGCCAGGTGGCTAGTAGCAGTGCGGTTGATTGAAGCATGATGAAAGACTTGGAAGCAATCAATTGGAGAGAGAGACATATAGAGAGAGAGGTGGGGGAGAGAGACAGGTGTCAAAGTTTAGGAGGTGAGAAGGTGAGAAGGTGAGAAGGTGAGAAGGTGAGAAGGTGAGAAGGTCAGAGGGTAGGAGGTGTAGCTGACGCAGTCGCGCTGAAGAATAAAGAGAGAAAACATGGTACTTTTTACACTGGCGATTCTTTGTATGCGGATGCTTGTACCACGCCAGCTAAATTAGGAACACAAACAGGCTTCACCGACTAAAATAAACACGCATGTAGCATAGACGGAAATTCACAATATGAATTTCCAATTCAATCAAAGATATATGAACTGACAGGGACAATTGTCGCAGTTGGTTTGACAATTACATTATCAACTCAAGTGACTGTGTTATTGGAAATTATCCTACTCTTCTCCCAAAAGAGTATAAGAGTATATAACACAGAGATGGATGGCAAGCTGTGTAGGTGACTGCATGAGTTCCTATGGCTATAGTACAAATAGTGAATGGATTTCTACGTTCATAGTACAACACCATAGATCCATCGAGCTCTCAGAGTCATGATACAACATGGAGGGGTTTCTGTGAGACGACAAATCACACACTTGAATCGCATTTTCAAATAGGGTATCGTAAAAACATCAGGCACAACTGATCACCTGGCAATCTTACAGCCATACTGGAATCAATCAATCAACCAACCCCCCAGCTCCCACTCAACCCGCCCCAGACAAACACCCTTCACACCCCAAGTCCCTCCCCATCCTCCTCCCCACATTCTCCTGCAAATCCACCTTCTTCCGCTCCCTCAACCCCATAGCCCTCCCCACAGCAACCACCCTCCTCAAGCCCTTACACCCCCCGCAAAAAACCCACCAAACCCCCTGCACGCGCACCAAATCCCCAAACCCATACCGCGCCTCCCCAACCGTGCACCCCAACCTTCCACTCCCCTCATCCCCCTCCCCCTTTCCATCTGCGCAAGTAACCGATTGTCTGGGAGCAACCCCACACCCCAAACAAAACCGCTTCGCGCGCTCCCGCTCCGCGCCAAACCTGCCCCGCCCCCGCCGCAGCATCCGGTCCGCGAACCGCGCTGCTCCCCGCAGCCGCACGCAGTACCGGCACGTGTACAGGTCCTCGGCGATCGCGGCGGGTTCCAGTTCGGCGGCGAGGAGGTCTGCGTGGCTGGGTGGCGGGAGGAGGGACCGGAAGTAGTGGTTTGTTTGGGATAGATGTGCGCGCGAGCGGTCTGGGGGTGGGGGGAGGTGGGTTGTTATTTGGAGGTGCAGTTCGGGGGGCAGGGTTAGGATGTTTGTCTTAGGTGCTTTTGGGGGAGGATTCATTTCATTTTGTTGTGTGTAGCCTGTTGTGATGGGGTGAAGATACTTTGGTAATTGTATGTTGGATGGAAGGTTCAGGTGTTGGTGTTGATGTTTGGAGTGGGGGAGTGGGTGGGTGTGATGTAATTGTCGGCCTGGCTGGCCACGTGCTGTCTCTCAGGTTTGTGCTACGCTGCATACTTTGTCTTGCCCTGTGAGACTGATTCTGTGGAGGGTGAATGTCATTAATGGCATTGGTTGTTCCAAGTATACTCCGTATCATCTGGCAACTAATCCTGTCGAGCAGGATCCGTCTCAGGCTTGTTCTTCAAGTACTCGTCGATCTCCGCCATCACCTCCGGCGTCAACCGCGGCAGCAGCTTGAGACTCTCCACGTTCTCCACGATCTGCTCCGGTCGCGACGCCCCCGTGATTACCGACGAGACGTTCTCATTCTTCAGACACCATGCCAGTGCCAGCTGCGGCAGCTTGATTCCCAGCTTGTCCGCCAGCGTCTTCAGCCCCACCACCGTCTTGATGTTGCTCGCCCACCCGGTCTCCCACTCGCCGCGCACGAAGTTCGCAAACTTGTCGTTGCTCTCGGCGAACCGCGAGCCCGGCGGCGGCTGCGTCGTCGCGTCGTTGTACTTGCCGCTGAGCAGGCCCATCTTCAACGGCGAGAAGACCGTCAACCCGATCCCGCACCGCGAGTACAGCCGCTGGAACTCGCCCTCGACCTTCTGCCGCGTCAGCATGTTGTACTGCGGCTGCTCGACGACCGGCGCGATCAGCCCCAGCGCCCGTGCAATCCCGCACGCCTCGCTGATCTCGTCCGCCGACCACTCCGACGTGCCCCAGTAGAACGCCCACCCTTTCTCGATGACATGGTTGAACGCCCGCACCGTCTCCTCCATCGGCGTGAGGCGGTCCGGCCGGTGCGCGTAGATGATGTCCACGTACTCCAGCTGCAGCCGCTCCAGTGACGCCCGCGTACCTTCCACGATGTGCTTGCGCGACAGGCCGTGGTTGTTGATGAGGATTTCGCCGTTTGCGAGACCCCAGTTGACCTGGTGGGGGCGTGATGTTAGCTTTGTTCGATTGTTTTAGATGATGGTCAAGAACAAACCTTCGTGCTGATGACGAGATCGCTTCGCTTCCAGCCGAACTTCTTGATCGCTTGCCCCATGATGATCTCGGATTGTCCTCCCGCATAGCTAAAGAGTAAGCTTGAGTGTCGAAACGGGGGACGGGGTCTTCTTTACCTCTCGGCTGTGTCGAAGAAGTTGATGCCACAATCGTAGGCTTGCTTCATGCATTGGTAGGTGATTTCTAAAGCGAAAGACTCAGTTTCTGTGTCTGGTTTCCAGGTCTAGATTTTGGGAGCGTACCATTGTCTACATGTCCACCAAACCTATCGACAGCGGAGCATCAGTGGTGAGTAGGCGTGCTAAAGGGCAGTCAAATATTGCAGAAACTCACGTCAACCAGCCCCCAAGTCCCAGCACGGAGACATGAAGGCCGGAATTGCCAAGCCGGCGGTAGAGCATGTCTTTGTTCTTGTTTGGCCAGGCCATGGTGAAGATTTGGGTTTCAAAAGTTTGAGAGGTAGAATTGAGGAAGCAGCTCCTCGTGAGGGGGTGTCGCCGTACCTATTTATCTATTGCGCAGAGAGAGAACTCAGTGGAGCCAATGTGCCCACCCACGCCAATAGATGGGAGGACAGCATGAGGCATAAATGGGGTCGGAACTTTGCTCGGAGGGTCTGAGGGTTTAGTTGGGGGGTCTAGTCCCGGTGTGGTTTAGGGGGGTCGCGGGGACTGGAAGGGGCTTAGTTTCCTTCCCCGGTGAGTTTCGTGGCATATATACTTGTTGGATTCAGGGTTCCGGCCTGCCGTCTCCCTATACTACTAACGTTGCTTTGCGATGTCCAGCTATACTTCTGTTATCCCGTTATCGCAATTTGTAAATTATCGTTGTTTATGCCTTGATTGGTGTCTCATTGGCAATGGGCGATGTGATTAACGGAAATAGGGATTAGCGGAGTCCCTGATAAGGGCCTCATGCCCGAGCTATGACAGGTACTTGACGGGCGTTCTCTATGACTGGCCGGAATAAACGGGTGGAGTAACGCAGCTTGCTCCAAGATGGTAAGTTCAAGATTCTTCCGCCTACCTAAGTTTTGGCAACTGACTGTGCCTTATTCTTCTTGCTTTAAGCGTACGCGAGAGTCGAAGGTCAAATCTATCGATCTAAACCAGATCCTCAGCGATTCGTGCATTAGCCATGTCGAGAACTCATCCAGATCGCAGACGTTCTTTGGTGGGATAGCCACCATTTCCATGTCCTCTGTCCACTATGTGAGGATACTCATCGGCACGGCATGGACTGGGATGGGCCTCAGATGCGGATGCCTGACTGCGAAGCGAGGAGGACTACATTTGCTGTTTCCCCTTCACGGATCAGGGGCAGGTCACCTATGATATCGACAAGAAGAGAGCGTGGTTTGTAAACATCTGTGCAGTCGCGAATGGAGAGAAGGACACTATAGAATCACTGGCTGAGAAGTTTGATGCTAAAGTCAATCTCAAGGTGGACCACGAAGCGAACCGTGCATCCAACTACCCAAAGATCGACGAAGTCTCCAAAGAACTCCTTACGTTCAAACTCGACCTAGGAGATGGCGCAGAATCATTCCAGACCAAACGAATTGTATTGGCTGTCAGTCAATGCGTCGATGGGCTAACTGAGGCAGTCGAAACGTACCTCAACTCCTGTACAGAAGCCCAGATTCTCCTACACGGGCGGGATCGTGAAGCCAATACTACCCTTATACTTGCGATAATGGAGCAGAGCTCGGCCATGGTCTCGCCTCTTTTAAGACACGGTGCCAAGATAGATGCTACCAACGTATATGGGCGGAGCGCGCTTATGGAGGCAGCACTATGGGGAAGACTGGATAATGTGAAGCAGCTTCTGGAACACGGCTCGCACATCGGCCTCCGTGATGCTGGAAATCAATTTGCCAAAGACTTAGCCTAGGACACTGAGAAGAACAGACGTGAGAGATATGTGCGAGCCGGCGGTGTCCTTTCCGCTACCACTGAGCAGAAGCCTGTCTATCGCGAAGATACGTTCAACAGAGACAAGGATCGCCAAGCCATCGTACGGCTTATAGGAGAAGATAGGAAGTCAAATATCACTTATGAGAGTCTGCCAACAGCATCAGAGTACGTAAAATATACTTTTCAGCGGACACTGCTCAGAGACTCAATCGAATTTAAAGGACCAAGCGCAAAATATCCTATCACCAATCCCAAAAAGACTGTGGCACGATTAGAGAGAGGAGGTCGGTGTCCATCTGTTGCAGCTATTAGTGGATGGTCTCATGCTTCGGAGCGGAACCCGAATGTCAGGGTCAAGGGTAAGCGATGGACAGCCGATGTGCTCTATATCGCTAGCCTTGTCGGACACAAGCTTCCACCCCACGAGTATGATCAAGATATATCAGGAGCGTTCTCTGCCTGTCATGCAGAAAAGCAACTAATCGCCCACCTTATTGATCGTCATGTTTCCCTTGCCTGTGACACGATTTCGGTCCCGGAGCTCGAAGAAAAACTTGACTCGGTAAAGATCGCTGTGGGATGGTCTCCCTAATGTCTGTTGGAGGGCGAGAGCTATCATCTCTCAGAAACCAGCACCGAAAGATCAAGACGGACTTGTTTCACCCCGAGGACACATACCTCGGGCACAAGAAAGATGAAGCCAGAATATCTAGATCGAAGTCGGAACTTGCATCTGTAAACAACAAGCTGGAGAAGCTTGAATCAAATCATGAAGTCGGACAGATCATCAGCCTAGAGAATCGATTGGGCGGTTTGAATCAGAACAGAGCCAAACACCAAGCACTGATAGATTTATCCAATGCACGACCACCACACTCGCTAAAGATTGCGGCCGTATTGGTCAGCTTCCCAATTTGCCGGGACTGCGAGGAATTTGCAATAAAGGTGAATCAATACTTTGGCTTGTCCATGCAAGTTGCAGCAGTGTGATCAGGCATTCGTATCGGAGGTAGTTTATGGCATCTCATCAGCCTAGTGAAAGAAGCAGTTCTCTGTTTGGATCAGCATGAACGCGCTTGAGCGGCCCTTATCTTGTAGTTGGCCCAGCGAGTTGCTCTATCGTAAATTGCGAATAATTAAGTATGAATTCAAGGGCCTCTAGGGCCAGCAAGAATAGCAGATCAGGTGACCTAAATTATTCCACCAGTTCTGCGGCGGGCCGCGGCGGCTTCTTTCCCGCTCCCTCTCAGCTTCGCTCCACAAGCTATACAGTCCGGTGGGTCGAGACAATGACGTGCCCCGTGGAGTCGAAGGCGCAATCACCTGCCTGCCTGCAGCCGGCCCCTTATCGATTGCCATCGGTTGGAACCATACAACTTTTTGTCAACATGCGATCGACTAAAACACTGGACACAATAGCATTGCCAGACTCATCGCTCCCCAAACGGGCGGCCCACGATCATCGGAAACTACCGCGATCGCAAAGGGCCTCGCCTCACCCCGAGCTGCATCTGCCAAGCAACCTCTCATGGCTTGCCCAGCAAATCCGTCGACATGATCACTTTGCCTTCAACATTTCGACACTTCGACGTCCCTGTCAGCATTTGCGACCGCAAACTTTCTGCTCTGGCCATGCGTCCAACTCCTGCCTGCCCTGATGCATGCAACTGCCACCGCTGCCACCGCTGCCACAGCCAAGATGTCTTCAAGAGCTGGGATAACCAAGAAGGCCTGTGATGGATGCAAGATCCGGAAGATCAGGTGCGGCGGAGGCCAGCCATGCCAGTCCTGCTCCAATGCGCGCATCAAGTGCACCTATATCCGCGTGCAGCAGCCTCGCGGTCCTCAGAAACTGCGCGCGACCACCAAATATCTCATCGATCAAGCTCAGCGAGGTTTTGAAGTGCAGAATGCGTTACCCTCGGCTTCAGGGAGAGGGGAAGTGCGCGAGGCCGACGACGCGATTCCCAACCCCGCTATATTCGAACCCCACCACAGTTTGAGGTATGTTGCTTTTCCACGATTATCTGCGACCGCGGCTTCGATAATATTGTATCTCGAATCATGACACTAGCTAGGAAGCTAAATGCTAACAGCACCGAGATCCAGATCTCGAATTCCGATCAATATCCTCGCCTCCCCGCTCTACATATACCATGTTCGCATGTACCAGGTCTGGCCCATCGTCGATGTCGAGAACGTCTTGTCCATCTTACAGCAAGACACGGAAGAAAAGGAGCATGAAATGTACGCCCTCGCAACAGCCGTAGCCGCTGCCACCATCGCTCAGTTACGGCTGGGGCAGAACTCGCCGCCGGAAAAGTCTCTCAGTGCTGAGAATTTTGCACTGGAGAGCATGAGGGCTAGACGGCTGTGTGACTATCGGTCAAGACTCAATCTGAATAATGTGCGCACTGCTTTCTTTCTGCACGTCTACTACGAAAACCAGCAGTCCGGAGCGAGCGAGTCGCTGCTATATTTGCGAGAAGCAATCACCTTAGCACAAATGATGTCCTTACATCGCGAGGCTTCGTATGTGGGACTGCCTGCGGAGGAGCAACAACTGCGTCGTCGCGTCCTATGGTTGCTGTTTGTCACAGAACGGTGAGTTCATTCAGCGCCACCGAAAGCATCGTGTCTGACTTTGGCCTAGGGGAGTTTGCATCCTTCACAAATTACCCGTTATTCTGAAGACGAATGTCTCCACCCCAGCACTAGATACGAGTGATGAACCACAAGTTCTGCCCGCATTTCTGAAATTGCTCAACCTGTTTCGCCTGTTTGAGCAATCCCGCATGTTCGAGCTTATTGAAGAGGATCACGGCGGAAGGGACGGGGTCTCAGATGAGGTTCAGGGCGTGGATGCAAGGTTTCTACGATTGCTTCAGGAGAATCTTCAGGATGGATCAGTTTTGTTAGACCACATATCGGATGTACAAAAAGCCGATCTGTGCGTGACACGACATTGGATGCGTATGATTCTCTGGAAATTCTCTTTCAAACAGGGGCTTCAAGGCTCCCATTCGTCTCAATGGTCGAATTCCCCATCATTCCCGGTGCTAGTGGCGAAGGAGCTCCTGAATATAGTCTCCCAGCTCCCCAGAACGGCGATTGAAGCTCACGGTCTCGGCATGGTATGTACTCACCTCACTTTTTATTGGTAAGGTCCCTAATACCTCTACAGGAACTCAAGCTGTATGAGATTGCCAGCTCACTAGCAGACGCCGTAATCAACCTAGCAATGCTTCCCCAAGCCCCGGTCTGGGACGGGGAAAGCCGGCCCAGCAGCATCTTAGCCCGCCTCCACTCAATCCTCTCCACCTTCCGCGGCGGCGGAAACAAGGAACTAGTGGATCTACTGTATAGGAAAATGGCGGATGCACAGTTTCGCACTGGCCCTGCATTGCCGCCGCCAATTCACGAGGTCCATTCGTTAGTTAGAGTTAAAGACAAACCGCCCACAGCCACCAGTGGTGGGGAAACCCCAGTCCCACAACTGCCTGCGTCGACGCTAGAAGACGTCTTCACGACCACAGATCCCACATCTACCGATTCAGTCGCTGATTGGTCCGCTGCGGACGACGACCCTTACCACCAAGCAGCATTTCTAACTTCCGACCATCACCGCACCTCAACGCGAGGAGACGGCTTGGTGCCGGACCAGAGTGGCATTAGCGCACAGCCTCCTCTCCACTCATTGGGAGACCTCGCGCCGTCTAGCCTGTTCGGTGCATCCTTCTCGGCAGGCCTGGGCTATGCTGCCGCTGCTGCCGCTGCGTGCGCTTACGACCCATACCTGGGCATCACAGGCACTCACTCTCCGTTGCTGCAGGAAGCGAGAGAGTCACGGCTGGACATCTCCTCGTTGTCTCCATCCCTGCCGTCCGAGTCTGTGGAGATGTGGATTGGCGATTTCATCTCCCAATCTCCCAGGACCCAGGTGTCGCCGGAGAACTACTTCTGCATGGCTAATGAGTTAGCCGACCCATCTCTTTCCAGTCCGAGCTTTCTAGCCTGATCTGACCTTCTTCTCATTTCTCTAATATGTTCTCTCGAGATCCTGCGACGAATGACATGTATATTATGAATTACTAGCAAGAATGCTGCCTTCCACAGTCCCATTCCATCGGTCAGTAAACATGAGACTATACAACCATACCCTTATCCACCCACTTTGAGACCTTCAAATAATATGAAAAGCACAAGGCATTGAACGGACCGCTAATACTTGAAGCGGAAGTCAAGCCGCTTGTTCCCTTCTCTCTCTCTCGTCTCCTTATCAGCCTGGTAGAGGATGCGCTCCTCCTGCGACATGAGAGCCCACTTCTTCTCCTTCTGCCGGTTCAGGTACCGGAGATACTCGCGCTGGGCGACGAAGACAGCCATGGAGAAGACGCACAGCGCGACGAGGACCTTGTTACCGGTGTAGTAGTAGGGGGAATCACTTGAGCGGTAGATCTCTTTTTCCAAAGCGAGGCAGAGTCAGTAAATGGGCATTCAATCCTCCCCTGAAACCGTATAAACTGGATTTGGACCATGGACTCACGCGACGAGATAATCGACCCCACCTGCACGATAACGTTATAGGTGGCCGCCGTGATAGCGCGCTTCTTAACGTCGAAGGTATTCTCCGAGATCCACGCCGAGACGATCGGATGGAAGTACGGATACCCGGAGATCAGGGTGGTGATGGCGAAGCGGGCCCAATTGTCGCCGCCGGCGGGGAGACACAGCAGCGCGACCAGCAGCGGCAGCGACCAGAATTCGCCGAGTAGGCTGTGCCACGTGCGGTCGCCGAAGTAGTCGCTGCTCTTGCACAGGAGCAGCATCAGGATGATCTGCAGCGCCGCCGACGGGATCGAGAGCATGTTCGACTGGAACGTCGTGAAGCCCAGTCTCTTCAGCGTTAGCGACAGGTATGATGATACCGGCCCTTGTGGGATGTAGGCGACCAGTCCGATCAGGTAGAGGCCCCACATTGATGGGTCTTTCCATGCTGAGAGGATGTCGTGCACTGTTGCTGACTCGTTTATGTGTGTGAGGCCTTTCGAGGGGTCGTCGCGGAGGAGGCGCTGTTTGTTGTGCAGGGGGCTTGGTTAGTGGGTTGTGGGATTGCGGGAGGTGATGGCCGGGGGAGGAAGGAAGCGGACGTACGTTGATCATGATCACTTCTTCGCGTTCCGTGTACCAGGTCTTAGGGCAGAGGAGGCTCGTGGTGTTGGTCGGTGAGCTGGGGAGGTAGAAGAGGCTCTGGTTGTGCCGGAGCTTATGTTAGTATTTGGGAAGCTGCGCTGGGATTGGTGGATGCTTACGACGACGCCGATAACGAAGGTGATGAGTCCATCGATCAGGAACAGCCAGAACCATCCGGGCTTGCCCTGCATGCCGCGCATCTCGAGAATCCCCGCTGCGAGCAGAGATGAAATAATGCGCGCAACCTGGTAGTCCGGTTCCCCGGTCAGCTGAGTTTCATGCTCAGTGCGAATTGATGCCACATACGTTTAGCGTCGACCAGAAGAAACCCAGGCGCACGGAGAGCTCCTTCGTCTTGTAGAAGTAGGTCGCAAACAAAATAGTTCCGGGGATGAAGCCGCCCTCAAACGCCCCAATCAATGCGCGGGTCACGTAGAACCCCGCCCGGCTGGTCATCCAGGCCTGCGCCCAGGATACGGTACTCCAGCAGATCATCATCACAGGCAGAACCCGCTTGAAGCCGTATCTCTTGATGAGAAGCTGCACGGGGAATTCCGCGGACAAGAAGCATACGAGCTGGATGGTGGTTCCCTGCTAGCGTTAGAATGGCATGTTTGTGTACCGGATAAGCAGTTTCTCACGTTGTTGTAATCGTTACTCGACATATTCAAGTCTTTGAGGAAGTTGTCCGTCAATGCATTTGACAGATTGCCACGGTCGAGCTGGAGACCGAAGAACTGTGGTCGTCTCGGTTAAGGTCATCTCGCGAGGTGCGGTGCATATGGCAGGGCCCCATACCATGGTACAGAGCGCCGTCAACAGATACAGATCGGTCTTCCAGATGACTCGTCGCTCCTCTTTCTCGGTCCAGGTGGCGGTCGGATCGAAGCGGTGGAAGCCCTCATACGACGCATGAGGCGGCACGACGCCAGCAAGATGTTCCTGTCCGACCTCGATCGACACCTTCGAGGACTGCGTGTCTTCGACATCGTGGGCACGGATGGCGCCCTTGAACCCCGTCTCGATATCGCTCATGATTGCTTGCTCTCGCGCAGTCCTAGCCGTTGCCGATGCCGTTTGGGACACGGAATATCGCGAAGTCGGAATAGTGGGCTGGAGGGCCTTTCCATCGTTATGTACTGTACAGTACTTATATACTGGCCCAGTCGTGGCGTTGATAAATACATGCCTCGATGTCGTGATTCGCGATGGCGGGCATCGATAACACCCGTCTGCTTGAGCCAACCACCGAGATGGGGTTATTATTACAATTTACAGCCGTGTACTATAGGTGAGTATGCATGCCATGACTCCAGAATTGGGCTAGGAGGATTGCATAAGACGGATCGCCGAGCACATCATCGCGGAGGAGCCCCAGGCTGTGCGCTAACCGGTTTTCAGCCCGAAAAAAGGAATGCTTTTCGCTAATGGTCGGTTTTTGGGCAGTTCATGAAGAAATCTGGGAGGTTTATGGTACACGCACTTCTATATGTATAAAAAGATACTATATATAGGCACAATCAAGGAGAGTTGAAGAGTTTCTGAAGTATTTTAAAGCATTTCATCATATATCTAAGATATCTTTATTGTCATGAGAAGTAGCTAATTAGAAGCTAAATTACATTATTTAATAATAGGATTGGATAATTGTAATCGTAAAATATTGTGCAGGGACTGGTAGATTTCCCCAGCTGTTAAAAAGCGGTGCCAACGCAATAACTTCCATCATTGTCGCAAGTACTCCGCTCCCCAGGTTTCGGGGCATTGCACTTGCACACCATTTGGCTTGGTCTCGAAACCGCAATCAACGGAAGTGGCCGTTGGCAGCGCCTATTCGCTAGCAGCAATGGCGTTAGCTAGCCCGCCAGACTAAAGACAACAGTACACAGACCAAAAAGCCCTCCGAGAATTTCGCCGACGCCCCGCCGATGGTCTGGCCGTCTGCTTCTGATTGGCATCACCCAGAGGCAAACCAATCGGGCATGATTAATGCGGGGGAATGAAGGCCATGGGCCCCCGAGCGACTTGACTCGTATGGCCCTGGAACCGTGCGGAACCATGCAACAGGGAAACCCATGGGTAAAATGTTCTCCTTGGAAGAAGGGTTTGTGTTGCAGGGGAAAGAATCGTTTCTATTCGTAATGTCTGACCCACGTACCCTCTACCGGGGTGGAGACTATTTGTTGACACCATCGCATCGTGATCACTGATGCAGAGTAAAGATAAACGTGTTCGTTGGGCGCCACAGCTCCTATAAAGAGTCGAGGAGCTAACCAATGCCCTCCATGCGATATTAAGCACTATAATCCCACATTGTGTCAATTCTCATATCATTAACCTCCGTATCGATCGACCACCATCATGTCGGCTGTCGTTGAAAACACCTCGGCTTCGACAATCCGGGGCGGTCATGAGCAGTCTCGACCACGCATCTCAGAGCCGCTCCAGTATTCAGGGTCTCTGGACTCGTATGCCCGTCAGGACCTGACGCCCGTCATTGGTCGCGAATATACAGGGCTCCAGGTGGCGGAGATCCTGAAGTCGGAGCAATGCGATCGAATTATCAAGGATCTTGCAGTAACGAGTATGAATCAGTTGCAGATAGTACTGAAAGCGATTTTTCTGATATGAATAGTCTCAAGCAGGGGTGTTGTTTTCTTGCGTGACCAGGACGTCACGCCGCAGCAGATGCGCGACTTCGGCGAGAAGTTGACATATCTAGCAGGCTGCGTAAGTAAACAGATTGAGCATCATTTGCAATAGCTTACAGGCTGAAGTGAAAACAACTGGCTGACCGACCTTCTGCAGCCAGAATCTTCCGGACTGCACATCCACCCCCTGACAGAGGAAGGCAGTGAACTGGGCGACCAGATCAGCGTGATCAGCAGCGAGAAGCAGAAGAAGGGAGGCGGCCTCACTCACCAGCTTAGCGACACAAGTCGATTCGCCTCTGTGGGTTGGCATAGCGACATCAGCTTCGAGCCTGTGCCCTCAGACTATGCCATGCTGAAGATCCATACGCTCCCGGAGACCGGGGGCGACACTCTCTGGGCGTCCGGATACGAGATCTATGATCGCTTGTCGCCCGCCATGGCGGCGATGCTGGAATCATTGACGGCGACGCACGACGCGACATTCTTCCACGATGAGGCGCGGAGGTTGGGCAATCCGCTGCGCAAGGGAATTCGAGGGTCGCCCCTCAACCAGGGAGAAGGACTGACCGCCGTCCATCCCGTGATCCGGACTAACCGTACGCTTTCTCCCCTTCGTCTGGCAGATGAGCTGAGCTGATTTCTTCTGGCGACAGCGGTTACGGGGTGGAAGTCTGTGTATGTGAACAAGGGTTTCACGAAGCGCATCAACGGTGTCACCAAGGATGAGTCCGACGTATTGCTCAGCTACCTTTTCAATGTGAGTTACCCACTGTATTTGGGAGAGTGGCAGATGTACTGATACACCTACTTCTAGCTTGTTACTCAAAACCACGATGCGCAGGTTCGCTTCCGGTGGAATAAGAACGATTTGGCTGTTTGGGATAATCGGTCGACCTGGCACTGTGCCACGTACGACTACGCAGAAGCTCGGGCTGGCGACCGCGTCTGCAGTCTGGGTGAGGCACCTTACTTCGATACTCGCTCGAAGTCGAGAAAACAGGCTTTGGGTGAAGCTTGATGCAGCGGGTTGTGTCGTCTATTGGTAATGCTATAATGAACTACTCAAGATAAATCTGAAAAAACATGTTGAACACAATAAAGGTTTGACAGCCAGGCAACTAACAAATCTACTGCGCAGCACGAAAGCCATCCGTGAGAATAGGTTGCAGAGTATAAACTAAGGACAATGAGAAGCTTCCAGAGCCTCCCTTGCAGACCAGGTTGCTATGAGGGCAGGGGTACCAAGACTTGGCTACTTCATCTATGCTCAAATGCTCAACAGTGCCCCACGATAATCTGAAGCTAGGAGGCCCATAACTCTCTTGGAAATATGATCTAAATAGATAACTTGTAGTTCGGTCAAGCGCCTGACAAATACCAGCTTTGTCAAACATAGATACAGTCTAAAAATAGTCTAAGCCTCGCATGGCTCAGACAGCTTCATGTAGTCCCAACAAACTATATCGAGTCAGCATGAGCTTCTAGAAATCTTAACTAGCATTGTCCAAGAGCACTTACTACTGAAGCCCATGTCGTTGCCGAACATGGTAGCATAGGTCTTCTCACCGTCCTGCAGCCCACCGTCCGAGTCATATGCCACTGCGGTCTTACCCAGAGCAATGGCCATGACGGGTGGGTGCGGCTTCAGGGTCACAAACTCAGGCTTAGCATTCAAAGCCTGTGCCAGCATGAGCTGATGAACGTTGGTCGCTGCGAGGTGACCCTTGTGAAGGGCAGCGCCGCAGCGCTTGATTCCCGACCATGAAACAATGTCACCCACAGCGAAGTGCTCATCTGCGTTGGGAGCGTTACTCGGGAATTGCAGACTAGCCGACCGTCAGTTGAAAGCTCTTTTGATGCCGTGGACAAGAGAAGGAATACATACGTTGGTCGGATCTTCACCAGTCCGTCTTCGTCTAATGCAGCTTTGGGGAGATAAGTGGAAGTGGGAACACTCTTCGAAACAGCATTCATAACATGGCCGGCCTTGACTTGAGTACCGTCTGACAGAGTAAGCTGCCAGATCCGGCGGCCTTCATTCGTGTCAACGGCGGTGATGTCGACAACTCGCTGCCCGTGGGTTACAGTAACGCCCTGTTCGCGGAGGATAGCGCAGATGCGGTCTTTGAAGGAATCGGGAAGAGGCTCAGCATTGAGCAGTCGATCGCGGGAATGAATCAGAGTGACCTTCTGGCTGGGATAGAGGTCTTTCAACTCGGCAGCCATCTCAGCACCAACAGCACCTATACGTCGTTAGAAAGTGAACCGTAGGCAGATATAAAATGTGCGGAGACACTCACCCCCGCCAATCACCACAACGCCCTCCTGTGCGTTTTGGATAGCTTTGACGTTCTGCCTTGTCTCCTCCAAGAATTCATCGCGCTCCAAAGACTGCGGTACAGTGGGAAAGACCCGACGTAACCCTGACGCAGCGATCAAAAAGTCGTATTTCTCCTCCCTCGATCGCCGCGTCTGGCTATCAAGGATCTGAGCCACCTTCCGCTGACAATCCACGGAGTGGACGCTTCCCCGAATGAACTTGATATCTGGAGTCTTTAGAGCAGGGATGTCGACGAATCTGTTCCAGGTTTTCGAGGCATATTTCTCAGATGCGAGTGCCTTAGGGGAGCCGATTAGATGGTCTAATAATTCTTGGGGTTATTCCCTGGACAGCATAAAGAATAGTCGGGACAGTGGCAACACTTACAGTAGCCGTCCCTTTCGTCTACCAATGTGATCTGAATGGGTATGCGATGCTGAGGGGGTTGCGCATTGGGCGTGAAGTTGAAGCGAGCAAGTCGGCCACGACAAAGATCTATCAGCGTCATGGCTGCGCCTAGCCCACCATAGGAGCCACCGACAATTAAGACGCGGAACTCGCGCGCGAGCGAGACAAGGCCCTCGTTGGACGGCATGTTGGGAGTGGAATGTTCGTGACTTTGAAAGACAACTAATTATACTAGAAGGAGGGGAGAGGAGAGAGAGGAGAGGGTAAGAGCAAAAGGGGCTGGCTGGTAGGGGCAGGATTATTAGACGCGAAACTCGAGAAAAAGGATCGCGGAGGAAAGGGGGCATGGCCCATACTTAAGAGCAACGCCATGATAAGAACAGCGTACCCAGAGGCGCATCACCCGAAACCGGGGAGCAGATGCCCAGAGACTGTGGACCCGATGGGGACATCTGTCACAAACAGAATGTCCCTCTGTCGTATCGGCAGTGCCTAGGCCAGCTTGCGGATGAATTGTCTCAGAAACTTCGGCAGACACCAGTAGAGCCCAGTATCAGATATGACCATGGCAAAATTCCAAGCAGAGATGTCAAGGTCTGCGGGGCATTGCGAACACAGATCCTGCTTCAATGGCACAGGCTCGGATTGAAATCGTGTGACTACGGATACCAAGTTACGACAAGCCGGATGGTTGCCTTCCGTATCTTTGATCCATCTTATCAGATTGGCGCCAAGTGGCGCGATCGGGTACTGGCGGAGACTCGTCGCCCAATCAACGTTTGCCCGAGCGCCCAGAATGCCACACTCTCGAATGGAAATGTGACAAAGGTGGAAGGAATGAGAGGTTTTAATGAGCCGATAGGAAGTCCAGCCAATCAATCCGTGAAACAGAATTGCAAGTGGATTTCGAAATTACCTAAGTTCAGAACTGAAGAGTCCGGTTCCATTTATCTGATCCGCTGCTCGCCGGTCGGGCTCCAGGGGGGTTTACGTTTCCCACCTCGCATCGACTGCGCGATTGTTCAGGTTTCTAATTTGGAGTGCTGAGATGAGATTGGTATCATACAGTCATTGATATACTGGCAGCTGATTTATCTCTTGCAGATCCTTGATGTAAAGGCTTACTAGCCCTCAGCGTGATTGTTGTCTTCAAGCTTCAAAGAAACGCGGCGCAAATACATAATGACCTGCATTATCGTGCTACTCACTCATACGTCAAGCGCGAAAGGGTCACTTAGCCAACAGCCCATTCGGTATCATGTATACCCATCAGTAGATAGGCGGAATAAAAATATTTCTATCATGTTCGAATTCCAGCTCACATTGATTGGAATAGGACTCAGAATGGCGGTCTGAGAACATGTACGGTATATAGTAATGCAGTACTATTGATGATTGGACTCATTTGCTATAGAAATCTCCGTCCGGCAGTTGTTCTCAATGTGCTTCAGTGAAGGAAGGGTTCGACGGGTTTTTAACACCAGTCGGTGAACTGAAGAAAAGAGCCACGGAGACTGTGAGAATGGTAAAGACTAGAGCAATATCAATCTAGGGACAAAAAGGATGCGCTATGTGATATCGAGAAGTTACGAAACCCATCCATATGTCGAGACTGGTGATTCAATGGTAGAGAATTATCTTTTGTCAAGATCGCAGCAGGATAGACCTGGCCAGCGGTCGCAGAATCTAATCTGATGATCTAATCAGATAAGTCTTGTGCCGAGGATCGGAGATATTTCAGACCGGGCCGACAGGTTGGCCGGGGGATGGTTTGCCTGAACAGCGTGTGGCCTGAGGCCAAGTCCCGTGGCGCGATGCGCGCGTCTGCCACGGACCACAGCCAGGATCAAGGAAGAGAGAGAAAAAAAATGCTCACCCCCTCCAGCACTGTCTGCCAATCTGATTAATTCTAATTCAAACACCATCGAATTCGGTTGCAACAGATTGGATGATTCACAAATCTTGTCCCCCCACATCAACCTCACAGACCTTTCTAAAAATGTGATCAATGCCCAATGGATTCGCGTGGTATCCGTGGGATCCACTGCAAAGTGATGCTAACCAGCCAGTCTTTATGCATATCCTTGGAAGTTCCTGCGTGAGCAAAGTACCTTTTGCGCGACAGTCGCAGATCATATCTTCTTCATTCCTGTCCCTCCTGTGATCGAGCAGTCTCTTTTCTTTTACACTCATGGGTTTCGTATCCTTCTGCTGTCGAGCAAGACGCCGTCGCGGTCGTCCTCTGCGTGTGCGTGACTCGTACCCCGCTTCGGACATCGGACATTTCAAATCAAAGTCAACCGACCTTCCGCCAAATGAGGGGCACAGCGCCTCGACAACAATCTCTGCTACAGACGATGCTCTTTTTCCAGCGATGAATTTGACTTCCATCCCCACTACCAAGCTTCCCGCTCTTGATACAGTCGACCAGTATGCGGTTGATGCGGTTCCGAGGAGCTCAGCAGCTCAGAGCTCCCGCATCGAGCTTGTTTGCAGCACAAACCTCCAAAATATCGCAAGTGGCCTGGTTCGAGGTTACGCCTGCTTTGTCTCGAGCTTCACAGGTCTAGACGATATCGCATTCTTTGTCGTACGCCATCCCACCACCTTCGCTGGTGCGGAGAGAGTTCGCAGGTTGGTCCGTGCTTCTGTGATTCGGGAAGACAATAGCCAGCAATCCCAGCCGTCGACGAGCTGCACTATCGAAGAAGTGGACCAGCAGCATCTTGGTGTTGATGAAGTGCAATTCTCTCTGGTGCTAGGACTTTGCCCTGATCCTGAAAATGGCGAGCAACAGTCCAGTTTCAAGGCGCAAGAACATGTAGGTGCCCTGTCACTTGCCCCTGGCTATCTCTGCAGCATTTGGTCTAATCGCTCGGCCGGTAGAATTTCACGCTCTACGTGGAGCCTTCCGACAGCACTGCTACCATTCAGATCTGGTTTACCTGTCCCGATCAATTGATTCCAGCCCATGCAGTGGACCAGCTGCTCAAGAGCGTTGCCATTCATTTGGCAGATTCGTCACCATTCTTGGCCTTCGAGGCCTCTCCGCCCCAGCTTTCTGTTATGAATTTCCCTCCATCTATGATACCCCCTTCACGACGCCATGACTCGAATGAACTTTCTGATTCTACGATACCCCAACAATATCTTCTTCATTCTGCATTTGAGGGCTGGGCTCGGACGAAGCCTGATGCCATAGCCCTCGATTTTGTCCATTCTTTGCCTACTACCACTTCTTTTGCAAAGCACAGCATCTTTACTTATTCTGACCTCGACCGAGCATCCACTAACTTAGCTGTACATATCAGGGATCTGCTGGCAGCCCGTGATTCGGCTGACTGCGGGCGGATTATCCCTGTGTACATGTCAACATCGCCCGAATTGTACATTTCATACCTTGGTATACTGAAAGCCGGGTTTGCATTTTCTCCTATTCCCCAGGATGCTCCAGCGGATAGGATACGCGAAATTCTGCAGGACATAAACTGTCCTATCATTCTGGGTAGCACACGCGAGCCATCTTTCGACCTTGGGTCTGCTGAAGAGCATGGCGGTGTCGCAAGCCTACCCGTATGGGTTGATGTGAAGGCCATTTCCAAGTGGGAGGAACTAATAAATAATACTGCCTCACCCTCAGACCCCGCGAATGCCCTGGAGAAAGTGGATATTCGACATGACCAAATTGCTTACCTTCTGTTTACCAGTGGATCTACTGGGAAACCGAAAGGTGTCCAAGTCAGCCATCTGGCAGTCACATGCTCCATACAGTCCCATGCTACGGCCATCCCGCTTCCAGGCGACACTGAAGGCGATTTTCGTTGGTTTCAATTTGCCTCCCCGACATTCGATCCGTCACTCATGGAGATCTTTGTCACTTTGAGCACTGGAGCCACTCTTTGCTCCGCGGATCGAAGCCTGACATTGACTGATCTAGAAGCCACCATAAATGAGACAAGGGCGACCGTTATGATGGCGACGCCAAGTTTGGCTGCACTCCTGCGGCCATCCCGGCTGATTACACTTCGGTCGCTCTGGACGATGGGAGAGAAGCTGAATAGGACAGTCATTGAGAACTTTTCCCCAAACACATCGCATGATGGAGCCCAAACGATGTTGGTGAATGCGTATGGACCTACTGAAGGTGCCATTAATTGCACCTTCCTCGCACCTGTTGGTCACTCGACTAGGGGCTCAATCATTGGCAAAGCACTTCCGACTTGCGCGATGTTTGTTCTGGATTCGCACAGTCGTACGCCGAGACCAGTCCCCGCGGGTCTCGCTGGTGAGCTGGCAATAGGAGGCCCGCAAGTTAGCAAAGGATATCTGAACCGTCCGAAGGAAACCGCGAAGGCTTTTGTGCACAGCGCAGAGTTCGGCTACTTGTATCGTACTGGGGATATGGCGCGCATTGTCTGGGATGAATCAGGCTCTCAAGTCATTGAATTTCTCGGCCGTATAACATCAGATCAGGTCAAGCTTAGCGGCCGGCGCGTCGAACTGGGTGAGATTGAGTCAGCCCTGTCTACAGTGCATGGTGTGACAGAAGTTGTGGCTGTAGTATCCAAGCGCGACGTCCAAGTACAGGGCAGTGAGCAGATTGTGGCATGCCTAGTTGTCGGCAACGGCGACGCAAGTGCTGCAGAAAACCAAGAGATAACAAATGAGGCACACCGCAAAGCCCGGCAATACCTTTCCTCCTATATGTGTCCTTCCGCCTATGCGTTTTTCTCCAGTCTCCCCCGCTCGAGTTCCGGCAAGGTCGACCGTAAAACTATTTCGGCTCGACTGCAACAAGAGGACGAGACCATATGTCAGCTGTACACTCCACAGGACTCAGCTGGATCTTGTGAAAATGGTGTACAAGACCATTGGGAAGCTCCAAAGGACAAGAATCTCTCGTCTGTGCAACAGCTTGTGATTGAGCTCATTGCGCAAACAGCAGACGAGAATGTTGCTGCCATCAAGCCAGAAGCTAGTCTCTTCTCTTTGGGTATCGACAGTCTCGGCGCTATGCGCCTTTTGCAGAAGCTACGAGACCATGGTATGGACGGGTTGTCTGTCGGCGATGTATTGCAATCGTCTACTCCGAAAGCATTGGTAGCACTCGTCTTCCAGCACCGCCAGAAGAACGGAACGGCAGATATGAACGGGCATCGCGACCTACTCCAGGAGAAACTTGCGGCATTCAGTGAGAGAAACAAGACCCTCTGCTTGGAAAGACTTGACTTGAAGCCGAGCCAAGTTGCGAAGATTCTCCCGACAACGGCAACACAATCTGGAATGCTCACCAGTTTCCTGCGTAGCTCATCCGACAAGTCTTTTGCAACTCGCTCCTACATTTATCACACCGTCCTACGTCTTGAACCCGACGTTGACCTGGAAAGAATTCGAGAAGCTTGGGACGCCGTTGTTTCCAGTTACGACTCCTTCCACACAATCTTTTGCTGGGTTGACGATGACATGGCACCATTCGCCCAATGCATCATCGCCCCCGAAGCAGTGTCTCCCACTGAATGGGCTGTTTATCAAACCACTGAGACTGTCTCAAAAGAGGAAGCTCTTCAAAATGCTCTTCGAGACGCCGAAAAGTGTATTGATCTGAGCAAACCCCCTTTTAGGCTGTCTCTAGTTAAGAGTAGCATAGGGAACGAGATTGTTTTGAGCATGTTTCACGGCATATTTGACGGTGGTTCTTTGCAACTCATGCTCGATGACGTATCTGCTCTCTATCATGGAGAGATTGCTAAGCAACGAACGTCTCTTGAGCATGTTGTGAAGCATCACTTCCAAGCTGATCAAGTTGCGACGACTGACTTCTGGAATAAACAATTGGAAAATCATTCTCCTGTCGCGTTCCCATCTGTGACCTCATACAGGCCGTCTCCTATCAAAACAACCGGCTGCGCGGAGATCACGGCTAGTATTCGCCATGACACCCTCAAGAAGAGATCTAAACTCATTGGTTCAAGTCCTCTTTCTGTACTTCAGGCAGCTTGGGGCTCGATCTTGTTAGCTTACAGTGGCACAACTGACCAGGACGTGGTAATGGGCAGCGTAATCTCGGGGCGACTTGATGTCGTCTCTGAAACCTGTATTGGCCCAACATTCACCACAATTCCCATCAGACTCGCCGTACAGGACTCGCAGGCAAACCCTCCTGATTTGCGCACAAACCGTTCCATAACTCAAAGCCTGACCAGGCTGAATGCAAGCACTCTATCTCACCTGCAACCTAGCCTGGGATCTCTTGTCACGGCAGAAGGACGACTTCCATACGAAACGCTGATAGCTTATCAAGATTTCAGTGCAGGCTCTGGTGGGAGTGGGATCTGGAGCTCGATCTATCATCCGCCAATGGCGAACGATTTCGCGGTCATGATCGAGGTGTGGCCGTGTCATGACTCCTCCTTGACATTCCGGGCCAGTTTCGATGAGGCCAGACTTGATTCACAATCGGCCCAGGTGATGCTTCGGCAGATGTCGGAAATCGTCGAGTTCATCCTCAACGAGCCTGAAGGACGCTTTCTTGATGGCCCTATGAAGACTAGCCGTGACTTGAAGTCATGCTTTAACTCGCAACCTAGACTTAGCGAAGCGCAAGAAGGAACTCTCATACAAGCACAGTTTGAGGAGCATGCGCTGGTAAATCCTCAGCACCCTGCCCTGATTTTCAAGTATAATTTGGATGATGAAAACGACCCGCGCAATATAACTTGGTCCTACGGCGAACTTAACGATATAGCAGAACGTCTTGCAGCGCATCTAGCCCAAATTAGCGGGGAGCTCAACAATCGCCCAATCCCTATCTGTATCGAGAAAAGCCCTGCCATGTATGCTGCGATACTAGGTATTCTCAAGGCTGGAGGCGCCTGGTGTCCGATCGATACCATGTCTCCTGCACAGCGTCGTCATGACTTGATTGCACGGACCGCATCGAGCATTTTACTCGTTTCCGATCTCGATGGGACCCAGCCTGACGGTTCAGTACCCGCTGGGGTTCGAGTCATAGATGTGAACCGGTTCATTAATGAGACATCAAATGGCATGAATGGAGAAGCCCACAAAATGGTCAAGCCTCAAACCAAGGCCAACGATATGGCCTACCTGATCTGGACTAGTGGAACAACAGGCGCACCCAAAGGTGTACCGATTAAGCACTCCTCCGCTGTTTCGAGTATGAGGACGCTCCAAAAAGATATTCCTGCAGATGTGCCCGGTGGCGTACGCTGCTTGCAATTTTCACAATACACATTCGACGTCTCGATCCAGGATATCTTTTACACTTGGGGCATTGGTGGCGTCCTCATCTCTGCTACGAGAGATATCATGCTGGGCTCGTTTGCAAAACTAGCCAACATCACCAAAGCAACACATGCACATCTGACACCTGCTTTCTCAGCTGGGATACCCAGGAAGAGCTGCGAAACATTGCAGGTCATCACCATGATTGGCGAGAAGTTAACGCAGCCTGTGGCTGACGACTGGGGTACAAATATGAGAGCTTTCAACACATATGGACCAGCGGAAGTTACGGTAGTCTCGACGATCAGAGAATTTGGAAACGAACATAAAAAGGTCAAAAGTGCGAACATAGGCTGGCCTATGGAGACTGTCTCTGTCTTCGTGACCAAAGGTCAGCAGTTGGTCATGAAGAATGCCATCGGAGAGCTGGCACTCGGTGGTCCACAACTTTCACCCGGTTATTTGAATCAAGATGATGTTACCGAAGCCAAGTATGTCTGGAACGAGGAGGCGCAGCAGATAGTGTACTATACCGGTGACCTCGTTCGAATGCTCGCCGATGGCTCTCTAGAATACGTCAACCGCGTCGATGATCTGGTTAAGCTGGGCGGTATCCGAGTGGAGCTGAGCGAGATAAGCTTTTCCCTGCGCGAATGCCATTCACTCGTTGAAAGTGTTGAGACCCTTTTCCTCAATCGTCCCGACAGGCCCAACAATGTGGTAGTTGCCTTCCTCTCTGCGCCAAAAGCTGCAACCACAGAAGGCCAGGAACAGTCATTACTGTCAGGTGAAACCGCCGTTGAAATAGCACGAGCTGCCAGCGAGCAAGCCCAGCGTGTCCTACCTGATCATATGATACCTTCTGTCTTTCTGGTGGTGTCGCAAATTCCCAAAACATCATCAGCCAAGACAGATCGCAGGGCACTACAGGCATCCTATTCGTCCGTCGACCTCGACGATTGGGAATCCAAGGTAGGCCTGGCCCGTGGCTTCGATGGATCTGAAGATAGTCAATATGACACTTCCATTGCAGCCCACATAGTCGAGATGATATCTTCACTCGCCGGCATTTCGGCCTCCGTTATCTCCAAGTCTAGCCGATTAAGTAGCCTCGGCATTGATTCCATCCGTGCGATCCGGGTGGCCTCTAGGTTGAAAGATGCCGGTCATCAAATCTCAGTTGTCGACGTTCTCAACTGTGTGACTGTTAAGGATCTGGTGATTTTAGTCTCTTCTGTAAATCGAGGCACTTCAGCCGAATCCTCAGAGTCGTTCGACGTGGGCGCGTTCAACGAAAAATGGCATAGTGCTGCAGCGAACATAATCAAGGAGGATATCAAAATCCTTAGGGCAACTCCATTACAGGAAAGTTTGCTCAGTGAGACGATGGGCACTTACACCATGTACTGGAGCAACCACTTCTTCGCTCTAGATGATTCGGTGGATCTCGCAAGGTTGAAGCAAGCTTGGCTCGCGACATGCCAACGAACTGAAGGCCTCAGGACTAGCTTCATCCCTGTCGCTGAACTTGAAAATCCAGGATCCGACCCACTTGGAAGCTATGACTTCTCCATACTGCAGATAATTTATCAGCTTCCGCACCTCGATTGGGACTTGCTAAATTGTTCCGAATCGGATATCGCGACTCTTCGTGCTAATAGGCTGGATGAAATCATGTCGATGCATCAGAAAACGTACTTTAGACATCCACCTTGGGCTGTCACTGTGTTCAATACAGGCGCTAAACGTGTTATGATGTTCACCATACACCACTCTATACATGACGAACCCTCACTCAATATGATCCTGGATGATGTGCGATGCGCTTACACATACAAGCCACCCTTGCGATTCCAGCTTACCGATGCGCTTTCGCTTACCCTTCCTACTGAAAAGAGGAGCAAGGCAACTAGCCAATTCTGGGAATCTCAGCTCAAGGACTTTTCAGACCAGGATGCTCCCGTTTGGCCAGACCTAACCGGCAAGAAGCTACAACCGGGCGAAGTGCCAAAGTACGAGTGGATTTCAGAAGGGCTTCCATTGACAGAGTCGGTTTCGAAGTTGCAGGCCACTGCAGCCGAGTTGGGATTATCCTCTATTGCATCCATCATTCGAGCGGCGTGGTGTTATGTCTCGACAAGCTATCTTGGAGTGCCGGCCGCTGTATTCGCTGAGACACTCTCCGATCGTGTCCTGCACCCCGACCTTGAGAACGGCATTGGGCCTCTGATATCCGTTGTACCTATTCCGTTCAACTCTAGCGGAAGCATTCGAGAGATCTTGGTTGATCAGCAACGGGTCTCTGCTCAGGCTTGGAAATGCCGCCATATACACGCTCGCGAAGTACGAAAGTTGTTGAATCGTCAAAGAGGCGAGGCGCTCTACCCGGCGGTGTTCAATTTCCATGTTGCGACGGATGACTCGGTCGAGCTCATAGAACCAAGCATCTGGCGCGAGATAGACGATCAAGTGGGCCTACACGTTGAACACCCCATGGCGTTCAATGTCTTTCAGCGCCCCAACGGTACGCTGTATGTGGAGGCCTCTTCGGATAGCAGGATAATGTCACGTGTTCAGCTGTCTCTCTTTGTCCGCCAGGTGGACGGCATAGTCAGTACAATGCTTTCCTCGATTGACGAGTCTTTTGGAAGTCTAGTCAACCACATCCCGAAAGCTCTGCGGTCAATCTCTGATCAGCCGGTCAGCGAGGAAGTGGCAAACTCGGTGCGACTGAGCCCGACGCACTGGCTTGAACTATATGCTGCGAAACATCCCGATTTGATAGCCGTTGAAGTCGCCAGTAGCATAGCTGAGTCTGGAATTGAGAAGGAGACTATGACTTATGGCGGCTTGAACGCCCAAGCCAATCGCGTTGCTGCCTATATAGCCTCTCTGGGCTACAAGAACAGAATGATCGCGGTCTGCTCCGAGCGAGATTTGATCTCGTATCCCATTATCATCGGCATCTTCAAATCGGGAAACACTTATCTCCCGGTTGACGATGGTCTCCCATCCGAGAGGAAAGTGTTCCTGATTGAGGATGGCGATTGCCCGATCGTGTTCACCGAGAAGCAATTCGCTGCATCCTTTGAACATGTGCCAGGAACATGTCAAGTTACATGTTTTGACGATCCGGCTTTCTCCGAATCATTGGCCGTGATGCCAGCCGAAGATAAGAACTATATGTCTGACCCTGACGATCTAGCCTACCTTTTATACACTTCTGGCTCTACGGGCAAGCCTAAAGGCGTCATGGTGACTAGAGGCAACCTTTCATCATTCATCGAGTCCTTTTCGGAATTCACCTGTCGCCGGGCCCCGGTCACTTTAGAGCTTGCAGGAGCTGGCAGATATCTCGCTCAAGCTAGCCGCGCCTTTGACCCGCATCTTCTGGAAATGTTCTTTCCCTGGAGACATGGTATGGCGACTGTGACGGCCCCGCGAGCTATGATCCTGAACGATCTAGGACTGACGATCTCTAAATGGGATATCACACACGCAAGCCTTGTTCCATCTTTAGTGGATCAATCCAACATCGTCCCTGCTCAATGCCCCAGTCTAAAATACATGACCGTTGGCGGGGAAAAGATAACGCAGAAAGTGCTGGATACTTGGGCTTCGGCACCGGGCTTTGCGCTTGTAAACGCATACGGTCCCACTGAGGCGACAATAGGCTGCACGTTCGCCCCTGTAGGCAAAGAGACGAACCTACGTAACATCGGGCCTCCGCTCAGTGCCTGTGTTGGTCACGTCCTTATGCCCGGCACACTCACTTACGCCCTCAGAGGGCAGACAGGAGAACTTTGTTTCACGGGTGACCTGGTTGCGAAAGGCTACCTCAATAGGCCTGATGCAACCGGGTTCGTCACAGGGCCTAACGGGGAGAAGATGTATCGTACTGGTGACATCGGGCGGTTGATGCCAGATGACTCGGTCGAGTACCTTGGCCGTGGCGACGACCAGACAAAAATCCGTGGCCAACGGCTGGAGCTTGGAGAGGTCTCCGAGGTTATTCGCTCATCTTGCAATTTTGACATTAGCGTTGTCACCACTGTCGCGAAACACCCTGGCCTCTCTCGACAACAGCTCATCTCCTTTGTCGCACGATCAAATGCTCGCAAGCGTGAGCAAGGCATAGATGTTGCTTTCCTGTTCTCGGAATTCGCGACGCTTGGCCGAGAGCTACAGGATGCTTGCAAGAAAAAGCTGCCAAGCTATATGGTGCCTGAGCTTATCCTTCCCATCACTTACATTCCGCTGGCGCCTCTGTCCGGAAAAGCGAACATTAAGGAATTGGCTGGGCTCTTCTCCGATCTTCCCCTTTCGACTATCCTGCAAGGGAACAATGCCCCAAGCAAAGACAGCACTGTGACTAACCGACCTTTATCTGCGGACGAGCAGGCCGTGGCGAAGGAGCTCTGCGGTGTCGTCTCGTCGGATCCATCGACTATTGGACCGATGACCAACATTTTCGAGATCGGCGTTGATAGTCTCAGCGCAATCGGCCTTTCCATCAAGCTCAGAGCGATTGGCTATCAAGCTACAGTGGCCCTTGTCATGAGTAACCCGTTTGTTGAGCAACTTGCACGTTTACCTAGGCGTTCCTCTTCAGCGACGGAATCTGCTATGTCTGAGGTACGTCGAAAGTTCGCCCAGGTAGAGTCAGAATACAGGGAGGACCCCGTTGCAGACATCGATTCTGCTCGCGTGGCTGCAGTTCGACCCTGCTTGCCGCTGCAGGAAGGCTTGGTTGCCCGCTCCATCAACAGTGAAGGCAACCATCTTTACGTCAATCACATCATTCTCAAGCTTGAGCATGATGTCGATCTTAATATGTTGAGGTCGGCATGGCAATCAGTTGCTGATGAAAATGAGATCTTGAGAACTGCTTTCGCTCCTTTCCACAAGCAGATGGTGCAGGTAATACTTGCAGTCGGTGCCCATCAGATCCGCTGGGAGGAGGCAGAGTACGACAACTTGGACGATGCGATCAAGAAACATGAACAAGAGCATGAGCGGATTTCTCAAGACATTGTCTCGGGTATCTCTAAATCTCCTCCTGTACGGTTTCTGGTCGCCAAGTCCTCGGGCACGAATCAACCTCTTGCCTTGTTCATCGATATTCACCATGCACTCTATGATGGCGAATCCTTCCTAATGTTGATGGAGGATGTTGCAGCCCGGTACGCAGGCGATGAGGTTCCTCAGAGAGGATCACCGTCAGAGTTCATCGAGCATGTCTACGCCCAAGATGTGGAGAAGGCAAAGGAACACTGGGTTCAATATTTGGATGGCTATCATTCCACAACTTTCCGAAGAGACTCCAATTCAAGGGAGGTTTCTGCTTCCATGAGCAGAGAACTCAAGAACAGTCTCAGTGAGTTGGAACGTTGTTCTGCAGCGCTTCATACCACCGCGCCATCCCTGGTTCAGGCAGTGTTTGCACTTCTGCTGGCCGATACTGTTGGAGCTCCCGACGTGACGTACGGCTTGGTTTTGTCGGGCAGGGCCGTTTCTGTGCCGGGCGCATCGTCTGTTCTGCTGCCGTGTATCACCACGGTCCCTGGTCGCCTCAACACCAACGCACTTGAAACGGTTGATGAAGTGATTGAGCATGTGCAAAAGTCCACGATCAGATCCCTCGAATTTCAGCACACTCCCTTGAGACACATTCAGAGATGGGCTGAAGCAACTACACCTCTGTTTGACTGCCTCTTCTCATACATTCGCTCCACACCTCCCCCAAAACACCGTTTGTGGCATGAGTTGGACAGTTTTATGCCTGCAGAATACCCCCTTGCTGTTGAAGTTGAAGCAGACCATGCAAGTGATACGATGCATCTGCACTGTAACTTCTCGCCTTCATTTGGCACTACCTACAATGCGGAGGAGTTTCTTGAAAAGATGGAGGCTGTGATCTCGAGCGTCGTGTCTGGCGAGAGTCTTTCCTTGGCCAACTTCAATTTATCGCGGTCCTCCACGCCGGGTACGCAGTCCCCTGTTGCCTCATGGGACAATTCTATTTGGTCTCCCATAGAGACCCAGATCCGAGAGCACACCGTGGCTTTCTGTGGATTGACTGCAGAGAATGTTACGAAAGGTGCATCATTCTTGAGCCTGGGTATTGACTCTGTCACGGCGATTCAGTTCTCCCGCAAACTACGCGAAGCAGGCTTGAATGTTGCTTCGTCTGATGTTATGCGTTTCTCATGTACTGGCGCTTTGGCCAAGCACATTGATGAGACTATCAGCAATGGCGTCTCGGACCAGAGATCAGAAGCCGACGAGAGTGAGACTATCGATGTTGAGGTCTACGGAAAACATATCAGCCTTCTGACTGACGAGGACTCCATTCCTGCGATGTTCCAGACTACGCCTTTGCAGTCAGGAATGATCACGCAAACCCTGGCTACTGACGGACAGGTCTATGTTTACCCGCATCCCATCAGACTTGCAGCTTCTGTTGATATTTCTCGCCTCAAATCTGCCTTGGTACAAGTCATCGAAAAGAATGATATTCTGCGCACCTCGTTCCATCTGATAGAGGAGCTTGGTTCCTCCTGGGTTGGTGCTGTTCATACCAAACCACCACTCCACTGGGAAGAAATTGCTTTGCCCTCCGGCATCAACGTTCTGACCGAGCTTGAGACTATGTACTCATTCCGCGATGAGTCTAGCTTCGAAACCCCGCCTATCAGAACATTCTTAGTTAATCAGCCGGAGGGGAGAGTTCTCGTGATTGCCTTGCACCATGCACTCTACGATGGCGCTTCTATCCCGTTCTTCTTTGAAGATTTAGCCGTGCTCTACAATGGCGACTCGCCCACTGAGAGACCGAATTTCTCTGAAACAGCTAAGCATATCCTGAAGGGGCAAGACGAATCCGCCCGGTTCTGGACTGAGAAGCTACAGGGATATGAGATCTCCGAGATCCCTGTGCTTCCCGCCTCTGAAACTAGCGAACGCGTTTTCACGTCCGAGCGGCCGCTGGATGTCGACATTTCTCGCGTGATTGAGGCTTGTAAAGCAATTGAGGTCACCGTGCAAAGTGTCTCCCTCTTGGCGTACGCTAAGTTGCTGGCTCGTTTTGTAGGAAAGCGTGACGTTGTATTTGGGCAAGTCCTTGCGGGTCGATCGCTGTCAGTGGCTGGCGCTGAGAAAACACTGGGGCCATTGTTCAACACTGTCGCTCAGAGAATCAGTTTTGAGCCGAAGTTCTTGAGCAACAAGGCTATGGCTCTCCGTCTGCAACAGTTGACGACCGATGCGCAGTTGCACCAAAACGCGCCTTTGCGGACTGTGCAAAACTCGTTGAGACGGTCCAATGCTCTTACCTCCTCGGCTCTCTTTGATACACTTTTCGTGTTCCAGAAGAGTGCGGACTTTGCGGGCAGCATCATCAATGAGCAGAAGATTTGGACGCCATATGAGGTTAACAACTACACCGCGCAGGCTGAATACAAATTAAACATTGAAGTTGATCATGGGAGCCAGGGGATCGTGGTCAATGCCTCTTGCAATGGCAGGTATATCACCCAGGACACACTTGTCAAACTCTTGGATGAGTATGCGGCCATTTTCGAGGATATCGTCGAACATCCCACTAGGTGTGCCACGATCGTACCTGAGGGGCTTGGTGACCTGCCGATGAAATTGGCTCGCCAAGAGCTGCACGATCATGAGGTCGAAGATTCTGACAAGCCAATCCATGAGGATATTGTTCGAGCTATACTTGCAGAAGTGGCTGGTGTCTCCGTGGACAACATCAAACCAAGCACAAGCATCTTCAGTGTTGGCTTGGATTCATTGTCCGCTATTCGTATTGCTTCCCTCTGCCGCGCGAAAGGACTGAAGACTGGTGTTGCCGACATACTGCAAGGCAATACTCTTCGTGGTATCAGCAAACGCATTACATCCATCTCCGAGAACGAGACGCGGTCTCAGGGGTTCCTCATAGAGAATCACGAGCAAGTAGAGAGTGTGGTTTTCCAACAACTCGGCTTTGAGAAGGACTCGGTTGAGGCAATTCTCCCATGCCTTGGTGGGCAGTTTTATCACCTTGCTAGCTGGCTCAAGTCCGGAAGAAGACTGTTTGAAGCAGCCTGGCCGTACTTCTGCTCCGAACGCATTGATGCTGCAAGGCTAGAGGAGGCTTGGTTTCAACTGCAGCAGAGACATCCCATACTGCGGACATGCTTCGCAGCGACCTCTTCGACAGACGTTGTACAGGTTGTCATGAAGCAGGCAATGCGTGACACGAACAAGTTCAAGGTTATCGAGTGTTCCAACTCCATCACGGAAGCTGCCAAGACCCAAGCTAAAGAAGAGGCGCTACATCCGTCTTCACTATCCACGCCTCCTGTTCGTCTGCGACTCTTGAAAGCAAATGATCGTGATGGCATCCTTGTACTCATCAACCACGCAGCGTACGATGCATGGACAATGCCGATGTTTGTGACTGAGCTCGCACATCTTTACAGGGGTCAAAAGTTTGAGAGCAATCCGGCATTCCCTGCCTTCGTGGACTTCTCCCTTCGCTCCCTTCGCGAACTTGATGAAAAGCAGTATTGGTCGTCTCATCTTGGTTCGGCTGCCCCCACTCTGATCAAGAAAACCCAAGAAAGACATGAGGTGCCCGACCAGCTGTTCGTCAGTGCCTGGGAGAAGGTTAAAAACCTGTCACACTTGGAAAGAACATGTCGCGCTGCAGGCATCAGTCTTCAAGCTGTGGTTCTGCTTGCCATCTCTCGCACCCTTTCTCGACTGACAGGAGTTCCAAGCCCCACGTTGGGTCTCTATCAGACGGGCCGTTCCGCGGCCTTCGATAACATCGACAAGCTATCCGGGCCATGTCTCAACGTCAACCCATTTGTCGTTCCCGAGGTCAACCTGGCCGACGATGCCTCTCCGACTGCTCTCGTGGATCAGGCACGTGCTATACAAACCTCCCTTGCAGAACGTGTCTCCTACGAGCAGAGCTCTCTCCGCGATGTTCTCGGGTGGTCCAGCAAGCAACAGACCGGCGGTCACCTGTTCAATACCTGGATCAATCTTCTTTGGATGCAGAATGCTGTCCCCTCGACCAACGACATCACGCCGGAATCGGAAGTGGGCGAAAACAGCGACCTATTCCTGCCTTTACAGATCGGTGTCCCGACTGATTTCATCCCATCCGAGCCACTTGATGAGACAGCAACGTCGGTGGCGGCCTTGGACACCTCATTCCTGCCGGACGAGAATGTCTTCATCGATGTCGGTCCTGATCCCAAGACCGACTCTATTGGTTTTGGAGTGCGGGTGGAAGGTGGGGTGTTAAGCGAGGAAGAAGTGAACAGTCTCTTGACAGAGATTGCGAGCGCAATTGAGATGCTTGTATCGTCTCTCAATGCAGCTTGAAATAGGGGATGGTTTAGCGATGGAGATGTAATTTGGAGGGATGTGGTGACTGTTGGCGAAACTGGCTCATTCATGCATATACCGGGGCTTGACATATTGCGACACTTGCCTGCTTTCTGATTTTCTGTCATAGATTGCTTTAGAGTTAGATCTTCTGATCTTACGAATGGTTTTGCATTCAGTCATAGGTTGGCAACAGTAGGCTCGCATATGCAGCAGGATCTATAGCCCGATGAAGTTCCCTCCACGTAGAGAATAGCCTGGCATCCCACCCTTCAGTCTTCTCCTCTCTTGAGAACAATCCCACGCCTTTCCCTCTCGTCTCCTTCCCTAAACTGCTCCGCAGTATACTTAACAGCCTCACCCTCTTCCTCTTCAATCCCCTTCCCCAATTTTCGCGATGGTGCGAACAATCGCCGATAATCCGACGAGGTTAGATCTCAAAAAGCAGAGATTGTCCTCCATGGAGGAGGCTCCTCCCTCTTGCTTTTGTGGCGCGGTTTATAGAAGATCGGGTCCAGCACGTTTGTCTGATAGTGTACAATTTCAAAGAAAGACAGATCGTATTAAGCAGATTAGATACATTAGACATTGTTAGAAAGAAATTGGAAACAAGAGAAACAAATCCGTACTCATACAGGGTGTAGATTACACATGACAGTTCAAGTCGCCTTCTCCGTTCCACACACACATTTCTCAACAGATACAAACTACTCTCCACCTCCATATTAGATCCCCAAGCTTCTCCCCCACTCCGCCTCCAGACTAGATCACACCATGCTTCCTCCACATTCCGTCACAAATGCGGCTATGTCAACCGAAGAACAGAGCTACTCATCCTCATCAAGCTCCTCGGCGAACAAAATCTCATAACCAGCAATACTCGTATACGGCGGCACCACCGAAACCAGCTCAGAGAGATCAAACCCGTCAGGAGTCAGAGGACACGACGAGTCCGACGAAGCCGTCGAGACGGACGAGCGCGAGGAGCCAGGACAGACATCCCTGCGGCCTCTCACCGGCGACGACAGGGTATCACTGAAATCCCACTCCCAGTCATTATCGGCTTGGCGCTCACGGCGACGGCGGCGCAGGTACTCGGGGTTCCGGCCGGGGAAGACCGGGGCATCGGGGATGAAGGGCAGAGCCAGCAGGGCGAACTGCTCGAGGTGGGCGGCGACGTGGTCGTACAGGCGGTGCGCGGCGGCGTGGGCGTCGAGGTTCCGGATGTAGGCTTCGTCGTTGGCGGGCGGGTCGCCGGCGCGCGGGCCGCAGAAGGGGCACGAGCGGAGCACGGCGGGCGACGGACGGCGCGAGTACCGGCATACGTAGCTCATCTGCGAGGTGGTGTAGTCGTGGGCGTTGATGCCGTGCTGCTCGAACGAGATCTGCGTGTGGAATGTGCGGTTGCGGCATTTCGCCTCCAGGCACTTCCAGGTCGACCCGTGATGCACTTCCATGTGGTACAGCCATTCGTGCTTGTTGCGGAAGGTCTTGGTTGCGGCGCGGCATTCGATGAATACGCAGACGTACGGCTCTAGGTCGTTGAGGACGTGGTTTCTGTTTGTTTATCTCTCTGGGTTAGTGTGGTGCTGTTGTTATCAGGGGAAGGAGATTGGGGGGGGGGGGGGGGATGGTGGACTCGCCTCCATTCGGTGGGCTCGGCGTATTTGGCCGGCAATGTGAACCGACAGTAGGGACACTCGAACCTCTCCTGGCCCGGCGCGAGGGTAGGCGGAGCTGGATGCTGTCCGCTTTCTGCGGCTCGCATCGTCACCCAGAAGGTCGGCGGGTTGAGGTTGTCTCTCAGGATGTTCATCGGGGAGTGGTCGTGGTAGCGCCAGTGATAGTTCAGCGCCCGGCGACGACGGCAGATCATCTCCGCCAGACGGCGATGGAGCAGCTCGTTGCGCACCTGGCATTTCACGCTAATGGCGTGCTTCATCAGCATCTCGAACACCTGGCTGACGTCGGCTTCCCACTCGTCACGCACGACAAACTCGGGGTGTCGGGTCATCAACTCGCTGTGCACGTATGTGCTGGCCCGCGCGAGAACCTCAGTGACGCTGCCGAGCAGCTGAACGACGCAGTACATGTCATTCTGGCACACGGCCAAGACAGCTTTCAACGCATCCTGATTAGGTCCAGCGGCGTCCTTCTTGACTACCTCCTTGGACGTAGTTCCAGACGAAGTAGCCTCGGAAGACAAGCCGGCAGCCTCGACATCGCGTATCTGTTTCTTCGCTATGCAGGACTTAGCACTCATTGTATCCATACATGACACCAGGAGAATCAGAAACTTACCGGAATAAATCTCAAGCAGCAAAGACTCCAGCCCGATGTAGATCGTACAGCGCGCCTCAAGCTTGTTCCGAACAAGATAATCCAGCGACCACTCCACGTTCTCCTTCTCGAAAACGTGATACGCTGCGAGCCACTCCCGGAACTCGATCTGATGGATCCGAAACGAGGTCGTGGTTCTGGCGTACTTGCCGGCGAGCGAGTTGAGCTCCTTACGGCATTTCATCGCCATCTCGGCGAGAGGTGCCAGGCCTGGAGGATCCATGGCTCTTTTCGCCGGGGCTGATCTGCTAGGCAGGGGGATAGTGGAGGGCGAGGGCCCCGGAGAATCTGAAGCACAAGCTGCAGTTAGGGATAGGATGTAGTGAAGAAGATGTGGTTCTCTGGTGAGATGAAGACAGGGATAGATTCAGATGAACAGTGTGTAGGTGAGTAGGTGACTGTGCAATCGAGAGACTGTCTGCTCGGTCTTGTCGGTTATCCTCTTTTGAAGACAGTGCTATCGGCAGGAGACACCGACGAGATCAGAGTCTGAAAGAGTAAAGAGAGAGTGAATGTGAAGAGAGTAGGACGTGAGAATCAAAATCCCACGCAAAGAGCGTGTTAAGAGACTGATTGCGTGTGACCATGCGCTCAATCCATCACATATGTATGTTCGCTTAGCAATCGATTGCGCATGAACGGGGCTGACTCGGACTTGGGAGACAGATTCACCCTCGGCCCTGTCGGCTCAAGTTGTTTTGTACCGATTCTCACAAAATGCATATCGGCATGCCGACGCTGGCAGTGGGTAGTGTGCTGTGAAAGCCGAGCCGTAGTTCAGCCCGATGCATAAACGCACTTTATCTCTCCTTGACCGACTGTGACATTTAGTTGTCTGAGAGAACACGAACATGAATATTTGTCTGTAAGTCGAATTAAGACATTATGCCTGGGAAACAATATGAACATGATTATTCTTCATGTCTAACTGAGTGAGAGATTCACAGACCAAAACCTCCGCTGTCCATACTCCGATGACAAACACAATACGCCAATCCTGTGCAGAAGTAAACATTATGTACAATGCATATGAAGCAAAACCCGGATGCCAGCCAAGCGCTTGTTGTGTCCCTCTCTATAAAAGCTCGTTTTTTTCATCATAGCAGACCCTACCGATGCTCTTCCCGAACCTGGAATTCCTTCTGTACCGTGATAGATAACAGATCCATGGGGCCGGCTTCCTCATCGCTATGCCGGCCTTTCCCTATGCTGTCGAGCTCGAAACGTGCGGACGTTGTCGTTAACATAGCCTCCTCGTCCCGCCGTGCGATCCTTTCGTCTCCCCCTTGTATCTTGCTGAGGATGTTGGGCGCATAACGGACGGCTTTCGGTGGACCGGTGCTTCGTTGCTTTGACTTGACGGGAGTCGGGGTGCCTAGCATGCGATTCATAATGGTTCGGAAAAGCGGTTGTAGGACGGGCAGGCAGGCGCAGAAAATTCCAATGGAGGGCTCGATGCTCGACCAAATGAACACGTCGCCTAAGACCCAGGTAACGTCGACGCCGCTGACAAAGGTAAAGTAGTAGATCCGGATAGCGCTTGCCACGCAGACACTGGAGAGTGGGTGTGTCGTTAGTCGCTATCTCTCGATTCGGAAGGTACCCGGAGACAAAACTTACAATCCGCCTAGAAGGAAAATGCTCAAAATCTGGATCTTCTGCGACAGTCGCAGTTGAAGGCTCCAAATCAGAGGAATGGGCACCAGGAGGATAACGATGTCACCGACCATGTTCGCAACCGCATGGCCAATGTAAAACGCGTATAGATCGTATCTCTCTCTGCCGCCCTTGGGATTCAGGTATTGGGTCCAGTAGTAGGATACGGGTTGGCAGGCCGTCAGAAAGGCAATGGTGCAGCCGACCCAATAGCTCAAAGCCAAGAATATACAAGCCCACATGGTCCATCTCATGCCGAAGATGCGCCGGTAAGACAAGATGATCGACAGTTTGATCAGGGTGACAGTGGTAACGTAGAGGAGGACATTGGCGAATAGGATCTACAATAAGCTCATATTGTCAGTGGTTTGATCCATGCGTATTGTAGAAGGCAGTCCTGACCTTCGCCATTGCTATGATATCGTTCATATTTACCACCCAGATGTGTTTGCCGACGCCATACTTGCCACCTAAGTACAGTTAGTATTTTCGACCGATGAGATTGCCTGAGAGCCACCTACCAACTATAGCACTCGCCATATTTGCCGTGCCTGATAACTGTTCCGGGATATTAGTCGAGGTTTGGGTAGGTACAAGACGTTGGATATGTACCAGTGCTGTGACGATCAACCAATCATCCAAGCCTATGCGAGCCTGCTGTACCTTCGTCCGCGAGAATAACCGAACACTGATGGCGAGAACAGCTAAGGCGTACATCGTCGCGACGATAGCGGTGTTCTTCGATTCATTGTTTGCTGTGAGGTCGATGCCCTGCGGCGGCAGACCGACTGATTCCGACATATCCAGCGCCTTTATTGATCGAACGTGCCCAGAAGCATCGTGGGACGAGAAAATCTGAAATTTATCACGGCGGCGGGACAATCCGGGGGGCCCATCTAGCTTTTGTCTTCGATCCTTCCATCAGGGGCCAGCATAGTGGCTGTTAATATAGAGACCGAACCACATGGCTTGAGGGCATAGTGGGTGAGCCTAGCCCTAACCCATGATGCAATCCTTCAGTAACCCTGGGGCTGATTTGCTCTTTGGTCCATCTGTAAGCCCAGTATTCTAGAATTTACACACGCGATCCAGCCTGTGAGCTTCAATTATGTGTAATGCGTATCCAGCACAGGGGGCCAAAGGCAGTTCTCTGGTTCTTAACATGATCGTAGGCCAGTGGGGGCGCTTTGACAGAACGATCTCCACTCGGTCGGTCATTTTGAGTGTGTCGCGGGAAACTGGCCGAAGTCCGTGTTCCGGTGCGGAACGGCGCACTAACTGCCAGAGATTGATTGTTTTCAGTCAGTTGACTGGTTCTCTAGTTTGAGCCAGTCTGAGAGGAGGGGGAAAAAAGGAGTATTCCAACGGCTGATTCAAGTGCATCCAGAATTTGAGATCAGTGCAGCAGCTCGGTTTGTCCGAGCGAGAATCCCAGTATAGCCATCCGGCCCCCAGCTTAGTTCTTACATGCACCTCACCTCCCACCGTTGAGGCAAAAGGCCCTCTAGATGCATGCATCCTTGCAAGGTTGGAATTGGAATTGTGCGTTCCTCACGCCCCCAAAATCCAAAAATCCCACGTTTTTGACTCAATGCATCCCTCTCGACACGTGGGAAACCCGGTGGCCTGATGACAGCTAGTCAGGCAGTGCGGTTACCCGTGCGCCATGCTTTCAAGCATGATCCTGTCCATATGAAACAGGTTCGCAAGAGACCCACTAGCCACGGAATGTCTCCTAAATAGAGCTTCTGTAGTGCATAGTACAAGCTGATATGTATCCAGCGATGTGAGCGAATGCCGAATCCACGAATGGAACCTCGAGACGTTTATCTTTAAAGCCGGCGATAAAATAGTTGACGTATGCGCTATGCCGAACTTGGCCGACCATTTGCGACAAGCTCTCCATGGTGGCAGGGGGTGTCAACATCCCACTTAGAAGCCAGTGTCGGAGCTTTAGGGTCAATTCACCGGGCACAGCGCGAGAGACCGAGTCAACATGTGACTGATAGATTGCACACTAAGTACTAAGCCGTAGTACTCCGATGGATGCTTGTTCCTTCGGCCGTCACCGGGGAGTTGGTTCTAGAGAGATCGCCATTGGACGAAGGTGACCCTGAAGCTGTGTGTGTCTGTCATATGACTAGTTACCTTCCAGAAATTAACCCCAAACTGGATAGTAGAGAAATTTTGGCTGCAATTGACCAGGATGAAGGTTCGCCGAGTGATCAAAGTACGTCAAGGGAAACTCGGAGAATGGACTTCAAGATGGCGATGGAAATGCTTCCAGAAGCCGAACGGAACGGAAGCACCCACTGTGGACTCATCACTCACTCCCTCCCACACCGCCCGACCCGGTCCGACCAACCCACTCTTTCTTTCTCTCAGTGACAGCTCCGGGTAAATTAAACGGATCTTCTCTCATCCGCAATGAAGGCAACACAGTTCTTCTTTCTTCGCAATCTCGACTCAGTCTAGTTTATTCGAACTGCTTCTCTTTTTACCCCTCCACTCTCTGTGCGAATCATGACCGACCGGTTTCTGGGTCGTCCCAAGCATTCTGCTGCTTGAACTAGCCATCAACCATAAACTTTGTGAGGTTGAGGACGGCCTACCTATGTGACCATCCTAAGATTCCACCGGTCTTCATCCCTTGCAATCTCCGCGCTGTGCTACTTGTGTGCCCGGTCGGTAGTTCCAAGTTTCACTTATGAACGTTTACTGTCGCTTGATTATGTGGATCTTAGTCTAGGTGATCTCCCATGAACGGCCAGGTACAAGACTTGGCTCTACGCGCGTTTTCAAGATGTGCCGGCAATGACTCTCCGGCATTTCATTATCGGGTTCACCCCGGATAGAACTTATTCGGTACCACTCCATATCTGTGCTCGCCTTCTAGGTCATCCAGTATTGACAGGTGGACACGAGCCCTGAATCCTTATGCGAGGCCAGTGCGAGCAAGTAGAAGTCAAGAAGCCCCGGCACTCTTACGCTCAGGCGGCATTGGACGAGCGGAGTGAAGACAAACAAGCTTTCGTTTCAAGAGATGATCTCCACCCTCGCTCACTACTTGGCAGGTTCATCTTCACACGGGTTCTTGATGAATGTATCAGGACCCATTGGCGCAGCGGCACGAATCCCTCAGTGCAAGCGCCAAGTAGCCCTTGAGTTTGAGCTCGAGTCGAGGCTCGCTGGACAGGATAGACCTCACACAGAGCCTTGGGTGTCCTGCAAAACATCTTCGAAGGTCGGTTTGATGGAAGTCTCCCAGTCGTGCTCAGTCTTCAAAGGTTTCAATCCAATCACGAAAGCTTTGTCGGGCGTAGTGCTAGAACTTTTCGCTCGGTTAGATCTTGCTCGTGTTGCAGATGAGGTCTGAGTCTCACTTGGAACCAAAGCACGCCTCCGCATAACTAGCGTCGCCATCGGCGAGTTTTGCCGCGGCCTCCTAAAGACTGATCGATCTCGGCACAGCTGACTTCAAGACGCTCAACTCATACCCTGCCTTGCCTATCCGGTTCGTCACAGCGATCCACTTGTGGGACCCGGTATTGGCGAAGTAGTAGCCATCCCGGCCACTAGAGATCTCTTTGCCTGACAGGATTCTCGCGACCAATGCTACGTAGAGACGGGCGAGATCTTCCACATGGACGTGATCCAGCTGTGCTTCACCGGTATCGAGATGATCGCGTAACCAGTTGCGATTGCATTCCTGATGAGCGTAGGAATCTGGTGTGACTGTTTCTTGAACCATCCGCTACCCCGGCCGTAGACAAGAGGCGGCACGATGATATAAGCCTTAACTCCTAAGCGTTCACCTGTCTGTGTGGCTGTGAGCTCGGCCGTTCTCTGCGCATAGGCTTCATGGGCCTCGCGCATTTGCTCGTATTCGAAGAGATCATTGCCTTGATTGGGAAAATGACCGTAACCCGAAGGGAGACGGCGTAGTAGAGGGGACAGAGATGCAGGTTGTACCGGACAGCTGAAGGGTTCCAATATTATATGTCAGGATGCTCTCCAGTGGGCACAGCGACATGCACGGTCACTCACATGCAAATAATGAACATCCTGCCCAGTGTGCTCTCGCCTCTTGCCAAGACCCTGTATGAAGACCTTGGGCGCAGCAACATGAAAGCCTAACCCGACGTTCACCACGATATCGTGGCTGCTTGCCGCTTGTTCCAGTGCGTCCGCATCATCTCGACCGGTGACAAGGATTGTATGAACGCCTTTACTGGCCAAGACGTCCGCTTGCACTAGATGGCGTACAATGGTCGTGATGGCTTGGTCTGCAGATTGCGATTTGGCGAAGTCTAGTAGCTGATGCAACACGATTCCTCCACTGCCAATATTAACTCGTGTTAGATATCTGTGCGTGGCTCTTCAGGGCTTGAACATACATGAAGCCAGTGGCTCCTGTTAGGAGTATTCTGGTCTGTGCCATTGTAAATTGATCCGCTAGTTACAGCGACACGCGATGAACACCTAGATATTTGGGGATCGCGTGTAAGCTTATACCCTGCTTCGTGGCTGATCACGAGATTACAAATAGAATCTTGATGCATGCGGGCCTTGAAGCAGGGAGTTCCAGCTTGCTCTACAATTATGACATGGTCTTTCACGACACAGTACGATTATTGGCACTACGAGAAGCGGTAGAGAGTGCTTCTAGGCAAAACCATACATACTGTTGCTGGCAATATGAATCCGTCTCTGTATAGCTCTTTCAAGCTTGATGCTGGCCATTGACACTACTTAGTATACACATCAAGTATAGTAGCACGTGACAGGCTGGCTTTCCAGACAATGAACCTGGAAACTGAACCGAAGGTTTGTGACTAGCCGAATGCGGACAGGCGTGGGGGAGCAGTTCCGCTCCGCCCCCGACCGCGCCTGTCTCTTATCAACCACCGATGCCGTTTGATCGGCGTGTCTTGTGCCTATATCCTCATCAATAATATCAGCTCGTTATTTTCTAGTCAACATGAGTGGCTTCAGAGGGGTCATGAAAGAGGGCTGGCACCCTAAAGGCCGGGAAGGAAAGAAGGAAGGTTGGAGGAATGATTTCAAAGGCATCAACCAAGTGGTCCGTCTCAGCTCCCGATGACGCAGGCAGCTGATCTTAGTGCTGACCGATTCTTCTCCGTCCAGGCAGGATGGATGGGTAAAGGAAAGGACAAAGATGAGCGCGAAGAACATGTCGCCGTACCGCTCTCCTCCCTGAAGGATCCAGCCTCCTTTGGCCCGCCCCCCAAACACATCAAATACCACGGCGCCGCAGCGCTTCCCAACGAGCTCACGCCGGATCGCAGAGGACTGGGGGCGCCCTTGTCGCAGGATCAAATCAGCCAACAAAACGTACGACAGCAGGAGGAGGAGCAGGCTCAGAACGAGGAGGCTCAGAAACCAGCGCCCCCTCCTCTACCATATCGAGTGAATCGGACCGGACTAGATACGGCCAACCTACCGCCGCCCCCAGTCAGACGCGTGGGATCCCCTGCGGACTCGGTGACATCTACAAGCTCCAAGCCGAAGCCTAGCGTTCCACCTCGACTCCCTTCTCGAGCCAGCTCGACGTTGTCATCGCAGCCGCCTACTCCGCCTCCCGCCTATTCCACACAACCTCAAACCACCAAACCTCTGGAGGGATTACTGAACCAGAATGCCACTTCTAATCTTTCCCGGGCTGGTGTCTCGGTGCCTGCTCTCGGGATCGGGAGCAACCGCAGCCCTCCAAGTGCTGATTCACCGACGACTACGGCCCCAGTCGGTCAAGCTCCGGTAAACGAGCTGCAGTCCCGCTTCTCCCAGATGAGGACAACATCCTCCTCCCCAGCACCACCCCCGCCGGTACGGGGAAGTACCTACGGTAACGAGTCATCGTCTCTTTCTACTACTCACACACGGAGTGGTTCTGGGTCGGTCCAAGACTTCCGCGAGCGTCATAACGACAAAATTGAGGCCGGCAAACAGAAGCTCAACGGGCTGAATGAGAAATACGGGATATCGCAGCGGGTCAACAAATTCTTCGATGACCAGAAGTCTCCAAAGTCTCAGGTACCCCCGGTGTCGTCTCCTCACCTTGTTGCGCATCGTTCATCATCAAGCGTGGACTCGTTGGGCCAGAGAAAGGCTCCCCCACCACCGCCGCCTCCGAAGAAGGCGGAGATGCGCTCGACGCCTGTTAACAGCGCGGGCTCAGCGCCGCCGCCTGTTCCATTCAACACTAAGCCCCGCTGAGCGGAGGGTGACCCAATCACGTTTATATGTAACATTAGCGGGTTGTTACTGTGCGACGGTGTGCTATGTTGCTGCAAGTATATTTAGCGAATCATGCTGTATGCTGGATAGCGGCGCTTGTCCTTATATTTATCTGTACATAGGTTACTCTAGAAAGCACATCAACAACAGATCCAGTAGCGTCCTAGCTTACTAATCCAATCGAGCATAGTCGATGCAGAGCGGCGATGACGTCTCGGTCGGGTTAACCTCCTTGTATACTGCCATTTTCACCGCCTTCAGCCGTTCGGCGGAACTCAATCAGGAAAGTTTGGATGGTGCAGTGACGGATGAGGTCTCATTGATGTCATTCATTCACGGTTGCCTGGTATTGTTGTTCACGTCAATCGCTGAACTGACATGCGGGGGGAAAGAGCATGATCTTCACTTCCATGGATATTGACCCCCGTCGGCGTCAGTCATGTAAACTACTGACCGTGCTCTTGCGCAATGATCAGCGAATGATCCAATTGAGCCGGACAACCGAGGTGTGAAGTAGAGAAGGAGACCCCGGAGAGTCCTTTTACCCTGATTCTACGTAGTACAGGTGCAGGAAATGCAGGAACGAGAGGGAGGGGGGTGGTGAGGAAGGGTGCCTTAGGCTCTACATTCCTATACTAGCTACAATAGCTTTCATTCTCAGCCCCTTCTCGAACCACGAACACAGTATGGTTGCAGAGCAGAACAAATAAGGTGTGAATCACTGAATATCGGGCTTGGATCACAATCACAAGCATGCCAGGCATCTCCAGAAAAATTATTGTTCAGTTGAAACCGCTGCCTTTGTTGGGCCGAGGCTCTGAAGGGCGACCGATTTCCCAACAAAACGCATCATGGCTCCACTTTAATGCTCTGATCGATGCTCCCATTTGTCGTTATTTGGTTTCCTGCTTGGCTCTGTCCGGCGACAGACCGGAGATGCGATGAATCAAGACTGAATTGATTAAGTTGACTGGCGTTTGACCTTTGCACTGTCTCTCCTCCAAGTTCCACCCGTTGAAAAATAATTGCCTCTTAATGCCCTTCAGGCGCCAACGGCGATCTTCTTCTCTTCTCCTCTCCCTACTTTTGTCTTGGTCTTCATCTCAAAAAACCTTCACCTTTCACGCTGTGAGGATTGACAAGGTTGATCCAACAGTCAAAATAACTGATCCTTTATCGGGACTCTTATCGCGTTGATTGGCGCTTGTCTGTGTGCTATTGCGGGTGTGGTTTTCCACTTAGTACTAGACCTTTTTTCTATCCACTGCTGGAGACCCGGCTTCCTTCCCTTTTTCGGGATCAAGGGCGCGGACCGTTGAGAAAGCTTCCCCGTTTTCCCCATTTTCAGAGCAATTGTATTTGGCTGGAACATAATTACCTGGTCAATCCCTCTCTGTCAAATTCTGCGATACCTCACTTGGTGATTGATCACCCATCATCTGTCTGTCTACTCCGTTGTCGCACCCGATCCCTTCACAATGGTCGACATCACCGTCGACGGCCAGTCGAACCCGGCTGTCATCCGCTTCGGACTCCCTCCTGCTTCTCTCCTACAGTTTCCTCCCAGTGAACTTCCGACGACGCTGCCTGCGCCTCTGACCTCCGAGCCAACCTGGTACCAGCCCTTCAACATCCCTCCCGAGCTATACAACCAGCTTCTGGACGTGCGCGTTCCCATCACTATCGCCAGTGTCTATGCCGTCACTGTCGTCCTGTTGAACCGGGTCAACAAGAGTCGCGGCTACAAGCCCTGGGGTTTCAGTCAAACAAAGCTCTTCAAGCTCTTCGTTATCCTTCACAATGTCTTCCTGGCCATCTATTCCGCATGGACCTTCGCTGGCATGATCCGCGCCTTCCGCAACTCCTGGCCGAGCCAAAATGACCCCAACTATGTCGCCGCCGTCGCAGATACTTTGTGTAAGATCAACGGCCCGCGCGGCTACGGCAACGCCGCCGTCTATGATCCTTCCGTCGAGCGGTGGACCATTCGGAACCCGGAATACAAGTTGTCGGAGACCGGCGTGCCTGACTTCACGGATGTTGGCCGCCTGTGGAACGAAGGCCTGGCCTTCCTTGGATGGATCTTCTACCTGTCCAAGTTCTATGAGGTCTTGGATACCGTGATCATCCTCGCCAAGGGCAAGAAGAGCTCCACGCTGCAGACATACCACCATGCCGGTGCCATGATGTGCATGTGGGCTGGCATTCGCTATGTTGCGCCTCCTATCTGGATCTTCACCCTGGTCAACTCTGGTATTCACGCTCTGATGGTACGTACATCGACGCTCATTTCGTGGTTTGTTCCCATTCGCGCTGACGGATTGTTTCACAGTACACCTACTATACCATCACTGCCCTGCGTATCCGTGTCCCCACCGTGATCAAGAGGTCTTTGACCACCATGCAGATCACTCAGTTCGTCATTGGTTCTGCCATGGCTGCTTCTTATCTTTTCATCAGCTACACGCTTCCTCGCAGCCAGGCTGTTGCTGAAGCTCCCCTTGCGACTGCTCAGGTGGTGGCTGCCGAAGTTGCGGAAGAGGGCTTGGTGCCTTGGATCAAGAAGCTCGCGTTCCGGGCTGCTGGTGCTGAGGGCCTTGCCGAAAACGTGGGTGTTCCTGACAGCCCTGCTGCTCCCGCCGTGCAACCCCATCACGTCGGTCCTATGGTCACCTGCATGGACACCACCGGACAGGCTTTCGCGATCTGGCTCAATGTCGTCTATCTTCTCCCCTTGACGTACCTCTTCGCTCGCTTCTTCGTTCGGTCCTACCTGTACCGTAAAGAGCCAGGTGCTCGCCAGCCCACCAACATCCAGGCTGCGGAGAAGGCTGGTTTGGATGCTCTCAAGGGTCTCAGTCGCGAGATCCGCAAGGCAGTCGAGGTGAACGGCGAGACCAGCGAGAGCACCGAGGATGAGGCTTTGAACCGTGTTCAGGCGCTCCGGTCGCACAACAAGTCTCAGCAGAAGCCGGCGGTCGAGAACTCCCCCATTCGCACCCGCGCCACCACTGCTAAGCAGAAGGCCCGCGCTGTCTCCAGCGACGCGGACTCTGATCAGGGCTTTTCTACTGTCCCATCCAAGAAGGGTGCCAAGAAGACCACCAAGGAGGATCTGCAGGGCCCCCCTGTTGTTGTAGACGCGAAGGACTCCAACCCGTTTGAGGTTCTCGATCGCTCCGCATAGTTCCTGGTCTTCTAGGCCTTTGTGTCTTTTTGAAAAGCTCGTTGATTCCCAGTCTCGCTACTCGCTCAGCGAGCTGGTGCACACCTTCCGAGTTCACCTTCGCATAGGTATCCGCTCATTATAGCTCGTTATCTATGTTGCGGTGTCTCGATGATCAGAATCTATTCCGGTTGGACTTTCCGTTCTGGCCACCCCCGGCCGTCAGGAATGAATCAGGGATCGCGCCCCGATCGACTCGGGCGGCGGACGATTCTCTCCAAGCCTAGCATAGGTCGTCTTGCGGCCCCTTGCCTTGTGGCTGCTTTCGCCCCTTCCTCACACTCAGCTGTATAGTATTTGTGACCGGTGTATTGTTGCAATGGTTGGTTGGGTTGCAGTTCATGGCCATTCGTGTTCATGATACCTTTGTCACATTGCCCTTTGTGATGCTTGTGTTTTTATTGGTGTACATATTGAAGGCGTCATTTGCAGGTGGATTTGGGGCTTTGTCGTTAACAGGAGTCTTAGGATTGGGTGCAGAAAAGTGAAAAGCTATCGTTGAGAAATAAGTAGGATGAAAGCAGATCTATGGAACAATTGAATTATGGTCTGAAGATGAAAGACTCCCTTCTCGCCCTAACTCGACTCATCCAATACTATTTTTGCCCTTCCCTGATTTGGGAGGTGGTCATGTGAACTTGGAAGCTCCCGCTCACTGTTTGCCGAAATCAACTTCTCTTCTTCAGGTTATCGGACTACTCATTCGTCTCATTCAAGGGAGACTTACCAGACGGTTCTGATTCTTAGAGCCCTAATCTCATCGATATCATTCATCTAACATCGTTTGCTTCCTCGTTTCAATCCCACTTTTTGTTTGACCTGCTTCGATTGCAATGATGCGATATCCCGGGCTAAGGGGTGACCATGCTGGGACCGAGGCCCCTTAGTGAAGGGCAGGTCCACACGTCGTAAGACACACTTTACACACTCTGCCCATGCCTGACAAGATATCATCCAGCAATTGAACCGACCGAGCCCGTCTGATTCCGAAAGTCGGCCTACGGTGAAATTGCTAACCGGTGAGGACGATGAATGGAGGAAAAACCCCAGGCTAAACTTCCCCACAGCCGTCTTCCCCCTTCCCCCACACCTTTCATCTCGCTATCCCTCTAGACCCTAGAGCATGCCGCAGAGAAAAAGCTCCTCCGCCTCTTCATTTACCAAGCAGCCGACGAGACAACGCCCTTAGTGCATTGCGTGATCGACTTAATCAACTGCCCATATTAAAAAGCGCTCGCTTGGGCCCAATCGCTTACCGTCTCTTGCCTACGTCAGTGGAGATAAAGTGGACAAATGACAACGTCGGTCCTTGGCTTCTGTTCCTTCTTTTCCAACCTGAGCTTTTTACCAAGTTGAGCTCGGCTGGATTTTTTTATTTTTTCTGCTTGTCAAGGTCTACGCGCCAAAAGTCAATTCTGATGCCTAGCTTCAGACCTGTGGATGATGCCGAAATTTCTCGGACGTGGGGTAGCGGCTTCGCTAGGAACTGGGGTATAAATTGAGGGCCCGTGGTCGCAATCGTTCGAGGGAATCGTCTCTTCTTTCAGAACACCCTTATTCAAAAAACCTGTATTGTCCGCACGGCCAAGTGCATGGTTTGACCATGGCGCGACTATTCTTGCCATTTCTTCTTTTGTTGGCGAACCTAGGTCTGCTCACGGCCGCTCAGAACCAAACTGCAGCGGGGTGGGAGATTTACGACGATGGACTGACCACCGATGTGCAGTGGGATCACTACAGTTTCCATGTTCAGGGTCAACGTATCTTTGTCTTCTCCGGCGAGTTCCATTACTGGCGTATCCCTGTTCCCGGCTTGTGGAGGGATATCCTTGAGAAGATCAAGGCTGCCGGATTCACTGGGTTTTCCATCTACACTAGCTGGGGCTACCACGCCCCGAACAATCAGACAGTCGACTTCTCCACCGGTGCCCACAACATCACCTCGATCTTCGATCTTGCTGATGAGCTCGGTCTGTACATCATCGTCCGGCCCGGACCGTACGTCAACGCGGAGTCCAATGCTGGTGGCCTCCCCTTGTGGTTGACCTCCGGTGAATACGGAACCCTACGAAACAATGATTCTCGCTATACTGAGGCCTGGAAGCCGTATTTCGACGAGGTGTCCGAGATCACCAGTCGCTATCAGGTCACCGATGGTCATAAGACGTTGTGTTACCAGATTGAGAACGAGTATGGCAATCAATGGCTTACCGACCCCAGCGAACGGGTCCCCAATGAGACTGCTATTGGCTACATGGAACTTCTGGAGGCAAGCGCCCGCGACAATGGTATCAAGGTTCCTTTGACTTTCAACGACCCGAACATGAACGCGAAGTCTTGGTCTAGTGACTGGTCCAATGCTGGAGGCAATGTTGACGTTACTGGTGTGGACTCTTATCCTTCGGTGAGTGATTCTTACTGTTGTGAGTGGTCTTATCCAACTGACTTCTTTAGTGCTGGTCTTGTGATGTTAGCGAGTGCACCTCCACCAACGGCGAGTATGTCGCGTACAAGCTGGTCGAATACTACACATATTTCCAAGAGTTCCAACCCAACATGCCTTCATTCATTCCCGAGTTCCAGGGCGGCTCCTACAACCCATGGGCTGGTCCCGAGGGTGGATGCGGCGAGGACACTGGTGCGGACTTTGTCAACCTCTTCTACAGGTGGAACATCGCGCAGCGGGTTACCGCCATGAGCTTGTATATGCTTTATGGAGGCACCAACTGGGGTTCGATTGCTACACCCGTGACCGCGTCTAGCTATGACTACTCGGCGCCGATCTCCGAGGATCGCTCGATCGGCTCCAAGTATTACGAGACCAAGCTGCTGTCGCTGTTCACCAGGAGTGCAGCGGACTTGACCATGACTGACCTCGTCGGAAACGGAACCCAGTACACCGACAACAGCGCTATCGCTGCGTATGAACTGCGGAATCCCGAAAGCAAAGCTGCATTTTACGTGACGCGCCACGCGGATTCCACGTTGGACACGAACGAAGCCTTCAAGCTGCACGTCAACACGTCGGCTGGAAACTTGATCATCCCTCGCACCGGAGGTAAGATCAGACTCAATGGACATCAGTCCAAGATCATCGTCACGGACTTCATCGTTGGCTCGGAGACCCTGCTGTACTCCACCGCTGAGGTGCTCACCTACTCGGTCATTGACAACGAGCCGACTCTTGTACTTTGGGTGCCGACCGGCGAGTCTGGAGAGTTTGCTGTGAAGGGTGCCAAGTCCGGCTCCGTCATCTCCAAGTGTTCGGGCTGCTCTGAGCCGGCCTTCCACCGGCAGGGAGGAAGCCTTGTTGTGAGCTTCACCCAGTCCGCCGGAATGAGTGTACTCAAGATCGATAACAAGCTGCGTGTTGTCCTTCTGGACCGGGCTGCAGCCTATCTGTTCTGGGCTCCTACCTTGACGCAGAACCCTCTCGCCCCTGCCAACGAGACTGGTAAGCAGATTCATCTTGACTGGTATTTATGGTCATACTGACTTGTTTTAGTGCTCATTCATGGTTCTTACCTTGTCCGTTCCGTCAAGGAAGATGGCCACACCCTTGAGATCAAGGGTGATGCGGTCAACACCACGGAGATCGAGGTCTTCGCCTCCAAGAAGATCAAGAATCTGAAATGGAACGGCAAGCAGGTCAAGTCGACCAAGACCGCACACGGCAGTCTGCGAGCTTCTCTGGCTGCACCCAAGGCAGTTAGTCTGCCAGCTTTCACCTCCTGGAAGTCGAACGACAGCTTGCCGGAGCGCAGTGTGTCTTACGATGACACTGGCGCGGCTTGGGTTGGTAAGTGTGCACCATGACGAGAACGTTAGGCAACAGGCTAACGCAGTCCAAGCGGCCGACCACATGGTGACCTACAACCCTCACCCACCTGCTACACTTCCGGTCCTCTACGGTGATGACTACGGTAAGCTCTCTGGCCCTCTGCATGAGAGATAGCCAAGCTCACACAATCACCAGGCTTCCACAACGGCATTCGCCTGTTCCGCGGATACTTCAACAGCTCCGCCTCTGGAGTATTCCTCAACATCCAAGGTGGAAATGCTTTGTAAGTCTAGTCCAGACTCCCTGGAAATATTCTGCTAACCACTGGACCAGCGGCTTCTCCGCCTGGTTGAACGGCCACTTCGTTGGCTCCTACCTCGGCAACGCCACAGTTGAACAAGCCAACAAGACCATCACCTTCCCCGCCGAGTTGCTCTCCACCAACCCCAGCACCAACCCCAACGTGCTCCTCGTTGTCCACGACGACACCGGCCACGACCAGACCACCGGTGTTCTCAACCCCCGCGGTATCCTCGAGGCACGCCTTTTGTCGAACACGTCGACTACCCCGGAATTTACCCACTGGCGCCTGGCTGGTACTGCAGGCGGGGAATCCAACCTCGACCCCGTCCGCGGCGTCTACAATGAAGACGGCCTCTTCGCCGAGCGCGTCGGCTGGCACCTACCCGGCTTCAACGACAGCGCATGGACTGTCTCTGCATCGTCGTCCTCTTCCTCGTCGCTGTCCTTCGCGGGTGCAACGATCAAGTTCTTCCGCACCACCGTGCCCTTGCACATCCCCACGGGTCTGGACGTCTCCATCTCCTTCGTGCTTGGCACCCCCAACGACGCGCCCAGCAATGCCTATCGCGCTCAGCTGTTCGTCAACGGCTACCAGTACGGCCGGTACTACCCGTACATCGGCAACCAGGTCGTCTACCCGGTGCCCGCGGGCGTGCTGAACTACAACGGCGAGAACACGATCGCGGTGGCGGTGTGGGCGCAGACGGAGGCCGGCGCGGGGATCACCGTGGACTGGCGGGTGAATTACGTCGCGGACAGTTCATTGAGTGTGGCGGATCTGGAGACGGAGGAGTTGCGGCCGGGATGGACGGCTGTGCGGGAGAAATACGCTTGATGCGAGTACTTTACTTTTAGCTGTGTGGTTGGTTTGATTTCATGAGCGAGATGATGTATAGAAGTAGAGCTAGCTAGCTAGCTTGATGATGATGAATTTGAATGTATGAAGCCAGGTTTGATCATGGACTATGTATACCAGGCACAGTCCTCTACCCAAGTGTGAACAGCTACAAATTACCCTGCGCTACACCCACACAATCAACTTAGTGAGCATCAAACATACACTCCCTTCATCTGACTGATTCTTTCCACTATATGATCTAGCACATCCCCTGAGGAAACAATCAAGCCAACCAAAATCAAAGCAAAGTTAATGCCCAAGGCAACCCAGTGGAAAAGACAGAAAAAGTGGATCAATCCATCACCCCCTCCATCTCCCCAATCTACAACAACAACAACAACAACAACAGCTGCAGTGATATATCCAGTGGTAGACTAATAAAACATTGCAGAGAGATCCCCCGGGCTCTTTCTTGTACATACCTAGCGGAGAGAAATGCAGATTCTAGTTCGAGTTCCAGTCGCGGCCATCTCTTTTTTTCTTTTTGTGAAGACGTGATGTGGGAGCGTCATTTGGACGTCATATTCTTTTACTATTACTCTTACTCTTACTTGTATTTATCTGGGGTTGGACCTGGTCTGGGGTAATGGACTTGGGTAGGGGGGTAGGAGTGGGGAGGGGGGGGGGGGGGGGGCGCGGAAAGATGGATTTTATTTTTAGGTGGGTGAAAGATGGAGTCTGGTTCTTTTCTTCTTTTATTCTTATTTGGGGTTGTTGGGGGTGGGTTATGGGTTTTAGCTTGAGGGAGGAATGTGAATGGGTTTTGATATTTACTTGTATCCCACTTTTGGGAGGAGCCAGGTCTGCACACCTAATCAAGTGTGTGTGTGACATGCAAGGACGGCGGCCTACCGACCTATCTACTTGCTGGCTAGTATCAGCTAGTTTCCCTATAATGTCTCGACCAATCTATAAGGAACAGACATATCTACAGTCACAGGTCCTCCGGGTTCACTACTCCAGCACAATGCCGAACTACTACCCACAAATTTACAACGACAATAACGAAGTGAACCGAGCAGACAATAAACCGAGAAATCATCAATAAAGTAGTATAAGTCATAGAAGTCATCATCAAGCAGCACAGCCAGCCCCCCCCCCAAAAAAAATCCCTTTTCATAATCAAACAGCAAAAAAAAACAAATACACGTCTGCACCAGCAGCAGCAGCACCCGCAGCACCTAAACCAAGAACCGGAATCCCCTGGAACTCGCCTGGCCAGGCACCTCGCCTCCGCTGATGCCCTCTCCGCGGTCGAGCTTCTTGTTCAGTCGCACGAGGACGAAGCGGAGGGCGGTGGCGGCGAGGATGGCTAGGAAGGCTGTGACGCAGTTGACTGTCATTGCTGTGACTGTGTGGATTGTTAGATATGTGCAAGGCACGAGAAAAGCAGACGGATGACTTACTGTATCGGGGAGCGTCGCTGTCGGGGTACATGTAGCTCGCGTAGATACTGCTGATGTTACTGATACAGTTGATCCCTGCCAGGGCGGCGGCACGCTTGGAGGCCGGTCGAGGCAGCGTGCTCGAGATCCAGCCGAGGGCTACCACGTAGCTGGCGTAGAATGACGGGACCATGAGCATCATGGCGACGTAGCGCGGAGCGACGCTCGTGGTGGCGGCCGCGAGGATGAAGGCCGCCACGGAGATATAGAGCGGGAGGGTGATGTGGAAGTAGCGTTCTCCCGTCCGGTCGGCGTGCCAGGCGTTGGTGAAGGCCGACACGACGGCCAGACAGTAGGGAGGGGCGGTCAGACAGAGCGTCTCGATGTTGCCGTAGTTCAGGGTCTTGACGACCGTGGGGAAGAAGTTGGTGACCGAGGCAGAGGAGACAATGCCAAGAATGAGAAGCATCTGAGAGTTTCTGAATCAGTCTCTGATAAGAGGTAGTTTGAGAGCGGATTGTCTTACCAGCAAGTAGGTCTTGATGTCAGTGAACGCCAGTTTGACACCATGCAGGAAGGTCTGCTGCTCGCTATCGACCCAATCATCCTCGCCGATATCTTCCTCCAGACGCCAAGCAGCCAGCTGCTTCTCCTCCTCAGTGAGCCATCCGGTGGTACGGGGGAAGTTAGGCAGAATGAAGACGGAGGCGAAAGCGACGACGATGGTAATGGCTCCCTCAATAATGAAGAGCCAGCGCCTATTCAGAATCAGTGACGGTACCATCGAGATGACCAAGGATTCTAGCATACCATGACCGAAGACCCATTTTGTGGTCCATGCCATTCGTGATTCCCGCAGCGATGAGACCAGAGAAGGCACCCGAAAGCAGAGAACCAGAGTACAGCGCGGCGGTACGGAAACCCAGTTCCTTGCGGGTATACCAGGCACTCAAGAAGTAAAGACATCCAGGCTGGGAGGGAGTTAGCAGGATCTCCCCAGTTTTTCGAGTGGGAAGCATACAAAATAAGCCGCCTCCACGAAACCCAAAAAGAAGCGAACAACAACCAGGCCCGCATAACTCTGGGCTCCAGCCGTGCACGTCGAGATAATACCCCAAAGCAGCATGGAGCCCGGGAGGTAGAGGGCGGGTTTACCGATCTTGTTGAGCAGCAGATTGGACGGAACTAAACAGTCAGAACCAACTGAATCCCAGCGACATCAACAGCATGAGACACCTACTCTGCATCAACAAGTAACCCACAAACAAAATACTGACACAGGTCTGGTATTGGACTCCGACCAGGTTCAGATCTTCCACGAGACCGGCCAATTTGGCAGCCGCCTAGCAGAGTTATCAGCAAGAGAGCATGGGGACAGCGCGGGAAACCACCCACAATATTGTTCCGGTCCAAGTAGTTGAGGATGTACATGATGATGAGCATGGGCAGTAAACGCAGGTCGATCTTGCGGACGAGAGCCCGTTCGGCCTTCTCCCGCTCCTCGGGCGACAGACTGGCGACATAGGCGGGGGCCTCTTTCTGGGGATTGGGCTTGTCGGCGTTGGCCACGGCGTCGGGAACGATCTCGACGTTGTCAACATGGCTCTTGTCGAGGTCCCGCTCGGGATCGTAGGAGGTCCGAGGAGACATGTTGTCTCTCTAGTGGAGGAAGAGGGCCTGTTGAAGGGCGAGGATGGGATGAGTGGATGTATATGAATTGGCCGCGGGGGTGTATAGAAGGACCAGAATCCCAGAAAGTATGGTCACTTAGTGAGAGAGGAATGAGAGAGAAACTTCAATTCAAGAGAAAAAAAAGAAAGCAAGGGGAGAAGTAGAAAAGCCGGGGGGAAACCAGAGTAGAGCCAAGTCGGGATGCAGAAAAGACTTAAGTATAAGCGAACGGGCCAGCAAAAACCGGGATGAATTTTTGGGGTGACCCCAGACTGAAGAAAATGGAGGAGAAAAAGAGGGTCCCGTCTGGGGGACGGAATTGCCCGTGGAGAACACGCCACCCCGATTCGGCATCACTGCATACATTCCATGGAGAGACGGGCGTGGGGGTTACCGAAGAGATTCCGAAGGGGAAAAAAGGAAAAGAATGGAGAGAGAGAGAGAGAGAGAGAGAGAGAGAGAGAGAGAGCGTGGGTGGAAAAGGGAAAAGGGAAAAAGAAGAGGACGCAGAGAGCGTGGGGGTTTTGGGCTCTCGTCCCCACATCTCCAACTTACCAGTCGATGTATGTACTGACTGGATGCTGTCATATACTCTCTCGACTTGGTCTTGTTTTTTCTTTTTCTTTTCATACTTCTTTTTTCTTTCTGATTTTATTACTGGTCATCGTCCCTACCGGGGGAAATGCATTACAGAGAGAGATATCCCTTCAATCCCCCTGTTTCTCCGGACTCAAGACCTCCATCTGTTCTCGATCCTCCGGAGTCAGGAGCTGGAGTCGGCTATCAAGATCTCCATCCCCAAAGAATCGCCTGTCAATCTTGACCCAGTAGATCATATCGAACGCCCAACTCTTCCTGGCCGCGTAGTTCAACCAAAAGTCCCCGCTATGCCAACTATCCAGCATGTGGCCGGACAGTCGGTCGGCCTCTGTGAGCGTGCCGCGGTCAATGGCCGCTTGCTCCCGTTCCTGCAGCACTTGGATAAACGTCGGTAGAACCGTCTCATTCATGTTGAAGGTCAGCGAACGGTGCTTGACCACCCAGCGATCATCGAATTTGTCGCCCTCATTGGCCTTGCCGATGCAGCCGATCTCGGTGAACGATTGCTTGGAGAGCTGAAGCATGATGTCTGCCATCTGGCTGTAAACCAATTCGAGTCTCTCTTGCGAGACATTGGGGTCCAAGATCGCGCGCTCGTCGCGCGACCGACCGGGGATATTGATCGCATCGATGAAGTCGCCCTCGTTGCTGGTGTGTTCCATGATGATGAAGGGCCCCAGGCCCCTGGGGCTCTCTTCGGTCATCCCGTAATGCAGAACGTGAGGGACGCGCAGGTTGGTAAAATATTCTAGGTACTCTATCACCGCGACCTCGCGCTTCACCTTCTCCTCTGGGAACATGGAAGCACCAGGGCAAGGAAACCGTATTACGGCTGAGCCTTCATCGCTGAATTGCATCTGAAACCAAAAATGGAACGATCCTCGCTCTGGGCCGAAAAGCTGCTCTGGAACCCCTCCTCTATGCTTGTCAACAAAACGACCTATGTCTCGGAGAACGTCATGTTCGAAGATTTTGTTTTTCCAGAGTTCAAAAATCTCATCGCACTTGGCCCATGCGTCGTCATGTTAGTCCATGCATCGTGCTGTGATGATTGGAGCCGCTGGAGTCGGAAACATCCTGCAGGTTAGTACTTCAGATGTTTAGAGACTCCGTCCTCAATATGAGCGACGATCATATTGCAGAAAGTAGATAGAGATCTAGCTCGCAAGAGGAAGAAGGGGGGAGGGGTCCCCCTGATATAATGGGTAGGCTGTTCAGATACCCTGGACGCCAAGCCACCTGTTGTTCACTTGAGCGCTGACCTGTTTCATCAGAATGTCCACATCCAGTCATTCTGCACCGAACATACATAAATAGTACCTGATATGTAGTCCTTGTTGGAAGCCACAGCAGCGTCTCAGATTCTTCGATCAGTCGTCTTGGGAGAAGTCCATTCTGGCCGTCAGCCGTGGCACAGCCTCATCCGAAGTGAGAGGAATCACAGCCCAGTTCTCATCCCCAAGACTTTGTTTCACCGGGCCCATACCGCAGCAACCTATCCGGAAGAAAGTCGTGTGCCTTGCAGTGTAACACAGCAGTGAACGAAAGAGACAGTACTAAAATCAGTGGCAAGAGCTTGGCATCTTGCTACCTAGTGCTTATTCAATGAAACCCTTGTGCGAGGATATGCGACGCAAGTCATGGAACTTGTTGACCCACATGTAAGTCCCTGGTGGGATAACTGCTGATTGTTAACCCTCCCAATTGTATACCAGGATATAATCATCTGAACTACATGCTCATTAGCTATTGACCCTCCAATTATCCATGAGCCTATACAAGAGAGCGAACCGATCGGCATTGGAGTACGACCGGTAAGCCCGAAGTGTGGGGGACAAAGTAAAAAGCGGGAATGAATCTCGGCTTCCATCCATCCAGGACTGACACAAAGCGACGCCGATCAGGCCATGAACCTGACCGTGACTGTGGCGGCGGCGGGCTGGACCGACCATCATGATGCGGGCGGGCGGGTGCCTTCGGAGGTAAACCTCTTCTTTTCGCCCAGTAGGCATTGGATGAGCTGCCCTGACCAGGGAGGGATAATGGCATCAAGTCAGACCGACTGACTGACTGACTGGCTGGCTGGCTGGCTGGCTGGCTGGCCACGGGACCGATCCCGATCCACCACGGCGACATCCACATTCATCACCACCACCACCACCACCACCACCACCACGCTCGGCAAATATCGAGCCAATTTAAGCGAGCTGGGGATTCCCGAAAAGCGTGGGTGTGTGTGACTGTGTGGTAATATCCACTATTCGTAGCATGGCACTCGTCATGGATCCTCAGATAGATAGAGAAAGAGATGCAGAAGCAAGAAAGAATGGAGTGGGCGGGCGGAATGGGGCAAGTGGAAGTGGACGATGCCGATTTTCGGGTTTTCCCCAGAAGAAGGAAGGGGGGGAAATCCAGCAAGCGTGGGGGTTGCCTTTGCCTTTCCCCAAACCCCCAAGCAAGTTCACCACTCTCCATTCTTTCTCCCTTACCTAATAACTCCTCTCCTCTTTCGTCCTCCTCTTCTTCCTTCAAGTCTCTCGCTCAAATCCTTTTCCGGCTGAGCATTGATCGAGAAATCTGCGCAACGGCAAGGATAAACGCTGTCCCCGCCCCCAAGCCTACAGTATACACGTAACATCCGGATCTACACTTAACACTTGAAGACTTCAGACTCATGCGAACTATTGCATTGCTTCACCAGTACCAGTCAACACTAGGAGAAGAGCGGAATCACAACATCCACGATGTGTACCACTTCTAGGAAAGAAAAATCGCTGTACATACACACACACACTCACACATAACAAACACCACTGCAGACGCAGGAAGGAAAAAAGAGAGAAAAATGAAGACACGACGACACTATGAGACAATGTGTGCAAAGGAGATGCTGCCTAATTTCCACGCTTCCAGAACAAAAGCAACAACATGATTAAAGAGATGATTGAAATAATGACTGACGGACTGGCTCGGATGCAAAGGTCGATCGATCGCCTCCCTGAATCGTCGGCGGAGAGGGTTGCGAATTAATGAACAAAAAACGTCGAGGAGACCATCGTGGTCACTGTGCTCGCAGGCACAAAATGACGCCGGCGGAGTAGATAGGGTCAGAGCCCCACACCCCCGGGGGTGACATAGGTCGAATCCGAATGAACCGAAACGATCAGGGGCAGTAATGCCTTTCTTGTAACCATCAATCCCAGGCGACTCCTCGTTGGCGCTGGAAGGATTTTCCACAAATCTCCCATGCGTAGAAAGTTGGAACACAAGACACGATACGACACGGAATGAAGTCCAAAGGCCTGGAAGTTGCTTTCGCCGTAACACCGAGAACGCAGAGCAAACACATGAACAGATGACCGGTTGAATCATCGAGCACAGGCCGGGCATGGAGTCTCGGGGCAGAGACCGAGATCGAGGCTCGACCCGGGCTCGGAAACCAAAACATCTTCTAGTGAAAAGGAAACAGGTCTACAAGATACCAAGGGGTACCATGCCGTCATAGATCGATCCAACACTCCTCAGGAGATTAAATAAGACAAGACACGCAGGTAAAACGCCATTCAAAATGCAGCGATCAGAGGAAGTGGGTATAAATTTTCGACGTCTCATGGACTTCCATTTCCTAATAACCAGTCAGTAACCCATGTCTCCACCGGTGAAAAAGCCAAATACGCACCATCTTGAAGTTATTGAGCTCCTCCTTGATCTGCTGGGCGAGCAAAGGTGTCAGGCGGTTGCAAGTGGCAATGTCACCTCGTCGGTCATACTCCCCGCTAGGCCACGTCTCATGGAATTGGATACGAGGACTGAAGACGAGGCTCTTGGCAAGGGGCGTCACAGGGGCGCTCTTTGCCTCAGAGGCCAGGAACCGAGTATCGGAAAGATAATCATCTTCACCGGCAATCTTGATTGCGTCCGAGCGGCGGTTGCCTGACCGCGTTGGGTCCTCTGGCGTGCTGGGTACACTGGAATGCGGCGAGTCGTTGTTGACCGCTTGGGAATTCTCAAAAGATTTAGTAGATGTCGTTGGGATATTGGTATCCGAGTTTGTCTCTGCAAGTAGCTGTTAGGCATGTCCGACCGAATCAATAAGCGAGCCACTTACTTTTGAGGATGCCTTTCCGGACTGCTGCCAGGACTTCCGCACGCTCCCTATCTCCTCCGACAATGCTCTTGCGTGACTTGTCGAGACCACCATCATCATGATGACCTGCAGCGTTCGACCCAATCGACTCCAACTTCGGGAATACTGTACCCCCGTGAGGAAGATCTCGAGCGTCCGCATTAACCGCCCCACTCTTACGGTCTGCTTCAATATTGACCACAGACAGCTGTGGTGCCATTGGCTCGGTGATCACAGCATCCGTGGATGATGTGCTCATAACTGATTTTGGCCGAAACAAACCGACTAAGGAACGGGTCGAGCGTTTCATCCCTTTGCCCATCTTTCGTAGCATGATCGAAGCGGAAGACGCGGTTGAGGAAACGGACAGATTATCGGTGGAGCTGTTGAAGATACGGCCTTGGTGGTGCGAGGAATAGATACTCTCGCCTAGTCCACTTGCCTCCTGCTGCTCAGCAATCGCCGCTTGTTCGGCACCTAGCTCTTCCTGGAGCAGTTCCCTGCGGGCCCGTTCGGCAGCGATCATCTCCTTCTTGTTTGACGCCTTGAGGAGCTCAGAGGCGCTGCCGAACGAGAAGGCCCTCCTCAACCTCGATTTTCCAGGCCGTTTCAGGTCGTTTTTCGTAATTTCCGCAAGTCGTTGTGTAGCCGGGCTCTCGGCTGGTGAAGGCTTTGAGCTGGGGGCAGATTGTGGAGGTTTTGGAGTAGAAGGCTGTGAATCGACCACGACCGGCTGGGAGAGAGGTGAGGGCTTGGTGATCCGTTTGGCTTCCTCTGTTTTGCTGGGGCCTCGACTAGAGGGGTTCGCGTTCTCGATGTGTCCTGCATCTCGCACAGAGGATGTAGAGGAGTGGGCGGACGGAATGCTTCCCTGGACATCGCGGTTGGACTGAGCCGATCGGGGCCGATGATTTTGATCGAAGTAGTCATTGCCACCTGTCGATGGAATCGGCGATGATGTGGGCAAGTGAAGCTGCATGTTGATGAGGCCGGCATTATCGATGGTCCCCCAGCTCCGACGACGATATCGCTTGGCCAATTCCGTTTGAGGCTTGTCCGCCCGGGTTGTGTCGTCTGCACTGGGCGCTCGAACATGACCTGGACGGCGGGCTCCGTCGGAGGCAGAACCAGTTGACCCCGGAGAGCTGGGCGTGCCCGGTTGGAGGAAGCTGTCGTCCATGGTAACCGGTGCAGTTCGCGCCGACCCAGGCGCACTTGTGTGTGGCTGCGGAGATGGAAGCCCCGCAGCACTGTCTGGACGCCGGTTTCCGCGGCGATACCGATCGGGGGATGGGCGAGAAACGGTGGGAGAAGATATGTTCATGAAGTTGGAGGAAGGGATGTTGACCGTCGACAGCGGACGCAGGGGAGGTTCAGCACGTAGCTGCCGGGACGGAATGGCGGAGTCGTCTTTGGACATGTAGGATTGGACAGAGGAGTTGGAGGATGAAGATACAGAACCAGCTGCAGGATGATGGGGGAGGCGCGAGTTGAGTCCGCCGTGCGCAGAACTTGCGGATAATTGAGGTGCGGAAGGGGCAGAAGAGGTACGGTGCTCGGGTCTCAAGTGAGGGGAGAACGACTGTCGGTTCTGGATGCTCGTCGAATTGGAGAGGTTGGGGGTGCTGGTGAATTGGTAGGGAGCCACAGCCTGGTGGCCCGTCCTGTAGGTCGCAGAGTTACCCGTCGTATTGTAGGTGTTCCAGGACATAGTCGAGTTCCGCGGATTTTGTGAGTGCGAGGGAGGCGAAGAAGGTGCGAACGCGCCAGAGGAGGTTGAGGGTCGAGTTTGAAGCACAGTAACCGTGCCACTTTGCTGAGGGATTGTCTGTACCAACGCAGCCATGATGTTCTCCTCCGCTACTCAGAACGAAACAGAATCCGACGCGTGACAGACGGCGTCACCGGTATGGAGGTCCCTTGATAGTTGAGTTTGTTTCTCAGAACTTAGCAAGTCGAACGTCGAGGGATATCGGAACGGATATTCGAGGGTAGGAGCAAGAGATAGGAAAAAGGAAAACAGAAGAGACTCTGTGCTACACACAGTTGTCAGTCAGCATTGCACAAGAGCGAGCGGGTTGAGAGATTGGTTGAATTTCGAGGGTCGATAGCTCTGCGGCCACGATGGTGCTTTCCTCCTCAACCAGGGGGGGGGAGGAGGTGTGAGTGGGTGGAAGAGGGGAGGGGAGGATAGCGAAGGCAACACACCTGTTCTAGAGGAAATGCCAGCCGATTATACTGATACAACAAATAAGGAAAATGCGCTTCGGTCATGCAAAACGAATGCTGTTGATGTAAAGGAAGAAAGGGAAACGAAGGGCTCGGATCAGGCGATCGAGGAGGGAGGAGTTGACGGAGGTACGACGGAAGGAACACAAGGCTCCAGGAGGACAGAGGGCTGTCTAAAGCGGTCGAGCCATGTACACAGATGGAAACAGATGTTATTGAAGCTGCTTAGAACGAAGATGAGGGAGGAAAAATGCACAATGGAAGAAGAAGTGAAGGGGGTGGGGGGGAAGTCCTGGGCACCTTGTCTTCTGTTACAAGCAGAAGACGGGCCGCGGGCGAGGACGGAGAGGGAGAGGAGGGAAAAGAGACGGGTGGGCGAAAAACGGATAGAGGAGAGAAAATGCAAAAAAGGAAGTGAAGAGAAGAGTAAGAGGGGCGAGTTGAAGGGTAAGATGGGAAAGAGGAATAGGAATTAGAGAGGGAGAGCGAACAGAAGAGAGAGAGGGAGGGAGAGAAAGATAATGGATGGGAGGAGGAATGATGGGGATGATGGGACGAGATGGGAGTTGCGCCGCGCTGCTTGTTTCTCTCTCTCTCTTTCTTAGGGGAGACCGACGACTGACAGGCGGGCGGAGACTGGCGGACGGGATTTTCCAGAGACCGCGAGAAGGATTGGAACGCCAGGCACACACACTTTCTTTGCTCCCAATCTTGTCTCGGTCCACCAATTTTGTTGTCTTTTCCCAGAGATGTTAAATCCAATCCAAGATTGATTGTTTGATTCCTTGATTAAATTGTTTTGGTGGTTGCTTCATGCACCTACACTGCGTGTAGAAGAAGTTTAAGAGAAATTCCCCAACTAAGGAGGGTAAAAAAAAAAGTAAAGTGATGGGGGTGGTGGTTCTCAGTCGCTGATAGGAAATCCACGAGGCAAAACCGATGAAGTGGTTGTATGTACAGTAAGTGTGTATGGTACGCAGTACACTCTCTCTCTTTTGGAGAAAAAAAAAACTTGGAGAAGAATTGTAGAGCATTTTCAAGGGGATTACTCTGATTGCAGATGCCAGTCATACATGAAAAGCAGTAGTTACTAGATGATTGTCAGTCAAGCTTGACTGACACCTAACTACTATGTATCACTCTATCCATGAATGATCGATTCTCCCTCCCTCTTTCTCCCCTCATAGGAGATAATCGTATCACCCAACAACCCGATCGTTCGCCGTGAGATAGGCCCATAGCTAGAATAAAGTTCGAATTCTCCTGAGCCACCTGAGTCGGATAGGACGCTGGTCTCCCCTTCTGCATCAGCCAGCGAGCTATTATTATTCGCTCGTCCGACGAAAGGGGTAAGACATCTTTGGGGCTGTAGACTGCAGAGGGCATAGTAGGGTATAGTAGGGTACGGTAACCGGTACGGAGAGAGTATGAGAGTTAGTACAGCCCGGGAGTACTAGGCTGGGGACTAGTCCTTCGCTCAGTCAGTCGGTGGTAGTCATGCTGAGTGCTCTTGTTGCCATGCTATTCTCGGTCAGTCAGTTCTCAGTATTCCGTATCGTTATCGATACGACTATTTTCCCCATCGCCAATACGTTCGGGCGGGTCAAAAGCAGCAGACCCTCTCTCCCTATGGACAGATACTAATGCCAACCCACTCCATCCGTGGTTTGAAAACAGTAATTGAAGGCGAAGCTAAGGTTACCTGGGAACTAGGAGTGAACGGTGGACGGGGCGTGAGTAAATCTGCCGTCCGGTGCCTGGTTCCCTGGTAGATATCGATAGATAGTCGAACGATAAGTGGGATCGATGTCATCTTCTATTGTCTTCTGGAGGGGTGGTGGTAGTAGTAGTAGTAGTAGTAGTTATTTCTATGTTCTTGCCTCAGGCTGCCATAGGCCACCTCCTTTTCTTCCTCCCCCTGCGCTGATTTACATCTCCGTCTGGGCAACAACAACAACAACAACTCCTCCTCGGTATAAGAAGAAATGAACAGAACGTGCTAGGTGCATAAGACCATAACTGGGACCATATGCGTTCCTAGCGAACTGAATAGTCCGATGGGAACGGAGCAAATTGGAAGCTGATTTGCAGCCACACACCAACTAAAATTCTTAGTTGTCACGCTATGACTGCTAGACTGGGGGGTCGTGGTTGTTTTTTTTTTCCCCTGGCAGTCCTCCAGGCTGCCCAGGTTTTTTCCCAATCCCAGCAAACAGTGCTACGGAAGCTCGGAGAAACCGTCTGGAGAGAGCTAGCGGGGATCGCGAAGGGTAAAGTTCCCTCGGTCGCTCGGTCGCGGGACTGTTGCCGCCTTGCAACGATGAGCATAAGAGGTGCCCACCCCGTTCCTCGTGTATAATAATAGATTAATGCCATTATTATACCAGAACGATAGTACTGCCCAGGATTGCTTGCTGAGTTCCTGCAAACCACTTGGAACAACTTCGCATGACCGGCACTGGACTGCAACTGTTTTCCATCTCTTCCCCTGATACCAGGGCTTGTAAAATTACCATACAAAAATAGTTCCAGAGTTGACCGACAGGGTAACTGCAGTCTCATGGGGGGGGTTTGTTTTCTTGCTGTATAATGATCTCACTGAGGGAGATCATCACCTCCCCAACCACCACCAGCATCGCCCCCGGATTTCCCGCGCTTATGCCTCAATCTGATAGCGGTGGTGATCTCGTACCCTCCGAATCAACCACTGTCTCATGGCAGCCAAAACGTTTGTATACCGGCATTTTCAAACCCACCGACCTTTAATTCTCCGAGTTAACAAACAAGCAACCACCACCGGCCCCTCGTATCTAAGCAAAACAACACCCAAACAGAAAAGCAGTTGAACCTAAATTCCCCTGACTGACCGATGTCTCTGCCTATCTACAAGTAATCCATGAATCGAGTCAGGACATTCCAATCTCAAGGCCCCAGTGGGAACCTCCCGTGGACGAGTTCCGTGGTTCAGATTGTTCCACCAGTGTGTAACCTAATGGCATAACCCGCATTATTCGTGTTCCCCCTCTCGATGGTTTTCTGCTTTTCTACACACACCTTCTTTTACTCCTGTTGCTCAAAACCCACAGCGCAAGAATTTAAGAAAATGAAAAATTGAGAAACTCCCGTGTCGCAGACTCCTACGACTCTCCGGAACCTTCTGTGTAGTGTGTACCGTGGGACAAGTCATCATTCCACCTAATTGTATGTGTCGTGAACTATCTTTGCGCTTTTGCCTGCGCCGCCCGCCAACTTTAAACTTCCATCCGATATCTGCTGTCCCGGGTTGGAACCAAGGAACCCTTTTCCCCCCTTCAGTTGTTGATCCTTTTAAACACTCATGCACAGATCTTCCCCATTTCTTAGTGTACGTGATGTCAGCTCCTTATTAATCGGACCAAAGAAGTTGTTTCAGCATCGGAATTACGCGTAGTAAGGGACGTTGAATTCCGAATCAATCTATGGGGTACATATCGGAATGATTCACCGTGCCCTCTTGTGCTCGCTGACCTGACAGCCAGCCACAGAAAGTATACAGAAAGGGTTGTCGCCCTCCGTCCGTAGGGCGACACGAGAAACAAGAAAGGTAAAAAATCAATAGAAGCATCCAAGAAGCAAAAAAGAAAGCATATGACGAGAAGAGCCCTCAAAAAGCATGGAAAAGTTCGGACTGGTTGCAGATTAGACTGAAAATCTATAAGCTAATCTTCAGAATTAGAATTCGGGCTATTGACGCAGTGCAATGCAATAGCCACACCGTTCAACACATTCGGGTTCCTTCCTCTTGATGAATACACCTGCTGGCTGGCTAGCTCTGCCTTAAGACAATTCCACTGCCGTATACTCACATGAATGCCCGGCAGTGCTCATTCGGGTTCGGAATATACCTTAGTATTGTCTACTGTCAGGTCTGAAACAGCGTCGGTTGCCTTTTCGTAACGGACTGTATCAGGAATTTATCGATGATGAGCCGCAAAGCGTGCTGAGGCAACCGAGTCAGATGTGTAGGTGGCGGATATTTCGGCCGTCAGTTACTGGACACACGGTAGGCAACCCGAGAGCTCCAGATCGCAAAAGTTAATCGGTTATTCAATGTTTCGAAGCTTGGCAACATTCTTTGTCGGTCGGCACCCGAGAATATGGATAGCTGAACGGCGGGGGGAGCTCGCTTACCGATGCTGCTTGAGGATACTGCTAGGAACACCCAAGACAGTATCTCTAGCATCTAAAGCGAGAAGCGGCCCAGACAAACTCAATAGCCTAGTCACTAGAGCTATATCCTGAACTTGGGCTGTGATGGTCGGGTTTGCTGATTGTCGGTGAGCCTGAAGCTATCTGAGCGAGAAGTTAACTTGACCGTAATGTTGCTGTCTACCACTTGTTGCTGCGATCATGCGGCGTTCGGAAGATCGGTCCAGCACAGGTCGTGCCAGGCCAACAATCTGGGATAGAGGAAGATGCGGGACGGGAAGGGTTGTTGCGATGGTGGGTGATCAATTGCGGGCGCGTTTGGAGATTGTCTTGCGGCCCACTTGGATGGGTTTAAATCCGCTGCTTCTACGGTTCGTTTTCCCTCCAGAAGCACTCTCTCCCTCTTTCTCCGTTGCTTTGCTTCGCTTCGCTACTATTCATTACCTATTGGGGGGAGGGGTAGACAGCTTTCGCTATGTAATTCTCTCAACTCTGGCTGACGCTCCTACCACTTTTAATTTGATTGAAATTTCAAGTAAGATACCAAACCGGAGACTTGCTCTTCAACCCGAAACGCAGAGATCGTTGGTGCCGTGATTCTTCCATAACTCGCAACCCACAAAGGTGTGGATACATGAGTATTTTCCGAGTCATCTTTAAATCTCATCTCCAAGAATTCCATTTCCCACCCCTCTTTGCCTCTTGCCTTCTCTCTCAGAGACTCTCTTGCGGTTAGTGCCACCGCAGATCCCATGTAAGGAGTTCCCGCGTGATCGACAGAGCAACGTTGCCATACTTATCACCATCAAGAACCTCTCCCACCTCTTCCCTGACAGCCCTCCATCAAGACAGCAAACGGGACGTATCCGTGGATGATGGATGAGACAAGACACACATAAGACAGGGACGGTGGCTGTGAGCACCGGACGATGGCTGTGGTGGTGGAGAGCGGACACACTGCCATCAGGTTTCACGTTCTGTCCCAATTTCTCCCCACACCATGTTGCCCGTCTGTCCGCCTGTCTGTGACTCCGTTGACCACAACGGGCGCGCGCAAACGACTCTATCTACCATCTGCACCAGTAAACGCCAATTTCTCCAACAAGCACGATCTTTCGCGTCGCGCCATCACAACTGGAAGCTACAGCCTCCATCTAGCATATCTTCGTCTATCTTCCAGATCCTCCTGACCAACCCTACCTAATAAACAACCACCCAGCAACCTAAATATACTTCGGACCGAACACCCTCCGAGCCCGTTAGAACCATCGTATTCGCATCCCTGCCAACAGCCCCATCCCTCCACCATCACGTTTTCTCAAGTTCTCTGGAAAATTCCCAGGGATTCCCAGAAGGTGGGAAGTGGAGCAACCTGGCAGTAGCAACTTGCAAGGTAGAACAACATAATCACCGAGCCTCGCTTCGAATCGCTTGCGGAAGAGCAACCTTGGCGTGAGCACAACAACTGACGAGATCAAGTGGGTTTGCTATCTTCCGAGTCCATACTTGACTTATCGACCTATGAACAATGACTATGAACGATGAAGGCCGAATAGGAAGAAAGAAGAAAAGAAATCGTACGGTGTGAGATATCCACCATAAACTGCCTGACTATCCCGATTACTAAAAATCGGCTCTCGCAACAATCAACAATTCCGATATCCGAGCACAACCGCGGTTCGACTCCACTATAGTCAGTCTACTGGCTCCTACGCAACATCTACTCCAAGAAAGAATCGAGGGTGGTGTCTGGAAGAATGCGATAATCGACCATCACCGAGGTCAATCCCACAGCCATGTAGCAACAATAACATCAATAAAATGTGATCCGTTCAATTGACCTCTAAAATAACATCAATCCCAAGGCCAGGGCCTGACCTGAAGGATTCTCTCTGACAATGGATTGTGGGTTCCAACCTTCAAAACTACGGTACACACTCACAATCGGAATCCTGGCAAGAAAATAGCACCCGCCGACGGCGGACCATGGGACAACCAAATCCATCGAATTATGATGTGACCATGATATACAGGTGGACAATCCTCCACGGCGATTTGCGGTTCCCACTCCCGGAAACCGTCAAGGGACTGTTCTCAAATGTAGAAGCCAAAGCCAAAGCCAACAATCGTTATGGAGCACCCTGTGCTTGCTGCCTTGGACACATTTCTCGCCACACTTCACTCAAGAGTTCTTCCTCACGGAGAATGATGAAATTCCACTCGGGTTTGGTGAATGATGCAGATGTAAATTAAGCCATCGGCTTGAACCGACCGCGACCGCGACCGCGACCGCTTGGATGCCTGAAATGGCAGGCAGGAAGAGGACGGGAAGCCAAGTCAGGGACGATCGGAATCACCGATATCGCCCATGTGAGATTTGCATGTGGCCATGACGTTTGCGTTGAGGTCTAGAGTCGACTAGGAACCGACTGCCATGACATGCTAGGATGATAAGGGGTTTAAGAAACAGAATTAAGATCTAAAGAGCCTGGAGAGGGGTAGAAGAAGAATGCAAAAAAGTAAAAAGGGTTCTATGGGCTGGCTGGAACCGGCTAAATTGACCCCGGATTTTACGGGAATTGGAACATTGAATTCTGGAAGTTGTTCGCAGGGGCTAAGTTGACCATGTAACCTCCATGTTTGTTTATTGGTTGTCCGCGGGTTTGGACAGGGAATGCTTCAAGGTTCATTTGACTCGGGAGTCGGGATATTCATTGTGCGGCACCACCCTTGTTAGGGGAAAGCCAATTATGTGAAATCCGGGGGGAGGAGAGGGAGCAGCAGCAGCAGTAGCAGGGACATGGGTGGTTGTGTTGGAGTTTTGTGCCGCCAGCTGCGGGCAATAAATGATGACGGACTGCTTTGCTCTATGCGCGTGGGCTTTGATGTTGCGTCGTAGGCCTGCCTCCTGGCCATCAGGACAACCTGGTTCGGCTGGGGTAGGTACTGTACATTGCTTGCATTGATAGCGGCCTCGTGGGCGTTCTCACGACTCACTCATCGGAAAATAGGGACTGTGCGTGTTTGATGATAACCCCGGAATATCTGCAGTGTTGCTTTGCTGCCCTACGGGCTACTGGCCAGTATCTGCGTTGAGGTTGAAGCATCGGTCGGCAATATATTCCACGCGCGGATAGATCCTCTTTATCGCCACCACATTTGCATGGCAGGGACGAGTAAGTACCAAATTTACTATCCAGAAAGTCAGCGCGATAGCAGCTCAGGATAATCCAACCAACCGTCACGCAAGCTTATATCAAACCGAACCCTGGATGCAGACCCCGCGCCCAACGATGGAAGTCAAGCCAAGCCAGCCATAAGGTACTATCTATCCCATTCCACCTGCGTGAACCCTGGAAAATCCCCAGGGCAGCAGCTGCCAGCAGCAACCCAAGCCCTAACCAGCACTCCAGGATCCACCCGTGGCGACACCTCACCCTGTTCCAATGATCCTTCCGTTCCATTTACTCGAGGAAGTCTAGCTTCAGGGTGCTCAGACAGCGACACACAGATTGAAAGCGGGCCTCAAACAACATTGCAGAGAGGGGCAACGACGTCCCACAATCTGATTGGTCACGCGGAGATAAAAATCCCAGCCAGTATCCATACAGTCGAGATTAAGATATCTCATCTCTCTTATACGTACTTGTTGTACTCATGTAGTCGGACTAACAGAGTCCTGAATCAAGGCCCGCGGCATCCGGAGGAATTTACGCCAAGTTTGTCCGGGGCCAGTGTGATTGAATCAAGCGAAGCAGGGACACATCACGGTGCATATTGCAGCAAAATCCCAACAACGGTGGCAGTAACAATGCCCTACATTGACTTAGTCATTACTTATTTGCTCTGCTGACGGTACTAATGTAGCAACGGAGATATATCTGAAACACCTAGGTTCTAATTGCGACTCCCTTCTGACCTGGTCGGACATGAGCGCGGATCGGTAAGGAGAGAAGAAACACGCCATGACTGCGGTTTTAGGTGGAAGTACTCCGGAATTGCTGACCATTATTGTAAATGAGGTACGTACTGTACATGTTCTTCTCTTGTGCTTGTGCTGGACTTTGCGAACAAGGAAGCGGCGTATATCACTTACCTCCCTAACCTATCTACCTTACATCGCAGGTGTACTGAGCCCCAGCCTGATAGGGCCGTGGTACTTGTACGTACATACAGTCCAAACCATCCCCAGTTATCTCGCGCGTCTACGGTCGTCATCTGACTTCGTCCTTGTTTCCGACTCTGATATCTACGGGGTCGCATTCATTTCCTCGCACATATAGATAACCCGTAGCAAAGCAAGACGCGACAAGACGATCATCGCAATCCCTTAGATACTACCCGCTCAATTCCCAGCGGGGAGAAGGAGGGGGGCGGAGATGGCGTAACTGCAACAGCAATAAATGACGCTTTGGGGCCAATCAACGCGATTCCTACATAACCAAATCAACGGGACTTGATGCAAAAAAAAGTACACGGCTGACTAGTGCCATCTGCAGGTCGCTGCAACCGGAAAGCCACTAAGCGGGGTTACGCTGACTTGTTCGCGTAAGGATTCCGTTGCTGCTGCTGCTACTGAGATGCAGTCCTGCTGCTGACCTGCCTGATGCGATCGACTGTTTTCCTTCTACGGTTACGCTGATTGATCTGGCTGGTTGTGTAAATGAATCTATCCTGTAGGGAGTACTTGTCCTTTTTTCTTTCGATGTGTGTAGGAGGAGAAGGGGCGGCCAGCCAACTCCTGAATTATTTGTAGAGTACGGAGTATATTGTCTCGGTATATTGAAACAGAGACAATTCCGTGGCCGATAAGCCCCGATAAGGATCTAGCACTGCAAGCACAGCACACAATTTTGACTCTCCCGAGTCGGGCGTTGCATGTGTTGTCGTCGCGGCTTAGACCTTCTATGCGTCTTTTCCTTCCGTCCCTTCAATCTCTTTCTTTTCGGTTTCCAGAGTCCATCGTCGTAGGATTCTACGTAAGGGTTTCAAGCAGCCACACTTTCCAGTAGAAGTCAGACCTCCTACCCGAAAGATCAACACCACCCAGACAACACAAAGTCACAAACCAATCTCCCACAACGAACAACCAACAAACAAAAAACCCTACTGGCACAATCAACCACCACCATCAGCACCACCACCAGCAAGAAAGCAAAAAGACGGGCAGCATCTCAGACAAGAACCGCCCGATCTGACCCACAGCGGGGTCCACCGGTCTCTCGAGAGAAGCAGCAGAAAGCAGCAGAAGCAACAATGCGACCTTATCTTGCCCCAAAAAGAAATCGACAACGTCGACAATGAAGGTGAAGCTAAATTGATATCATACATAGAACCTAGTCTTGAGGGTATAAATCCCCGGTACGACACCAAAACCAGGATAGCGACCAGACGGATTAAATTATCATACGTATACAACTTAACGGTCCTTGATCTTACATGAGTACGTGGTAAACTCACTCCCGTCTTTTTGCCCCAAACAACTCCTGGTGGTGCATGAACCACCGCCGCGAAACAAGAAGCATAATGAGTGGAGCTTGACACGGGTGTGCTGTGGATCGATCCCCTTTTGGACCGGGGGGGGGGGGAGGGGGTCAGTTTGAACTTCAAGGTTTGTTCGATTCACTCTGGGTCCATATTCCTGCCAGTTTGGTTTTGAGGGTTATTGAATGTAGGTCGGTAGAGATTCTTCGATTAGTGATTGTGGCTTGATGAAGTGCATGCGTGGCTTTGGTGCGAGCTGTAGGGTTGGTTTTGGGTATGTTTCTTGGTAGGTTCTGTAGGCGTTGGTTGCCTGGGGCTACTTACTACTACTGTAAGTAGTTCGGAAGGATCAGTGGATGGATGGCACTAAGGCCTCAGGCTGTCAGGCATCTACTATGTGTATACTTTCAGTTAGAGGGTACAGAGACTGGCTTGTCAATCCGGGTAGATCTCGCGAGCTTATGCTTGTTACTGAAGATTGCTGGTTGTCAAGCTTGCTCAAGGGTTTAGAGCCGGGTAGGATGGATGGCAGAGAGCCAAAAAGACTTACTGATGCTACGGGATATCGGCGTGTAGGGTTAAGGAGATATTTGTGATTTTCCACTTCAACCATGAGAGTAATATCTGAAGCATGAGAAGACCATCCTACCCATACGGCTGAAACTTGAGCCTTATGCATAGCCATCGTTAAGCTTGTTCTTGTCTGATCTTCTCCTAGTTCATGGGTTCACAGAACAGCTACATAACCTTGGGGTTGTTCATCAGCCAGCCCAAATCTGTAGAGCAGCAGGGTGAACCACGGAAAGATCTTTAAGAACCACAAGCCAAATACCTTATTCTTCACCTTGTAACTGACGGACATCGCATTTTTATCATAATTGAAAGCTCTTTTCGTCTAAACACATGACAACAGCTACAGTATCATTAACCCAGCGCCGCGCAGCCACGGTGCACGCATTCAAGCATAGTAATAATGGCACATCCACGTCGATGACAAAAGACCCGCTTCTCGACGCCGAGATATTGGGATCAAAACATAACAACACGCTCAGCTTCTACCAAGTCTTCTTCACTCATCTCATCATCGCCGGGAAAAGCTTCACGCTGATACGTGTCTCAACTCAACAAAACCACGCCGACACCATCATCTACACAGCGAGCGCACAACAGATAAAGCGAAGATGTGTCACATGGAAGTCCACTGCTACTCATGTAACCATTTCTATGCCTACAAGGCGTGCTGCGTCCGCTATCAGGAACCAGACCACCAGGAACCCCCCGCCAGAACGTACCTGGTGCCTGGTTTATGCCTCATATGCCGTCAGCCGCCTACCAAGGTGAATCTCAAGAAACGAAGCCTTCTCCTCACCGTACAGCAAATGGAGATCATCATGGACATACCTCACACGGCTGAAGGATTTCTCGACAGCGTGGCGCGCTTTTACCTCAGGGGGGATCATGATCGTTGGTCGCAGCCAGGGTACGTACGTCCGAGAGACCCGAGACAAGTCATGGCAGAAGAGGAGTACCTCAAGTCGCTGGAGGTCTCGCACGGAGTCGATACTGATAATGATAATACTGCTGCTGCTGCTGCTGTTGGTAGTGGCCCTGGAGCCGAGTGTGATCGTGGATTTGCCAATATGCATGCCTCTTCCTCCTTCGGTCACTCGATCTTGAGCTCGGAGCCGGGAAGGGTCTATCCGCTTTACGAGCCTGACACGGATATCCAGCCCTGGCTGCCGGTTGAGGTCCGGTCCACGGCAACGGGACAGGCGAGGTTGGTGACAGGAGACAATAATGATCATACACAGAGAGTCGGCAGCATGGTAGCGGGATCGCTTCTCGAGGATTGGGGTATGACTGCTGAGGTAGTTCATCCTTCGGCTCGTCGTGAGGATGCTGGCGAAGCGAACGGCAACCAGGTACGTACTGTAGTCAGCCAGAAGATGAACAGGGAACAAGATACACTGACCAAGACTGTTGAAAGAACACACAGCCCGGACTGCTTCCATCATATGGGCAGAGACACAACACCACCACCTCTCAGACTGCATCGCAAGCAGCAACCACGGCCAATGGCGGATCACGTCCTTATAATTGGACCCCGGCATTCCATGTCGAAGCCCCAACTCCTAGCGAGACCCCCCAGGACCTCACATCCGGCGTCACTCAGAACATCCACTCCCCCATCTTCGTGACAGCCAGCAACAATCTCGCCCACGCCAAAGACGACCCCTTCTTCGACCCCCGTCCTTTCCCTTCCACCGGCAGCTCATCGACTATCAGTCCCATGTCGACAAACCCATTCATCAGCCACTCCATCCCCACAGCCAAACAGGACACCCCAGCAACGCCCGCCATGAGCCCACATGGATCCCTCACAGGCTCACCCATGGGCTCTTCCACCCGCCCCGCCTGGATAAGACAGCCCCCCGAGTTGGAAGACTACTGGAACGAGCTTTACTCTGCCCCCTCGTCAACCACATCCACTCCAACCCACCGCCACAACCGAGAGTCGTTCACAATGGCGTCTCCCACCGCGACCGCGCGGGCAAGGCGCAGCGGAGAGATCAGGCACGGCAAACGCCCGATTGGCGGACGTCCACTTCCGTCTCCAGCAGTCACTGATATCGACCGTCCTGCCAATGATGCCGGTGCCAATCATCCAATGTCGAGCGAGCTCATCCCCAAACCTGAACCTCAGCGCAAGCGTGCGCGATTCGTGCGGTTCCAGGACGAGGTGACTCCTCAATCAGCCGTAGGCTCAGGTAGTGCAGGTTTCAACTTTGGTTACTCTGGCTCAGCCGTGGGCGAGGTTGAGAAGGCGAATGGCAGTCCAATTGGCGTTGGGTCCTCTGCGTCTGCGTCCGCGTCTGGATCTGGAGATAAACAGGGGGAGGGGTCGGCCGGGGTCAACGGCGATCTGATCGATAAGGAAAGTGATGCTCAGAGGGACGAGCTGCAGTGGATCTATCAGTGCCATCTGCATGATCAAGAGGAGCGTCAGCGGATGGAGCACGAGAAGGCGCATGACAAGGCGCAAAACGAGGCTCTTTTCAATGCTCTCGCTAACGCTCTCAACCATTGTTCTGGGGATCTGAGCAAGGAAGATGAGGATGTGGATATGGAGGATGAAGATGTGGAGATGCAGTAGGTTGGCAGAAATTGGGGGTTGTTTGTTTGGCGTTGTTGGCGTCGTTGTTGTTGTGGTTGTGGTTGTTGTTCCACAATTGGGGGACGTTTCGTTTGCTTGCGATTTCAATCTTTGCTGCTCCTGCCACTCTTTTTGTAACAGAGTTGGGCGAGCGAGCGTTGGTGGCGGATCTTCTTTCTCTGGTCTCATTTCTTCCTGGGTTGATTTTGTACGAGGTATCAGAATGTGCTTTCTTTGATTGCTATTTTGTTTTGTCATGTGTGAGGGACATCTGGCTTAATGATTCCTGGAAAGGACAAGTGAACTTATCGTCAGACCTCGAAGTGTCATCACGTCATTAATGTATTCTCTCTCTCTGTCTCTTTTCTAATCAACCAAAAACGTAATTCACTTAAAAGTCATCCTGATCGTCCTCATAGTCTCCTCCATCCATATCTTCGTCGTCATCTAGACCTTCGAATACCATGAACTTCTCGTTCTTCGCCTCGGTGTCGTCTTCGACCACGTTGCCGTCCTGAACCTCGCAGTCCTTGAGAACACACTCGCGCCCGATCTTACTTCTGCGCCCGATGATACAACCGGACAATTGGGCACGCTCGCCGATGACAGCTCCATCCATGACCAGGCACCGCGTCAATCTGGCGCCAACTCCGATCACACAGTTGGCTCCGATGACGGACTCCTTGACCACCGACTTCTCGTTGATGGTAGTGTTCATGTCGATGAGGCAGTCTGCTTTGGTGACCGTGCACCGCTGCGCGACATTCGAGGTCCCGTTAATTTTCTGGTTGTGCGCAAAGGGAGAAGCGGCGACGCGGCCGACTTCCTCGATGGCGTCCAGCTTGGCCAACTTCAACGACACGCTCAGGAGCAAGGCGGAGCTGTCTACTCGGCGAACCAATGGCGCGGACGGTTTGGAAGAGTGCATATATGCCAGAATGGGGGGAACATGCAGAGGCTCGGCGCTATCTGCGTCCTTGGCATCGGTGTTCTTAACGCGAGAGGCGAACTGGACATCGTCGGAGAATGCACCGTCGCGAGGGACGCCAGCCCCCGATTTTGTGGAGATCATGGAGTTCAGATCGATCTCATCCTCTAGCGAGTCTCCATCCTGGCTCCCGCTCTCACCCTTGTTTTCAGGCTGAAGGATCTCTCTCAAGTGGAGCTTCTCTCCCAGACCCGTTTGCCATCCTGCCTTCGCCCACCATCCCACAAGATCTTCACTGATACTCTCAAATAGCTCGTTGAGACGCGAGAATTGAGATACCCAGTATGGAAGAAGATAGCAATTCGAATCTCTGAAGCTCGTGAGAAGCTTGATGCGGGGATGCTTCTTGACCAGAGAGTGTCGAATGAGCAGGCCTTTCTGTTCCTGCATGTTCTCCTTCAGTGTATCCATCGGCATGGAGAGAGCGAGCTTCGACAGTCCGAAGCGCAGCGCAGCCGGTCCGTCGAGCGGGTGAGACACGGCCGGTGCCTCATCTTCCTCGAGCGGGATGGTAGCCACGAAATCCGTGGCCTCGCCCTTCACGCTCTCTTCTTGACCCTTGGTCTGGTAGAACATGGCAAGACCACCGCGAGGACTACCACCTCCCAATCCCACCGTCTTCAGTCCGTCCGAGCCTCCGAGTGCACTTTGTGCCATCCACGCTTCGATGAACGACTCTCCGGGAATATCGCAGATCAGATCGCAGGGAAGAAGCAAGAAGTCAGACTTGATGCACGACTGAACTTCGGGGAGGCGGAGCAATTCCGCCGTTCCGGTAGTCATGGTCAGGTCAGGCGGCGAGAGAATCGACGGCGAAGGGGATGGAAGGGAGGTCAAGTATGGATTTGTGCCCATAGCGCTTTCTAATGGCTGCTTGATTGCTGATGGAGTAACGATCGTGATATCTATAACCGGATTGGCAAGGTTAGACTGTCGGGCGGAACCTCAAGCGCAATTAACCAAGGGAGACGGACTTGTGATTCCCATGCGATAGCACCAGTCCAGCGGGTAGTAGATCATCGGCCTGTTGGCGATCGGGACGAGAGCCTTGGGAGAGTCCTCATTTGAGGTGAAGGTGTTCAGACTGACCTAAAGGGATTCGGATCAGTTAGGTGCTTTCTTCGTGTTTGGACGGATCGGACTCACACCAGGCCCGCACAGGATGAGGGCTTGAATGCCCGTATTGGGAACTGGCACGGAATGCGGCATGGTGACTATGTACGACTTTTCTATGACTTAGAAGACTGGCGGAGTCGAAAAGAATGTATGGGACCGAGACTCGATCACTCAGTCATACAAATTTTGCGACAAAGGCTGGACGCGGGGTGGAGGGGAAAGAGGTAGCTTCGGTATGGGGCGTCGTCGAAAGAGGCGTTGTATAAGATATGCTCAAAACCCTCTAAACCATATCTAAACTGAGCCGCGTACCGGAGGAATCGTTAGTTTAGCAAGAATCAGGATATCAGAACTGGCTCTTGCTGAGTCTTGAGTCAGGGCCGTTGACCAAAACCAAAATCCCACCAGCATTGCGCCGATAGCATGACTGACTCAGCAATCGCGGGTCGGGCTGCGGTAGCTGCATACAGTGCAACGAATGCAAATATCACAAACCCATGATAGCATCGCTCCTCTAGTTACGATACCGTATCGATTACTGACCCAAAACATCCCGCGGTTAAACCAGCATCACTCACCAGCCACATGTTTCTTGCTCTGCTCTCTCCGAGGCCAGCCCGCGCGGCTCTCACTCCCTCCTCCTCCTCCTATTCCAATCCAGCGCCTTGCCCGGACGCCTGCCCCTTTCTTCTCTTCCCGCTTGAGATGTGATTTTTCAGCTAAATGGAACTTTCCTGAGTCTTTGCGCCTCTTGTGATTGATTAACGCCATCTCGATGTCCTTCCCTTACTCCCAGGATGCTCGCCGCCGGCGGGTGGGAGCCGGAACGGGTTTCAGCTCTTCGGGGAGACGGACTGTCCTGGGATATTGGGTGCCACTCGCCCTGACAGTAGGCATCGCGACCGTTGGTATAGCCGCCTGGATCTGGAGCGAACGCAGCGAAGACGATGATGACGAAAATGACCGCGATCGCCATCGTGACGATGAGCCGTTCCCCGCCCCCGGTCCTGGCGGGGAGGGTTATCCTGCCAGTGGTGACTTCGAAGGAGCGTATGCTCGTTCGACGGCGACTGATATCCCCGGTGGCCACCCCGAAGACGCCAGCATGATGGCACGCATGCAGGGAGCCTTGCGCCGCACCCCCAGCCCCCAACAGATCATTGACGGAGCCAGTAAGCGAGTCGCCGCGGGTATGGCTGCGGCCGGAGCTTTCGTCGGCGGAGCTCTCACATCTATTCGGGAGGAAGATAGAGGGGACTTCGAAGACCACTCGCGCTGGTCGGAGGAAGTGGAATCCAGAGCCAACCAGAGGGAACAGCCGGCTCCTGCTGTGCCCACTACCCGTGAGACTGTCCCTGGACCTGCTCTTACCGACAAGAAAAGGAAGACTATCGCGATCGTGGTATCCTCCGAAACTCCTCGGCTAGATCCTGAGGAGATTATGTCGCAACATGCGGTATGTTCTACAATGTAATGATGATTCGGGCCTTTCGCGCTAATGTCTACTGTAGTCAATCCTTTCCCACCTTCCAGAACATGTCAATCTCGATACCACCCGAGTCTTCGTTATGATCTACGCGCCAGGCCTGAAGCATGCTCCTAACCAAGGCGGCTCCTCTCCACCCACATTGTCGGTCACCTCTTCGTACTCCAATATTGCACCCGAAGAAGCGACATCGCCGGGTGAGCTACCTGGCCGCGAATTGTCAGGAGAGTCTCGTGCGACGGATGAGCAAGACGGTGCCACTCCATTGTTCCGCACCCTTTACACGCAAGCCCAAGCTCTTGTCGAAAAGCCGAACACAATAATGCCCTTCAGCACTGCCACTGGGTATGTGCACCTTGTGCGCCACATTTCCCCCGATACTGTCTATGTCCAAGAATCTTTGGCTGGGAAGGACGGGGAGGCAGTCCATCATATCTCCGGCTGGGTCAGACAGGTGGTCGTTGTGGTCGGGGATGAAGGTGGCCGTGGCGGTTTGATTGACAGCGACGATGAATCAGCTTTGGCGGACAAAGGCGAGAAATGGTGGCAGAAGGAGGGCACCACCGGCATCGGTAAGCGCATTGATGTGGTCGATGCGCTGCGGGTCGGCGACGACTGGAGACGACGTGTGTCTGGGTTTGATTGAGGAGAGATCGGATTCTACCAGTGTCACTCACTGGATTCAGCGAAGCGTGTGATGCTTCGCATGTCTATAGCTGCACCTGCAATATCCCCCTGCATGACGATTCTTTGCTTTTTCGTTCGATTCCCCTGTCATGATAACGTGCGGTCTTTGACTGTTGACCGCTCTCAATGAATATATACAGCATAAGCCATGCCCTTCCTTGTTTGTTTGGTGTATTCTTTGTATACTGTAAAATGAATGAAACACTGGGCATCACATCTAAACCAACCCCCGGTCCCGCGCTAACCCGATGCAGACATCACATGACCCAGCCTCCTTCACGTCGTCCGCGGCTTGGGCTCGACCGAACACCCTCTCACTCGAAACAGCGAGCCAACGGTCAGCCTGGAACTCTTCCGATTCTTTTTGCTCGAACCTCTCCTGCTCTCTTCGCAGGTGTCTGTTCGATGGACTCCCCCATTCGCTTCCTGTAGCGACTCCGGGTTGTGTGCAAGTGTCCGCATCTATTCCGGCCCCTTCGTTGTCGTGCCGCTCCGACCTCCGCTCCCCACATGTCTCGCGCTCCGGCTGTATCCATCGACGTCGACTCACGGCCTACCTCCATCGCATCCGGCTTCGCCCATCACGCGCAGTCGCATTCACTCGTCGTCGCCCCTAGTCGCGTCGCTGATATCCTGCTCGCAGGATGGCGACGGCAATCTCCAAACCTACCTCGCACACCCCTAAGATGAAGCGACCTCCCCCGCCTTTTGTTCAGACCGGCATGAATGGTGTGAAGTCCCAACAGCCCTCAACCTCCCCTTCTTCTACCGCAAAGCGCCTTCCAGGATCCGCAACACCAGCTGCCGCAGGCTCAGCGAGCGCACCGATGGTGAACGGCGCCAATGGCACGGCCATTACGGGCGCATCCTCTAACAAAGGCCCCCTAAACCGGCCGAAGAAAGAGGCGCATAAGGCCGGCGAGCAAGCCGGGCGGCTGCAGAAGCCACTCTCAAGGGCCTCGTCCATTGACAGCGATCGTCGGCCAGGAAAGCGGTGCCCAGAGCCCTTCGGTGAGCTTCCGCGGTAGCTTGATGGATGCGCTTGCAGCTATACTAACGCGTGGACCCGCCTCTCTGATAGTCAAAACCACGTCATATATTCTTAAGAAGTTCGCCAAACAACCTCCTTCCCTTATCCTTCACCTCCATCCGACCCATTTCCGCTTCGAGCAGCAAGATGGGAGCTTTCCTTATAACTCGGAAATGAAGGTCATCATCGAGCATATCCGCGCCCAAACCGTTCCCCATGACATGATGGAGGAGCTGTTGCGGGCCAACGTTCGGTTCTATGAAGGCAGGCTCTTGCCCCTATGCGCAAATTTTATGAATTCTTGGCTAACTGGTTACGCGACAAATAGGCTGTCTCATTGTCCGTGTGGTTGATCACAAATCCGTCTCACAGCAGACTCGGAAGTCAGCCGTGCCTTCATCGAATGACAACAATACCCCCTTCTCCATACATAATTACAACGAGCACGTCACGCCATCTGCTTATGTACCTTATCCGAAACTGAACCAGTTGACTTCGGAGAAGTCTGCCGCGAAGGAAACGACGTCAGAGAGTCAGGCGGACGTCAAGGCGGGCGGTGATCAGTCTGGCAGCTCGGAATCTCAAAGTGCAGAGAAGAAATCGAAACCCGCTCAATCGAAACAGCCTACTAAACCCCGAGTTTTCACCACCGTTTTACATCCTACACCCCGTTCGATGCACGCTGAGCTGACCCTACTTGCTACAACACCTGACCCGAAAGCAGCCAAGCAGACGACATCGAGCTCAACATCCCGTCCGCAGGCACCTTCTTCCACAGCCCCGTCCTCACCTGGGCCGGCCGCCACTTCCCAATCGGACCGCCCGCCTCCTGCAAAGAGACCAAAGATGCTGGTGGAGCCGCATGATATTATAGAATGCGAAGCCAGATTGACGAGAGCGTTGGCCCCTCCTCTCTACCTTCAGACTGTCAGTAGCCTTGAGGGGGTACACGATTTATTGAAGCACATGGAAAGCCCGCTTCATTGCGATCCGCCACCATCACCCAAGCGTAGGAAGCGGACTGTGGCTGAACTTGCTGCGGACGAAGCTCTGGCAGCGGAAGAAGAGCGTTTCATGCTCATCATGGACGAGCGTCTGGAGCCAGCTACTTCAAATGGTGCTGGTGGGCCGAAATCGGCTGTCGTCGACGACACCGGTGGTGGTGCGCCATTCGAGCCGCGCTTCTCAAGATTCAAGACTCTTGAGAACATTCGCATGCAACATGAGGAGAAGGCGAAGCGAGAACATGAGATCAAGCTCAAGCAAGAAATGGCCAAGCGTCAACAACAACAGGAGCAAGATAGAGAGAGACGTCGTGTTGCCGAACAGCGACAGGCTGAGGAACATGCTAAGGAGGAGGCCCGCAGACAGCAACTCGCTGCCCAGCAAGCTCAAGCGCAGCTTGCAGCGCAGCAGCAAACGCGGCATGCCATGGCTCAATCCAACGGTGTCAGTCAAGCGCCACAGTCTTCTCCTGTGGTCCGCAACCAGACACCTCAACATATATCGTCGCCAGTTGTTGGTAGCGCAAGGACAACGCAAGCAGGAGTTCCTATGAGTATGACGCCTTCTATGCAGGGTGCTGGAAGCCCTCCGAGACCGCCATCCGCGCTACAGCACGCGCATCCCAATGTCATGAGCCATCCAATGGCACCATCCAGAAGTCAGCAAGGACAGAGCCGGCACGGTACACCACAGATGACACAGGGTACTCCTGCCATGTCTCACGCTACGCCTATCATGCGCAATGTTACGCCAACGCAGAGAATGAGCCACGCCAGCCCCAGCCACTCGACGATGGCACCTACCCCAGTTCTGAACCAGGCTACCATGATGGCGACCCCTCAGATGAACAACGGAATGAGTCTCACGCCTCAGCAGCAACAGCAGATGCTCATACAGCAAAGAAATCAACTTCTTGCGCAGCAAGGACACATGATGCACGGTCAATTCTCGCCCAAGGTGACCCAGATGCAAGCCAACGCGCATGCACAGCAAAATATTCAAGCCCATCAACAGCAGCAGCAGATGCTCCAGGCTCAGCACTTCCAACAGCAGCAGCAGCAACAACAACAGCAGCAGCAACAACAGCAACAACAACAGCAGCAACAACAGCAAGCCAAGTTTTCCAACCCTCAAGCCTACCAAGCGCAATTGATGCGTGCACAGCTTGCACAAATGCAAATGGCGCAGCAACAGCAGTCGCAAGGTCAACAGACGCAAGGTCAACAAGGCCAAGTGCATCAGAACGGGCCGCAAATGAACCCCCAACAACAACAAATGCTAATGGCAGCGGCACAGGCGAATGGAGGGCATCTGCCGCAAAACCTGCAAGGCGTCAACATGGCGCCGGGTGTCACCATCGCTCAGCGTTACAACCAACTATACCAGAACCGCTTGCTCAGGTTAAGGCAAGAAATGGCCGGTCGACTAATGCCGCAGTATGGCGCACCACAGCAGTATCCTCCGCACATTGCACAACAGTATAACTCTGGCCTCGAACGCAACGCCAAGCTCTGGATCCAGGAATTGATGCGTCGGGAGCGGGAGCAAGTTCAGCAACAACGTGCTTCCCAAGTGGCCGCCGTTCAAGCCCAAGTGATGCAGCAGCAACAGCAGCAGAACATGATGCAAAATGGAATGGGGAAGTAGTTACGACCTGCTGGGGCTCTATCATGCTACACATTTCACTTCTTGATCATTTTACATTTCTTTTCAGCCGGGCAATAAGTTCAGCTCACTTTTTCTGGAACTTTTTTTTTCGTCTCTTCCTCGACTCTGGACTTCTTGGACCTTGAACTCGACACTTCGATATCTTCGTCACACCACAATCTTCTTCTCCACGCGACCACAACCATTCACCTACTCCGAGGTTCATCTTTTCCGATCCAGCTTCATTTGATACCACACTTCACCACCATGATACCTAACCGCCTACTCACTCACACACACACACACACACACAAACCTACCTCCACTTCGAGACTGTGCATACGACCTTGGGAACCTGCGGGTAAAAGAGATACGGTTGGCGTTATCTTCTTGGTTTTAATTATTACTCTCTTACTCTCATCTTCATTCCCATCATGCTACTTTACCTTCTGAATTGCTTATCTGATCTGTGCTTGGCGATTACTGTGTACTAACTTGGGAGGAAAGGAGGAGCCAGGCGGAGGGGCATTGGTTTTTCCGAGCTTGCTTTTGATCTCTTGTGCGTCCAGTTACTTTTTTTCACTACTTTTTTATGTTTCGCCATTGGGGAACAGGGTAAGCCTACTTTACAGACTTTGATACCACTTTTGTACAGGGTTATCCCCCTTCTGTTTTCTTTTTTTCTTTCCGTCTATTGCGTTGACGTTATGTGTGCCACTTTGACCTTGTCGACGGGGTTGGTTGGGTTTTTTTCTTCTGATTTGGGGCGATATTTTCGATGGGTGGGTTGGATTGATGATATATTTTAACTTCTTCAATTTACTCATTTGATATTTACGTTTCGCTTCTTTCTGCTGAGTGGGCGCACTTTCTCTTTGAATTGTGTCCTAGAATTCGAAGTTGGGATCCTTGGGACTGCCGTCCGGTAAACTGGGATCAAACCTGCCTAGCCCGTTCGCATAGGCTTCTGCGAGGTATTTTCACTTCCTCCGATAGATCGTGAAGGTAAACGTGAAGGTAGAGACATGTCCGGTCGTGTCGGTGTGAATGCAGTCATCACATCTTTATCACGATCGAAGCCGTAGACGAGATGGAACCACTTAGAATAGATCAACGCTGCAAAGCTCTATCCAGTACTTAAAAGTTGTAGTCCAGTATCTTACATCGGGATCCTGAATATCAGATAGTAGCCGCATGTAAAAGGAATGAAAAAGATGGGATGGCGTTCATCTCATTAAGTGCGGATCAATGGCTATTCGAAGATATATATATCCTCACCCACTAGCACGTAAAACCGGAGTGCGTCTCACATTGAAGGCGAACTTGGAATCCATATGGGCATTTCCATGAAGATACCCTCCTTCTAATCATTCATAGTCTCGTAAGAGCCACTCATCTATGTTGTGGGGTTTTTCTGGGATTATAATCGCTGATACAGGACTGGATTACGGGGAACCTTGACACTAAACTGGATTGGATACATTGTACATACTATATATATTCTTGTGTGGGAATCGATCGCTGAGATATCCACGATCCAGGACCTATATTGTTTATAAGCAGGACGTTGGAAATGAAAGGGATACTTGAATGAGATTGGAAAAGAAAGAAAAAGGGGGGTGTTTGCTCTCGCAAACTGAACGAAGAACCATGGCATTGTCACCGCCACTCACTAACACTACCCTACACATAGCTTCTATGCCTCAGGCTTTCTTGTGTACACAGGAGAAACCTCAGAGGGAGTGCGACCGAGTCTTGCCCACTTCATACTTTTTCCAGTCTTCCCGAAGACTACAGCCAACTCAGAACAAGGGCACGGGGACCGAGGAAGAAAAAAAAAAAAAAAAAAACAAAACAATACAAGGGAAACGAAAACAAACAAACCTATATGAGTGAGTAGATCGGTTTCAGCCGGAAAAGAAAATCCAATGCTTTGGACGTTGGCTCAGTCAGAACAGAATGATACCTATCCACACCGACTGACTGACACTGACTGCACAGAAAACCGGGTTGGTTAGGTTTATTGTCTCTGTCTTGCGACCGACCGCTAGAACATTCGAATTCGACGGACCCCACCGTCTGACTCCGTATGCACGTATGGGGGAATTGTACGAGAACAGACGATCTCGTCGACTTAAGAGGGATCTACGGATCTACGATGATCTCCACTGCGTCAACTCTCCAAGTCCGTGCACTGGTGGGCGGGACTAGAAGGTTCGAAACTCAGATTTTATGTCTGTACGCTGTTGGCGAGAAAGTATATGGGGAGGTCTTTGGTGTTCGGAAGTTGTGGGATTTGAAGTCTTGATGCATCGTCGTAAGTATGGTCGTGCCGGTGTATGTATGTGGGAGGATTGCTGTGATCGATGCGCGAGCAAGATGTCGGTCGGTGGGAGCGATGTGTACGCATGGACCCTGACGGGCGATTTGTATGGCCAGGTTTTAGGTGAACTGTCTGCTGCACATTCCAGTCAGAAGGATAAATTGGTGGTAGTACGGGCAGTAGGAGAAACAACAGACTAGGCTGGACTTCGCGCTAAATGATTTGAGATATGGTCCTGCCTGCTTGGTTTAGGTCCCTCGGATCATCGAAAACACTTTCATTATCTCTTCTAGGGCATAGAGTTTGATCACGTCGAGGTTGAGAACTTTCTGGCTGCATTCGATCAGGTACAAACTCAGAACCCCGAGAGTCATTTTGCGGCCCCTGGCACCATATACAATTCATTGGCCTGGCGAATGCAGATAGTCAAAGTGTCAACGGCAGTAATAAAGGAGTAAGCAAGAGTAAGAGAAGTTATTACCATGAAGCTTGATTTCTAGCCAATAGTGCGCTGGTAGTACAGCGCCTGGAAGAATCAATAAAGTGACGTAGTTGAGAATGGACGCCTGGAAAAGCCCGGGCCTAGTCTCACACGCCCTCGTCGCGGGCGCCATCTTCCCCAGAAAGCCACCGCCGTTGAACTAAAGCGGAAGGATGAGCGGTATCGTGCACGAGTACGTGGGGTTGGTGCTGCTGATGCGAAAATCCCAGATAGTATGGGCGTCGAACGCCGCCATAGGTCAAGATCAGGAATGAGTACTCAACGCCAATGCAATGCAATGCAATGCAACTCAAAATGGCGATATTGCGGTGGCGATGGTTGGATCGAGAAAATCTTGTGCAGGCTCGATGATTGGGGGCTCTGGCACTCATACGACTGGGACGCAAGGGGCGTGCTCAAGAGGTCGGATCGCCGCCCCTGGGGACATACTCCACTCCGCCCTCGAGAACCGATGGCTGCAAATAATGGCGATGGGCCGTTTCTTGCAGCAAATTCGATCAAACAGGAATAGAACGAAGCACGGAGGTCGCGCAGCAGCTAAGACACGAATGGACCCTGATTGTGCGACTTTCGGTCATGATCCTGCGTTTCTTCATTCGCTGAGGATGGTGATAATGAGTCCCCTTCTCACAATCCATTTTGTCTGACTCTTTGTCCCACTGTACTTTCTTGTTTAGTCACCAGTAACCAATCAATTATTCGAGTGGCTTCATGAGCGGAGTCGAAGAAAAAACGACGCCCCCTAGAAAAATCGTCATTGATGACTATCCCAACGATGTACCTGCATCAATACGAGGAAACTCCGTTGCCGAAGCATTTCAGGGCACCTGCGCAACGTTGAGCTTGATCATTAATCTACGTTGATCATGACTATCGTCCACAACTTGAGTTAGGGGCCATGGACAATACGGATTCTGGTCAAACCATCACGACCATATATCACGTGTTAAGGGCTTGCCTTCAGCGGCAGAACATCTCTTGTTTTACCTGGGAACAAGGGAGTCTCGGTGCAGGGCGACTGCCAGTATTAGTTATCAGCGAGCGTAGGGACAGTCGAACGCTCGGCATGGTTAATAGACTGATGTAGGGCACTGAGTGTCCCGTCATGAACGGGCCTCCAGATGTATGTTGCGCTGCAATGCTTGTAAAGTCCTTGTCCATTTGAGACCTGGAGGGAATCATGGCTACCAACGCTTGTGTGTCAAACGAAGACATCAGGATCGACCTTCCAGCTTGCTTGAGCTCCGACCGCAGACCATCATGTTCGTTCTTCATCGGAGACGATCGGAACTAATGACTGGTAGAAAGCTTTTCAGCTTGTTCAATTTCTGACCATGTTGGGCATCTGTGCCAAGGACAGACGCAAGGTGCTGCCTTATTTGCCCGACAGGCGTGAAGAAGGAGGGTGAAGGAAAGTCCAAGGGGATCAGGGCTAGCATAGTCGTATCGATCTCGCATAGGGTTCTCAAGGCGAAGATCTCCAACGTCTTCTCGGAAACTAAAGGTTCAATCAGTGGGGTTAACCATTGATGTTTTCTTTTGCATCTGCCTGTTAGCAGATCTCCAGTCCAGCCAATTTCTCCGCATTCGGAACGGAAGAACATAATGGGAGCTGCCGGCCTAAACAGGTTCCAATATATTGGCCGTTGTTACTTCATGCTTAAGTCTCAATGAAAGAGATGTTGATCATGCAAAACAAGATCTATTACGGCCTTGGCGGCGGCCATACCAGTAGATTCGCACCGATCAACTCACCGCAGGAACCCTTGCAAGGTTGAATTGTCCGGCCCGACTCCTTGCAACATACAGGCCCGTGCTGCAGGGGCTCCTACCCGGGTCACTGATGATTTGAGATTATCACTCAGATCATTGAAGACAAAGACAGCTTCACGGCAACCGCAGCGAAGTGGTGGTCAGAAGATGGGTTGGGAGAATACTCGATGTCGTCGAATTCGAATCCTGTAAGCGGTGCCAGTCAAAACGCGGTACACAACTGGCTCTGTATGCGACTAAACTAGTACTGTGAACAGTCTCAGCTGACCCGGCCGACTGGTGGGTGGGCTCTTCTATGCAGTCGGGTAGAGCCAATGGACTCAATGCACCAGCACCGTTATAGGGGTTCTAGCAGTGTACTAGGAAATGTTTTCCTTGGAAGTTCCTTTCAATATAGCGAGAATCGGCGAAGTGTGCAGCTCCTCCTCCGTAGTACTCCATAGAAGATCTGGGGTTTGGTGGAGGCTAGTCGTAGCTAGTGTCGGTGATGAGACAGCCACACCGGCATTCTTGACGTCACAGTTGGAATTTCTCCT